TCTTGGAAAATTTCATCAAAAACTCAGGCTTTACTGCTCAGCTGAATATAACATTTTATCTGGAAACGTTGAACATTTAATTAATAATTTGCATAGTATTTTCGTTTGGATGGGTGTATGTGTGTTTTACAGAGAACATTAATAAACAAATAGAAAAAATGTAAAAATTCCTGGCTACGGGCCTGATATGGGTACTCCAAATTAGCGCGCCTATAAAAAGGAGCATGACACAGACGCCGATATACCGCTACTTGTATCCGCGTCGTACTTCTGCATCCTGTTCCATTTTGTGCAATGTTATATCTATAGGTGTTAGTGTTATAGAAGTACTTCCTTTGTTTTCGTGGTTAAGTTTGGGCTGTTTCTTCGGGCGATCTATGATTGGGCCTGCACGATAGGGAGGATAGCCCCCCCCCCCCTTTTTTTTTTCACAATGTCACGACGCACGCACACTTTCCCTGGCGGAAGAGTCGCGGAATGCCTCTCTCTATCTGGGAGAGCCTTCCCGTTCTGGCAATTCCGGTTGGCCCGGTCCCTATACCAAAACGGCAGAGGGGCAGCGCAAGAAAATGAAAAAAAAAAGGCGCATTCGGGAAGTCTCCCGCGGGCAAATCGGTATATAGATCTGGCAAGCATGCAGAAGCGGAAAGGAACGTGCGCGTCACCGGGGTAATTAAATCGTTGGCATGCGTCATGACTTTCCGAACAACGCCCCCTCCTCGGAGGTGTGTTCTCGCGTATAGTTCGAGACATAGAGTTTCCCTAAAATTAACTAGAGGGGACTCTGGCAATAGTTATAGCGCGAGAACAAAACGACGACACAGAGACAAGAAGGACACGAAAGACAGATATGTGTCCTTCTTGTCTCTGTGTCGTCGTTTTGTTCTCGCGCTATAACTATCGTCATGCCATACCAACTAGCCCAAGCTGCCACACTTCTAAGGGACTCTGGCGCTGCGATCGTTCAGCGACCATGGGAATGATGGGTATAGTACACACATTTGCCTTAGTCTTCGTACTTGCGGGCAGCGAATCGTACTTGCGGCTTCGTTTATTGCTGTGTTTCGGTATTGTTTTAAAAGAAAGAGTCAACCCTATTGAACTTCGTGACCCGATTCGAAAAGGTATAGCTTTAAAAAAAAAAATAAGGTGGTGAAGCACAGCCGCTGAACATTTGCCGTTTTTTTTTTGTTTTGTTTTGTGAGAAAACTGCTCCGAGCCACACGAACACAAACGAAGCCAGAAGCAGGCCAGAAGTATACGAAGATTAGACAAATGTGTGTACTACTCATCATTCCCATGCTCGCTGAAGCGCCGTGCGTTGCAGCTCCCATAGACACTGGCGCCAGAGGTCCCTCTAGTACAACGCTACGCTGCAGTACTATAGACAGAGCCGTTATACGTATCCTCCCCCTCATCCTTCACTTAACAGAGCAGATGCTGTCGCTTGGCGGCAAGTACAGACCAATTCATTTCCTTGCCTTTATATGCTAAATCGCTTTCATCCGACTCTCTACCCCTCCTACTGCCCCTTCTGTGGATCCGTACCGACGGTGTACCACTCCACGTGGGAATGCTCTGCCTTACAGGGCGTGCCTCCCATTCCCAATCCCACCCCTTCCTCTTGGGAGTCTGCACTGCTCAGCTTACGCCGGCAGGAACAGCAGCAGCTGGTCCAGCGGGCTCGCAGGGTCGCGCAAGGCAATGGAGCCCTGGACTGAGGGCCCCACCCAAAGAAGGCTCAGTGTGCATTTGTTATTAATAAATGTTTATTCTCTCTCTCCCCCTCTAGTGTATATTAGGAAACTCTGTAGTTCGAGACGGGACTCATCTCGCGTGGCTCGCTTTGCGAGCCCACTTGATTCTGAGCTTGTCGCGAGGGAGACGCTCGCCAATTATCTTCTCCCGCGGTGATCTCGCGCATCCCAGAATGACATGACTCGCGTCTTCCGCGTGATTTTCCCGCTGCTGCATGCTTTTGCTCGGCCCTTGGTGGGTAATTAACGGGAACGTTTAGGAGCTACCGGATCCGGGCTAGCGTATCATGTATCGAGACGTGTTGTTTTTTTGGCAGTATCGTATACCTCTCTGTCGTTGATAGGGGAATCGTTATTTACTGCTTAGTGGCGTAAATACGGGGTGGAGGGTGGGGGGATCACGAGGGGTGGACGAACTTATCGTGGAGGCAATTTCGTGTTCGGGAATATATGTGTGTTCGTAAAAATTAAAATTGCGCTAAATGGGATCTGAAAAAGCGAGCGTTATCTTTTCCTTAATAACGATCATTCTCGAGTATAGCCCGATTGATTCAGAACTCATTGTTCGAGTCGAGTTCAAAAATTGACTTGTTATTGGGTTCTGCCAAATCGTCAACATAAGTAACAGTAGATTATCGGGGACTCTGTATTCAATTTGCATCTTGAAGCCCAGCCTTACAAACCAGTTGTGGCATGGCAACCCGTTGCATTTAACAAAGATCGTCTACTTCGGTGTCTTTTGATGTAAAGAGAGAGACTTTTTCCCCTGCACTTCGCTTCTGCTCTTTGGAAGGGATTTACTTTTCAGAGTTCGGCTTTGCGGATAGCGCGCTATATATACTTCATTGTCGAGTAATTTAAGCATGATGTATGAAGATGACTTTCTGAGTTTCAGGGAGGGGGGGGGGGGGGGGCACGTATTTAGTGTGCCCCACCCCGACCCCTCCATGATTTACGTCAACGCAAAAATAGCCGTGCGCTGATGCTTTCAAAGATAGCGCGTGCGCCAATAATTGCGACAAGAATCACGAAAGTGTAGGACGTTGGTCTAGTTGGTGTCGCATATTTAAAATGGAACTGGTCGTATCGAGAAGAAGCCGTATACGTTTGATAGAAGCTTTCGCTATCGACAGAAAGGGTTCGTCGTGTCATCATTACCTCTCAAAAGAAGAGAGATAGCGTATCTGGAAAGCGCTCCTTAACTTCGCAATAGGTTTTATCACTACTAAAAATATGATTTTACCATTGCTTCGATTGTGGGGTGTTGCGCACGCAGGCAAGGCTGCTTTTTTTTTTTTTGTCTATCCATTGCCATCGTGCAGTAAAGTTTTTTTTTTTAGTTCATTCTTTTCTGCGTTGTTGTTTTCCACTTTCAAAGTTCACAGCGGCTGCTTGAGCGACGCACCCCCCCCCCCCCCTTTTTTTTTTCCCCGCGTCGTTTCACGCTCGTTCGAGGCGTTTTTCTTAGAAGGACTGAAAGCTGGGCCAGTTGGTGACAGTACTAAACATATTTTAACTCGGCGATGATTACGCGGTCACAAGAGAAGACGGCGACAAACCGCATAGATGACTCGCAACTGATAAATCAAGTTCCGATAAAGTTTTCTAATAAAAATTCAGTTGCGAGTCGTCAGACGTTTTTTTCTCTGCTTGAGCAGCGCTCGTCGTTCCCGCTCGCGCACTTTTACCCGCGGGTGGAACGTAGGATGCCCAGGGGGGCGTTATCGATTTAAACTTTGCGCGGGACATGACGGCGGTGGCAAAAACCCATCATGATTTGATTGATTTATTTATTTATTGATATGTGGAGTTTAACGTCCCAAAACCACCATACGATCGTGAGAGGCGCCGTATAGTGGAGGTCTCCGGAAATTTCGACCACCTGGGCTTCTTTAACGTGCGCCCACATCTGAGCACACGCGTGCCTACAGCATTTCCGCCTCCATCGGAAATGCAGCCGCCGCAGCCGGAATTCGATCCCGCGACCTGTGGGTCAGCAGCCGAGTACCTTAGCCACTAGACCACCGCGGCGGGGCAACCCATCATGAGTGTCCATGTAATTGCTATCGCAATAAAACCTTCCGCGCCATCGCCTATAGCAGTGACGCGGCGAGCGGATTGCTTTTGTACATTTTCGTCGTGGTTCTCATGTCGCCAGTGGAGATTCAATGGTTGAAGCATAAGTGTCTTAAATTTATTTTTATACAGTTTTATTGGGTGCAAAATGAAGATAACATTAATTAGCTCATCTTTAGTCTTCAGCCGCTGTTTATGTGAGATGCGGCGTTCTAGTCACATTTTTAAGATTCAGCATAAACGCTTTTATGTCTGAAGTCTAGTAGCTATCTAAAGCATCACTTTTTTTTAGTTTCTGCATTTTTAGCTTTGTTGTTTTAATGTGTGCTCATTGCGTGTGTGTGTGTGCGGGCGTGCGTGCGGGCGTGTGTGTGTGTGTGTGTTTTGGTCAGGCTCATAGCCAGAAATTTTTTGCCGGGGGTGGGGATGGGCACTTGCTAAAACACCCTTCTCCATCAAAATTTCTGGGCGGGTGGGAGCACTCATGCATACACAAATGCACACACGTGTGTGTGTTGCCAATCAGGACGAGACTGCCCCTCTTCCCTCCCTCCTAAAGCTTTGGTGAGAAGGCCTCTCCCCAAGCAAGCACCCTCCCCCACCTCCACTCTTGACTCCTCTGTGAATAATACTCCTTGAGTCCTCTGTGAATAATATTTGTAACATATCTTCATGGCAGTGTTATGTAGTGACAAAGCAAACTGGTTCAGTGTGTTCAGGAGGTGTGAAAGATTCCTTTTCAAACAAAGTGAGCCAAGGGCATACTCTGGTTGAACAAATGCTTTTAAGTGGCCCTGTAACAGCTTCATCAGTTATTTTAGAATTGCCTTATGATTGGACTGTCATGCCTTGTGAATCTCCTTCTCTGAATCATTTTCTTTTTCGTATTGGGTTATACCTAAGGGTGCATACACACACATTGGTTTAACAAACTTGTCTGCTTCGCTTTTTTATTCCCCTATTAACTATTTCATTCATGCAGTGACATATTTATTCCACCTGTTTAGTAGCGTAATTATATATGCCCTTTTTGTTCTTGAAGCTGTATATGTCTACTTGTGTTCTAATGTTGATTTACATGCATGTTGTAGTTGTAGTGTGGATGTGTACTTCTCTATATAGTATGCAGGATTTAACAACAGCTTGTTACCCTTTTTTCTCTTACAGTTCATTCTGGAAGACTGCTGTTGAGGTGCTTGCAAATGTAAGTTTTCATAATTCTTGCATCATTGGAGCTTGAAGAGACACTAAAGTCAAATAACAATTTGTCAGAGTGAAAGCTCAATGTATGAGAATGTCTAAAATGGCAATATTATCAACAGAAGTGCCCTACTTACCGAAAAATTAAGGTTTGAGAACACATGCACCATGAGTAGGACATTTGCAAAATGATCCTGATGATGCCAGAGTTACCACCTACAATTAATGAATACTAACTGAACTAGTTGCACCAAATAAAGAACCTTGTGTGCGTCAAAAGACGTCTCAAAAAGCTGGTTGTTCGCTTCTGTTTAATTAATAGAAAAAGAACTGCCAAACATTACTATGGTGCATGGTGCGAGTCGTTCAACAATTCAATTTTTGCTTTATTAAACTAGACAGGTTGTGCCATCTAGCGTGACCCAGTAGAACCAAGCATGCCTGCCATCTCAGAGGCCATTGCAGGAAATTGTTCAATGTCCATTGTTGCTGCTGTGGCTCCCGCTACTTTCGCTCTGCTGCTACTAGTGTTGGTGGCCGTGCAGTAAAGCTAGGCAAAATTGTGCACGGCAGCAGTGATGTAGAAGTTTCCACTTTGAGGCGGGTAATTTTAGGTGTGCTAACACGATATGGACCACTAAAATGCTATGTTATTTCAAAATAAGCACTTCCTTGGCCCAAAAGTAGCACTACGATGTTTCTGGACCGCTATTTCAGCAATCAGCATCGACTTAATATTTGCCTTTAGTGTCCCTTTAATGCAAGGAATCAATGACTGCGGCAGTATTCTGCCGAGCATCAGGCTATTGAGTCTGAATGTTTTTTATGTGTTGTAATTCTGGGTGATTGTCACTGGTTAACATTCTTGAGGGTAAAGATGGAAGAAATACCTGAAATAGTGAATGGGGAAATGCCCCTGTGGAATAGGCAGTGCGGTGTTTATGAGTTAGCATTCCACTGGCTGCAGGTTGGTTCTCATCAGTTATTTATTTTCTCTACAATTACTGCTGTTCAAATAAAAATTAGAGAAAAATCATCCACGATTGATAGAAGTTCATAGACACAAGTAGAATTGGCTAGTACAAGATGGTGTGAAATGGAGAGCATAAGACGAGGCCATCGTTTTGCATTGTACTTAAAGTAGGTTTTAAATTATAATGATAATGACAATGATGATGCTATCATTGGCTTCATTACCTGTTGGCTTTGTATGGTTAATCCTAACGTAGTGTCATACTTGCAGAATGACACTACATTAACCAGCAGGGTGTGAAGTTCCGATTTTCTCAGGCGCCCGCTCTTCATACGGCCCTTTCTCGTAGCTTTGGAGCTGCCGGCTCTCGCAGTTTTACGCTGTACAACTGGTGGCATGGTGTTGGCCAATATGTGACATAAAGCATGAGCGGTGCTTGGATCCGATGCCATTCTAGCTACGGCGATTCATTACGGGCTGGCACTGCACTCCATAGTATGCTAACCTTAATGGAAAGCAAAAAAATTATGAAGCTAACGAAGGTATAGAGAATGTTGCCCCCCTCCCCACCGAAAATTTTCAATTCTGCTTGTGTAATTGTACCGCTTGAAGTCTTTTGTAGTAATTGTGAGGTAGATGCGAAGAAAGTAAAGTAGGCGACAAGACAGCTTGCCGCCTGCACTGACTGAATTAGCAACTTTCGGATAACGCACCCTGTGCTCTACCAATTTGAGCTACAGCAGTCCTTGCTGGTGGCAAGTAGTACTTTTGGTCGCTTTACTTTCTTCATATCTATATCAGAATTACTACAAAAGACTTCGAAACGGTACAATTCATAACCCCTATAGTCTCCTTAACTTCAATATGTGCTGGTTTTCACTGAGCTTGTGTAAAGCAAGAAAGCAAGCACTCTAAACCCCCTCCCCTCCCTTTTTTTCATAATGTGCCAACATTGCACAATGAGCCGCACTTTCAGGATTGGGAAAAAAGCAATCGGGTTTCATCTTGTAAACTCAAGGTGATGGTGCGCACTGACGATGCTTCTTTCCCCTGTGCGATTACTCCCTGCTTCACTTTCAGCAAACTCTTCATGATGACAAAAGCATGTGACAAACCTCTGTAGCCCCATCCGTTCTATCAATATGTGAGAAGCTTATGCGGCAATTCATTTGTGCGTCAGTGAACGCCAACATGGAGGTCATTTAATGATTGCTTGGAAAAGTGGTTCATGACTACCTTTGAGGTTCACTGTATACCAGCTATGTAGTTTATTCTGCTCATTGCTCATTTGCGAGCCCCATGGTGAACAAAGGTTAAGTGAGATCCATTGCTTGTCCAGGGGGATGGGCCCAGTGTTCCGGCACTGCCCCTGCCTGCGGCCGGCCCGAGAGGAAGTCCGGGTCCTGGACTACGCCCACCACGGCCTCGAGGATGTGCCCTCGGAGGTGTTTAACTACGAGCGCACACTCGAGGAGCTCTATCTAAATGCAAACCAGATCAAAGACCTACCCAGGGTGAGCTATTACTTGTATTATCAATCACTTTCAGTTGTATAAAACTTCCAAAGTAGTTTTCATTGCGGGAAAAGCCTTGAAAAAACACTCATACCCTACAGGCACGGGCAATACTCAAATGCTAGTTGACAGACCATCGTGATAATTTATTTTCCCCTTCAAGGGCCGCTCGCCAGATTTGACAATTTCAAGCTGACGAGCGCAATGCATACATGGGGCGTTCACGACCATGTCTGCCAAAATTGGCAAGGCCGCGCGCCGCGGGAACGGATCAGATTTCAAGATGAACGCTGCTTTGCCTACCTATCGCGGGTGCACACCCAGAGAATGAGGGCATGACTTGGGCGTACCAATTGTCCTACGTAGACAGCCGTGCTGTGATGTTGTTCCTCTACGTAGACTATTGTTCCCTGGAGTGGCCAACAGTACCACGTGACATGGGGAAAGTTATTTCACACTACATGTGTAGTTTCTGTAATTTTTCGCTTGAATAGATGAATAAAACTTGAGATAAATATTGAGAGACACAAAGGAAATGTGTGTGTCTTTGTTTCATTTGTTTTCCCGTGAACTGCAGTGAGATGCGAGGCGAATGTGCCTGCGTTTTGCATGCATTTGTGTGCCTGCGGTTTGCGCATCGAGCAGACGCCACATTTGGAAACCAAATTAAGCGCATTTGAACATTCATTAGACTAACCTATTCTACCAAATCTAAGACAGCGTTTCCAAACGAACTCTCACAGAGGCATCCATCTCGCAGAAACAGACATTAGACCACAAAATAACGCCGATGTTTGGGCACGCCATGCGCATGTGACCTCTTGGTTGGACGTATGAGAGGGTAGGAAAGAGATTTGGCTTGTGAAGGCTCCGCGGGACGAGTAGCAAGGGTTCGAGCTCGGCTCCTCGTATCATCCTTTTGCTCCGCTTGAAAATACCAGTTTTGTCAGCTCGTCATGAACCGATTAAAAAATTTTTTGTGGCATAATGCTCTTCATCGGACACACAACAACTGCCACGGTCCAAATAAAACTTATGGGGCCTGGTGAGTTGCCCTTTAAGGACACCAGTGGGGCATTACATATGGGGCGGAGGGGGGCAACAGTAAACCCCCCTCAGTATATGAAAAAAGAACAGAACAAAAATGTAGCAAGGTTGTGTAGTGATGCACGATGCTGCGCTGCGCAGTTTGGTCTCTGCCTGTTCCAATAATTTTCACAAAACACATTACTGTCATCTGAACTCTAGGAATTGTTTATGTTCTGTGATCTCGTGCTAGTTCATGACATGATAGATTCGATATTGATATGCAAAGGACAAACAGTGCCAAACATGGCTGCCGAATTTCTTTCTCTGTCTTTTTTTTCACACTATGAAAAATAAACATTACTAAAAACTGAAAAGCGGAATTCTTGGAACTCATGTGTTCAAAGCATTTTAAGAGCCTATCGAAAGAAAGAATGATTAAAAAAAAGACAGAAATACTAGCACGTTTCGTCGTCCTCGTAGCTTCATATCAACGGTACAAAGCAAGCTAAGCCTAAATGAAGAGCACAAGACAGGTGCTTTTTGCAAGTGAGTTTTAATGCAAGAGAACATTGAATATATAGGTGTGCGCACCCTGGGAAAAGAGCAGCATACGAAGGTTAAAAAAGACACAAAGACGTGCTATCACTGGAGAAGCATTCATTTGTGGGAATATGTGCTGATTAAATATTCCAAGGGGCGATTTGCGCATACATGCACATGCACACACCATGTGTGCGTGTTCGGAGTTGTTTTTTTTTACACCCAAAGCAGTAGAAATGTCTGAAATACCAAAATACTAGACGAACGCAATATGAATCCGCTTTTTCTGTCTTTGTTTAGGCCATGCAAGTGCACAGCATCTATAAGATCTTTGCACACTATTGTAGTAAAGAGGTGATTTTCCGCTTATACAAAATCATGAATCCATTCCGTTTAGAGAACAGTGTTTCTAGTACTTGCAGCACCACTGTTTTCAAATTCTTCTGACTGCCTCTTTTCCTTGTTTTAATTAATACTAAGAGTGCTTTGCAATGAGAGACAATGTTATACTGTGACTTTGTATTGCAAAATTAGCCTTGTTTGCTGCAAACGTGAAAAAGCTCCCATTTTCTTTCTTTTTCAGCCACTATTTCACTGCCATGGATTAAGAAAATTGAATCTAAGTGATAATGACATTCAAACTCTACCTCCTGCTCTATCTTCACTCATCAGTCTAGAAGAATTAGACATTAGCAAAAACAGTAAGTAGCACACTTACCCATGTGGGACGATATCCCAAACGTTATGTAGGCATTTTGTACATGAGCGGGAAGTAACCTCTTGTTTGTTTTAGATGTGATAGAAATTCCCGACAACATCAAAGGTTGCAAATGCCTGTCCATAGTAGAAGCAAGTGTGAACCCCGTTGGAAAGTGAGTACGACATCTTTACTAGGCGCAAGACATTTACTGTTGTGAGGGACTTATCTTGCTGTGTTTGTGAGTATGCTGAAAAAAAATTTTTTTTGGTTATTCTCAATGTAAGTGATATCACATAATTATCCTCAAAAAGTGTTCTTCGACAGTACTATTGTTTAACTATATTACAGTGAGTGCAGGTGTAGCAAATCACCAGGTTGAACAACACAAATTGGCATGTTTTCATTTCATTTAGTGTTCTATTGCTGTAATGAAACCAAAGACAGCATGCAAGATAATATCACTTATATTAAAGGAAAAAAATTTTTTCCTCGGTAGCTCAAATGATCTATTTTGGTAGCCATAAGGTCGAGGACTGATTTAGAGCAATTTAAAAATGCACGTTTTAGATGTGATCATGCATTCTAACTAAATGACCCTTTGCGGGAAAACTTCTCATAAGCAGTAACAGTGAAGGTGACACCATCTGCAGGAGTTCTGGTTTTGGTTGGAAAACATGAGCCCGGCCTGCCGCCGGTCGTACATTCGTGTGCAGTGGTTGAGTGGCCTTGCTTTCGCAGTTGTGTAATTATGCCAGCGAAAACTTCTTGTGACGCTTTGTGATTGAATGTGCCTCCTTCTTCGTCCTTGTCTTGAGTTTTTTATACCGAAAAGCAATCCATCTAAACGGAGAAATGAGCATGAACAAGCAGGTTCTTGTCCGTGAGGCTGCGTGAGCATAAAGAGAGATGCTGGGGTGCTTAGATAGCGCCTGTGGGATTACGGAATGTTGGCGGCTCGCTGTGCTTGCAGAATCAACATTCTTGAGTCTGTGTAGTGGCACGGTTGCACAAAGTCTCGCGTATATCGGCACTTTTAATGGACCCCCAAAATACTGCCGAGTGCATTATAACGCACTCGCGTACCTGCGCTAACCATAATTGAGATAGGAGCACGGGTAATTTAGTAATCGCAGTAGTGGCAGCTGCATTCAAAGCCGCTCTATCTATGGGAAACTCCTGTCATATGAAGAACGATACCAGCCGCGTCTGTAGCATTTGGGTGGAGGCAAAATTCCAAAGGCCCGTGTACTGTGCGATGCCAGTGCACGTTAAAGAACACAAGATGGTAGAAATTTCCGCATCTCTCATAATCATATCGTGATTTGGGGAAGAAAGCGTAATGTTGCGTGTAAGGAAAGTGCATATTGTACTGCTCTACTCTCGAGCGTGTAGACGTACATTCATTTACATCGTCATTTCATCCTTACGAGATCTAAAGGAGAGATGCCTATGTAAAAAAAAATATCTCTACCAGTCGCAGTGCACTCTAACGATGCGACCTGTACGTAATAACAATGCACCCTGACGTCACGTAAGCACCGGTCTTCATAGACGGTGCACACGCTGCTCACGCCAAACCTAGTTCGTCATCGGGCGTCAAGGTTCAACTTCAAGTGTCTAACAAAGCATTCTCTTTGACGGAACAACCACAATAAGCCTGGCGAACAGTTGAGGTAGCGGAGTGCAGTTATCACCACACTTGGTCATTGCTTAGGCTGGGGTGTGAAAAATCCTCGCTCCACCCCATTCCTGCAATCTTAAATGCAATTTTTTCATCCTCTAGCATGCTCTTTCAATAATGAGCACGTTGTTTTTGTCACTAAAGCAAGAACACAAGCTTGTGTGAACCGTTGAACACTGTTTTGTGCATGTTGATAGGCGAATATATTTGCAACCAAAAGCACGAGTTAAGTTTTCCTTTTGACAGGACAGGTGGCAGTTGTTTACCACAAATTGTCAAATCCCTGGCGTCGCTTCGCTGGCTCGAGGCTGGCAATTCACCGTGCAAGCTATGTGGGATTTGCGTAATTGTACAATAGCATGTTGGCAGCAATCACGAGACTGTTTGTGGTTCAGCTTTGATTTTTCAGTGCCACACATTAGTATGCAATTCACTTGTAGGCCATATAAACTGCCAGGAAGGCTTTTGTTGGAGTATTCATCAAGTTTTTGTCTTTTTCAGATAGATTAATGTGAAGTATCTGATGCTATGCAAGTGTTTTAATGTCATATGAATTTGACTGTAATACTGTCTGAATGGTGAGCTGTACCTGTCAGTAAATCGAGGTCTCTTATTCTTCGTCTCGGTGATGATCATCACATTCGATCATGCTTCTGTTGCAGACTTCCTGAAGGTTTTACGCAACTCCTAAATATAGAGCAACTTTACCTTAATGACACGTTCCTGGAATATCTTCCTGCAAATTTTGGGAGGTATGTGTTCTGTCATGTTTACGTGAAGTTTTATTGGTTCTCTATGCCTCTTTTTTTGGAGGTTGCACATTTTTACGTTTCACTCTATTTCTTACAAGAACAAAAACAAAAATAATATTTTTTTATTGTCATTTATTGTCAGATATATATTTATTGTCATAATATATTCTTATTGTCATTCATTACTTTTGATTTAAAGGTTGTCGAAGTTAAAAATTCTGGAACTGAGGGAGAACCATCTCAAGGTTCTTCCAAAGTCAATGGCTCGCTTGACAGAGCTGTCTCGACTTGACATTGGCCAGAATGACTTTACAGAGCTGGTATGTATGGCAAGTTTGAGTCCCTCTCCCTTGAGGTCGAAGTTATAGTATGCACAAATAATTTTTTTTTTGGTGTAGCTTGCCTTAATTGCTTAACATGTCTGAAATGTGAGATGCCATTGTGAAATAGTGTTTATCTAATTGCTGACGCTTGTGTGCCCAACTGAATAATTCATTGTAAGAGTGTGAACCTGACATAGTGGATTTAACAGGAGTGCTAGACCGTGGGTATTCTTTAATCCTATAATGCTAAGCTGTTGTAAAGATCGAAGTAATCACATTCCATCTACGTACACTATGCCTAAAAATCCACGTGATCAGCTTTATACATGAGCCATTACAGGCAGCAGCTGTCCTTCATTCTGAGATTTAATGGCAGCATTGCTTCTTTTGCATTTCACAGCCAGAAGTCATCGGTAGCCTCCCTAGTATGACGGAGCTCTGGTGCGACAGCAACAGACTGACATCTTTGCCATCAGTGAGTCATTTTCTTTGTGTGAATTTGTTTCAGTGTGAACTATGCATATGTATAAACAATGCATAAGCTGGGCCATGGCTGTGTGTTGTATAAAACATTGTGTGAAAGTGTGACATGTTCCAGTGACAAGAAAGAGAGAAAATTTTAGATGCATAGAAAAAAAAATGAACATACTTTGTTTATGTAATAAGCATGCACCAAACCATGCCAGCTGCTTATTTTAGTAGCAAGTTCTTGTGAGGCTTGTGACAGTGAACCTTGCTACTCATATTGGGCTTCCCAACTTTGTGTTTTTTGGCAAGCCTATTTCAATTTGTAAGTGTGGTTGAGTTGTGGTGCTTAGAACATATCCGTGCTTACATACATGTACACTCAAACCAAGATATATAGTGAACTTAGATATAACTAAATATTGTTTATAATGAAGTAAATGAAGAATGGTCTTGCGATATATGTAGTATTGGAACTTATCAACGAATTTTCAGATATAACAAATTTTATTGTAAGGTGAAACTTTGTTATATTATGAGTTTATGTGTGTTATAAAATGTGTTAGGGCTGACCGAAAACTTTTGATCTACTGGTAAGTTGGTGGCACCGCTTATTTTTCTCCTACTGGTAGCTGTTTGTGTCTTAACGCCATTGTGCACGTGTTTTTTTTGTTTCCTGTTTTAGTACATGGGAAATCTTATCAAGCTCACCTACTTGGATGCCAGCCGGAATCGCATCTCCTTTATTGCTGACGAAATTGAGAACATGACAATGCTCTGTGATCTTACACTCACCACAAATAAGCTGCAGAAGATTCCGGAGACGCTCGGTAAGTGTAGCAAACATTTAGCTTTTACTACTAGGCTGTTCGTGCCTTTCATGCTCCTAATCATTCATGGATATGCACATGGTTGCCAATTTTGTCACACAAAAGGGCCCCTAAACTGCCTGTGATAGTTTTTAGCGGTTCAGGTAAACGGAGAAATTGAATTCAGAATGCCATCATGATCAACAATGCCAAATGTGGCAGTGCTGCGAGCACCCCACAAATTCCAAGAAACGACCCCTTCTCTTCGAGCCTTTCGGTAATCCTTAGCCCATCAGAGTTTAATGGGACATCAACATATATCGTTGGCTCACGTCGTGCACAAAAAGAACCAGCTTGTCTGCCCGCAGGAACATGCGCTCACTGCTCTTCCTCTTTGCACGGCGAGGACGAGGAGGAAAGACGAGCCAGCGAATGAAGGAAGCAGCGAAATAACCGAGGGCCTCTTTTGGGTTGTCAAACGCATGTAACACTGCTGTTTCGGAACCCTTCAAAAAAAATTCTCGCAGCCACATGCTTGTTCTAGGCCCTTACATAACTGCAGCACCACACGTAAATTTTGGTATCTGGTTGGTTTTAGGTCCCTTTGACGCTTTAAAAGCTTTGCTGCAGTACATGGACCATACCCCGTTTCGGTACCACACCACTAATTGACCTTGACACGATTATAAAGAAAGCAAGACAGGTAGTGGCAAAGGTTGAGAAATTCTTAAAAAGGTTGCGAACAAGGGCTCTTCTCTGGTGGCCAATACAAAAAAACTTTGAAGATGTTAACATATTAAATAATACTAACCTTATAATTTTTTTCATGTGCATACCTGATGAGACATTTCACCGACTCTCCTCTTCGTAAATGCTTTGCGTTATAATTGATATAGACATAGTATTGCTTGTGCTCCTTCACAAGCTGAAATTCTTGAAATTTTATTTTTTGCTCAGTTTATGGAAGTACAGTTTTGCATGAGTGCATTTATATTGAGTGAGCTGGGACAGCTTACGCCAAGCTGATCAATAAACTGATGTATGTTACAGGCTTTTTGCAGAATCTCACAACATTACGCCTTGATGACAATCACTTAGCAACCTTGCCTGATAGCATCGGACAGTGAGTATCCTGATGAATTTTAATAAAGTGAATGTTCCTACCTTGCTTAGTTATCTCTGTATACTGTAGGCTGCATGGTTGTTTATTTACTACACTTTGAGGCCAGAGATGCTTTGAATGATATTTGCCAAGCAGAGATGCTTTGCATGTTGATATAGGGTCTTGATGATGTTTGACACTTCTCAGTTGACATGACAGCTGGTTCGGATACTAGTAGCTTTTAGCCGGTAGCTCGCAGTTCATTTGTTGGTGTTCAAAGTTGTCACTAACTATATGACACATGACAACAGTTGGTTGAGTGCTTCTAAGCCTTGATTGTGCCTGTATGATTTCAGTACTGCAAACTGTATTGAGAAATATTTACCAAATGCAAAGTTCTTTTTTTTAGGAACAATAACCAGTTTTTGGCTGAATGAATGGAGGAGTGCATTACACCGCATGCTTACACGTGTATATATTCTTGCTTCATAATTCCTCTAGGTTGTCCAAACTTGAAGAGCTCATTATTAACAGCAACGAGATTGACTCACTGCCTTCAACGATTGGGCTTCTTCGAAACCTGACAATACTCATGGCCGATGACAACCTTTTGGAGGACCTTCCACCAGAAGTAAGTCAAAGGACGTCAGATGTGTGCCCCATGGAATCGTTTAGCACTCTGCAATGAATCTAAAAATGACTTAGCTTTCATTCACTCTTTCAACTGTGAAAGAAATGGAATATTTCAAAGTAGGCTAGATACACTGGGAAGATGAAAAGTTGTTGAATCCCAGGTGCTTCAGCCAATGCTTGCTGACACTCATTTGAATTCATCCTGTTTACACTTGAAATTAAAGAATGGAGTTTAAAAATTACTTATTGCTCGTCACTGCCACTACTGTCGTGGCCACCTGTCGTGTTCTTGTGTACCGAAGTTTCGTTGTGCTTGAATTTTCCTAATTCACTAATGTAGTCAAGCAAGTCTGCATAGCCAGATTCTTATATTCCATCAGTGCATCTTTCTGCTGCTCTGTCGCTTCAAATGGACAGAATATTTCAGAAAAATGCCTAATTTCGTTTTACGCATCTTTATGGGTATGTGTGTCCCTAAGCCTTAACTTGTAGGCGTAAAGAAAAGAAAACTTTAGTCCGGCTGATGCTTTTGTTGATCTTGAAGGAATCTTCGCTGGTCATGTGTATGAGCCACTGGTTTTAAGTATCATGTCGAAATTTAGCTGTTTTCATGTACCTACCTGTTCTTCTGGCACAAAATGTGGAAATATGCATGCTTTTTTTCCCCTTGCCCAATTTTTTTTCAGATCGGCAGCTGTTCCAAACTGCGTGTCCTGTCACTTCGAGACAACCGGCTGTGTAATGTTCCAGACGAGCTGGGGCATCTGTCCAGCCTGCGGGTAGTGAACCTTAGTGGGAACCAGCTGAGACACCTGCCCGTCAGCCTGGCCAAGCTTGGGGGGCTTCATGCGCTCTGGCTATCCCAGAACCAGGTAACACTACGGCCACCGTGGTGCTCTTCTTCTACAACATGTACATGTTAACGATTTGCAGACTTCTCTAAAGTTTACCAGACAGCTTCGTGGTCAGATTGTGCTTTAATGAAGTAGACGTTGCTGTTATAACTGTGAATAATGATTTCGAACGTTAGCCAACATTTAGCTGAACACAGATAATCCTAGCAAGTCATAACCAGTGCCACCCAGTGCTGGTAGTGGGCAAGTAAGTGTAGTTGTTAAATTTGGTTGGGTATGTTTGTTGTAATTTCAACAGAGAATGAGTAAACAAGGTTGGGAAGATATTTTCTTCAGAAAATAAAATGGTGTACTTCAAAGATGGGTGTGCTCTAATGGGCATTTGATGCATCAAAGGTGACAACGCTTTGTAAATGAGCTCTGAGTGGTTACAATGTCTGCCTGCGAATCGAACGCCGACACCCTGGATTACACCAGTTATGGCAGCTTCAAAGCTCTCACAACAGGTAGCGTTGGTGTGCATGCCTTCAGTTTCTACCAGCACTGTTACACAAACTTCTAGTGCACCTCCATCAAGGAGCTTGCGAAGCATAACATGGATAAAAAAAAGGGGGGGGGGGGAAGAAAAAAAAGAAATAAACAAATTCCATTTCGTTAGCTAAAAGAGACCTCACAAGAAAGTCTTTTTTATTCAGTTGGGGCATGCATTAGGTAACCTTTGTTTTAAGATTATTTGTACACCTGAAAGAAAAAGAAATCGTAGACAAGTTGTGTTGCTTGTCGATTCCAACCCTAGATAAATTATCGGTGCCCACATGCAGTCGAAGAGGTTTAAAGTATCTGCGTTTCACGTGTTATCTGATCAGATCAGAAAATGGTAGAACGGTGAGGCATGACAGTGCTTTCCTTTGCTTGGGGTCCTAATCCGTGTAGCTGACAGTGATTTTGTTTACTTGCGGACAGTACTGGTTGGGCAGGCTGGTTCACATGACAAGGCTTATTTCAGATCCGTGTCATTGATTACAAATGAGGAGACTGAATGAAACAACTACATGCATTGCTCGCACTTCCAGACAAAGCCCTTGGTGCTGTTGCAGTCGGACATGGACCGCGAAACGGGACAGCGAGTGCTCACCTGTTTCCTTCTGCCGCAAGAATCATCAGCTGCCCACCCAGATAAGCCTAGTATGCTGCATTGACTTTACATGCCATCTTAAGAAATTACTTGAAATTTTGTACTGTGGAAGGCCAATTATGTTAAGAAGAAGCAGCCACTGATGCCTCGCTCAAAATTTTCAAGAAACTATTCGTTGGCATAAATATCTTCATGAGGCAACGTATAAGGCACATTTTTTTTGTGGAGGCAAGACGTTGAAGGTATACTAGCTTGAATATTAATGATGTGCTTCCCCTAAATTTGAACCACAAACAATTACGAATTGTGCATGTTGTAATGTAATCATAATGTTGGCCCTCAACTTGCATAGTGATTCTGACATGTGTCCAGAGCAATTATGCTGAGTGTTGGTGCTAAGCCAGTGCTAAATGCCGGGAGGCTTACTTTAATTAAATAGAAAAAATAGGCATGAAGACCTCAATAATACTATTTTATTTTGTGTGCACCTCTTCAGGCTTAATATTCTCATATGTCAGTGGTGGCTTGTTTTGATTGGCTTAATTATCGACATATTGTCTGTAAATGCCACCTCAAGTTTGATCCATCTGAAAGATTTTTTTTTCTTTGTGCATTCTGCTAGTTACCGTACTACTTGCAAGGTTTGCTTTGTGGGAGGCTCTATTTTTGATATTCTCATTTCAGATGCTGCTGTGAAGGAGAATGACGGTACGCCAAGTGAACGGAGAGGCACCATCACTTTTGCCTTTGACACTGATGTGGATCGACCGGTATGTGCACATTCACATGCAATCACACAGACAACGAAATAGCTTTGGAAACATAGGAGGCCGTAGCCATTAAGACTGTGGAATTATGTTTTGTGACATCATGGTCAGACATTTTTAAAACTTGAAGGCGCTTCATCTAAGAATGGAAAGTACTTCTCGTTTCTGTAAAACAACTGTGCAGTCTTTCTTATCTTCCTTTCTCTAATTTTTATTCGTTCCTTGTTCTGTTGTGTAACGTAAGGCTCAGGGTTCGATTCCCAATAATGGTGGCCTCATTTGAAGGGATTGGAGGGCTGAAATGCAGATTTGTGTTCTTTAAATGTCCTAGGGGATGAGGACTAGTGTGTGGCCTTATACTGTACAGCACATCTCAATCACGATCTGGCTTTAAGATAAGACACCATACCGGACAACCAGCCAGCCTGTAGATGAGTTGGTCTGTCAACGGGCGTCAGACTGTAACCTCCAGTTGTTGATCGAAAAGCAACTGTTGACGACTATACATTCCTGAACGTTTTTCTTGCAAGTTCTGTGGCATAGTACCTGTGTAATATAACTCACGAAATGAGACTACAAGTTTTGCATTGAGGCATGCCGCAGTTTCCTTTGTGCTCGTATAGACATTGTATTCAGCCTTACAGGTCCTCACCCTCGTGTTCCTCCATTCAGGGCCGTCTCGTCCGTTCACCAACCCCATACCCCAAAGAACTGAAGGCGCGTGCACGGCATGTGAGGAATCTTCGTAGGCAGATGAATGGTGACGTGGTTGGTGCTGGAAACGTCGTCGTGTCACAGGTGGGTGTCCCGCCTTCTCCTGGGTTGTGTGAATTGTCTAATGCTCGTGCTGCTAAGAATTTCATCGTATCCATACTACTTGTAAAATGTTATGCCCCAACAAGGAATATTTATTTAGGTATTTTTTACATGTGAAAAGTTCTTTACTTTGATGTAGAGATGCGAAATGTAATCGGTAATATACAAGACATTGTCGCATTCTTTCTCATCACGTAATTGAACATGCCTGCAAGCTGCGTTTAAAAGACACCCCTTGTTTTGGCATAAAAAGTGCACGAAAGTTCTTCGTTATTGCTGTAGCATTTGTGTCATAATTACTGTACTACAGTTGAAACATAGAAGTTACGTCCCCCTATACCTTCCCTAGCTTCACTGTCAATTTCATTAGGTTCTTTCCATCGAGAAGAAACAAACCCTCAAACAGTCTCCCCTCTTTCATTTCTTACAGCTGTGCATATCAAACAGTCTGTTGGTGTTTTCAAGTGCATGCTATCTCCATGTTGCAGCCGACATCTCGCTTGGAGGGTTTCAGCAGGGCAGAGGTGCCTACCCCTGACAAGCAGCCACCCGAGGTGGTGGTTCGTGAGGCTAAGATTGTGCAGCCAACGTCACCCTCGGGGAACCCCCCCGATTTGGCGCAGGTGCACACCGACCCACCCGTAAGTTAGCACTTTCCTCAATCCACTAGAGATATAATTTCATTCAAGATGATGCACTGACTGTATGGTGGTATTATGCAAACTAAATGTGATACTGTTTAAGAGCAGCGTGTCACTTTGTGGTGACCTCGCTACTCACCGTAGTGGATGATCACTGCGGGTTCAGGCTTAGCGAGCCACAGGGCCACGTCTCTGTCCCATACTCATGTGTAGCGCACCGCTCTGCGCTTGCTCAACTAACAAAGCGTTTAGCGTGGCGCGGCAAAACAGACAGTGTTCGATTAACAGAAATACACAAACACTTTATTGCCTTTTGTGGCTCCCCGAACAACAGTACAATGTCCGCTCCTGGGACGCGGAGAGCAAAGGCTCCCACACGCGGACGCTCACGATAAGGGGAAACCGCGAGCACGTCGGAGCTGGCGATGGCGAGTTTTGACACGCTGGTCGGGGAAAGGTCCCTCGCGGCTATGCAGCGCACTCTCACGATGGCCTCTGGGGCTGGTCGGGAAAGTAAGGGCAAACCTCGTATGCGTAGGCCTACGGCAAGTGCCGCTTGGTATGGTGCGACCACTTCAAGCACTAGGCACCGCTGTTGGCTTAGCGTACAATGATGGTGAGCTTTAACACGCTGGTCGGGGAAAGGTCGGGGAAAGTTAGGGTAAACCCCGTACGCGTAGGCCTACGGCAAGTGCCGCTTGGTATGGTGCGACCACTTCAAGTACTAGGCACCGCGGTTGGCTTAGCGTACGGCGATGGCGAGCTTTGACACGCTGGCCGGGGAAAGGTCCGCTGTTGGCTTAGCGTACCGAAGCTAACACTCTGGTAAACTTGCCTGCCGGGGATGCCAAGGCACCCAGGCAGGCTACAGTCCGGCTGTTCCCAAAGGGGACGCGGACAAAAGAAACACGTGCTTACCAGGCGCTGACCAACGAAGGAGAGGCCCTTTCCGGCGCGCACGGGACTCGACCCCGCTCATTGTCGCAGCCCCTGAAAACACGTGCCGCGCCCGCGCGTGGCACCATCTATTGCCACGCGCCGTTACCAGAGCACGGGAAAAAAAAAGGGAGCGGCCGTACGGCGGAACGCCCATAAAATGGTTGCGGGAACGCCTTAGATCCCTACAACTTTTAAACTTCGCTGGCCCTAATCAACGAGCTGCAATCAGCACCATGTCAGCCTACTGTAAAATCCCGAGAAAGTGCCCCCATTGCAGCAAGTCTAAATTTGTGACAGAGTGGAGGGGGATGCTTTCCCGGAACAGTACCAGAATTCAAGATTGCAGCGACAAATTGTCACGCAAAGTTGGGTGCCCGTGTCATGGCTCCTTTAAAGCATGCTCATTAGCAAGACAGTTAGTTACACTCGGATCAGTGCAAAATTATCATTCAGTTACTGATGACGTGGCTTGTAAACATTCACTGCATTCACCAGCCAGATTCGAACTGCAGAGAAGTGTTTTTTCTTTCCAAACCACCATTGTGAATGTGTGTCACTCTCCCATTTGATGATTCTGGGCTTTTCTTGGTTTCAGCAGGAAATTTACAAGATGAGATAGATGCTATTGTTTTATAATTTTGTGTCTGTGTTGCGTGCTGAAGTTTCGAAATTGTGTGAATCAAAAATGTATCGTGTGTTCAAAGATCATGTCGTTATACTTGTACGATGCTGCTACGAAAAAGAGCACTGAGTGTGTGTTTACTGTCTTGCACTGTGTACCTTCACTCCTATGTAACACAGTTGCTCCTTGTAGCATATAGCTGTCCCGGAGGCACGGCTGACACTAATTGGTGCGGTGTGATAATATTGATAAAGCTGCATTCTTGCTTCTGCATGTAGAGATTTCACTCATTAAAGATGTTGACATGAGTGTGCTTAGTCTTACGTGCTTGTTTTATTGTTTGCCCAAGCATTGGCTCAAGTGACATTTCCTATTTAGCTTCTTTCATCGCTGTTTTATGTTTATGTGAATGCTAGTCAGTCTTAGCTTTTCATTAGAGAAGCAGAGCAGGATAGATCCAAGCTTCTCTTCAGATGGCTTTTGTGGACGATAGGTAGAGAGTTTAAAGGCGGATTCTTTTTAGCAGCATAGTATTACAAAATTGAATTATATTTAACTTGAAAGCGTGGCGATCTCAACTGTTTAATTTACAGCTGCTGTATCGCAGCTTGTGGTCCTTGCAGAGCCAGGGGGTTTGTGCTGTTGAGCTGCGTTCTTCAAGTGATTTAAGCATTTTATATGTGCCATTTATACACTCAGTATAATGAAAACTAACAGTGAATCATGCCAACGAAAGTAATAGAGGGTGTTATTAGAATTAATTGTTATGTAAATCTAGAGAAAGAAAGGTGGCTGAAAAAATGTAACTTTCCGCCGGCAGGAACCGAACCTGCGACCTTCGAATAACGCGTCCGATGCTCCACCACTGAGTTTGGCAGCAGTCATTCCCCCGACCACCTTGTAGGGTATATACGTGCATTTAAACATGGGCTCACCAGTCAAAATCACCGATTGCAGGAAAATTCGGGCTGACTGACGCTACCACGTTTAAATGCAGTAATTTGGGTTTATGGCACGATTTGTTGAGAGAAGAGCGAGCGATATCTAGCAGATTGAGCGGCCCAAGGCATAATTGTTCGAAACAAAGTCTTTGTGCCTCTATACTCTGGCGTTATTGACTGACTGGACGAATTTCAGGGGGGGGGGGGGGAGGCCTGTACCCCCCTTGCCTATGTGCCTGTGCTCACGTATATGGGACAATATGAAATTATGCAAGAATTCTAAGATATGAGTTTGGTGTCACGGGCCCTTTAATGGTTTATGTTTAATGGTTATGTTAGCACTGATTTTCTTCTTGGAACTTTCTTGCTCTGCTTACTCACTCATTAGCTGTGTTCGTGCTTCCTGTATTTGAATATTGACAGCTTTTTGTAGCTTAACGTAGCCTTATACTTTACCTGTATCACCTGAATAGGGCAGACGTTCATGCTCTGGCTGCTTTTCGTATGTTTAATAAGTGAAGGTGTATAATGGTGGCAAATGAAGTGCCACGATAGCTTTGAGGTGATGCTGCGGGACAGCTTGGGGTTTTGAACGACCGAGAATTTTCTTTCCTGATTTTATAGATTTCCTGATTTACCGAAAAAATTCAAGTGCCCTCATCACATCGTTAAATTGAGTTTCAACCGTAATAGTGTTCAAACGCTATTTCAGCCTCAGTCAGCGGCGCTTATGATAACATTTCAAAACAATTTTGCTTTTTTTTAAGTAGGGGATCCAGTTTTAGATCCGCATTAGCCATATATTGAATAATCGGATGGTAGAAGCAGCTTTACAGTAATACAGATTACATGATTTTCTATTCTTGATAATTGTTGGTATTGAATACACCAAAGCTTCATGTGAGTACATAACAAGTACGACTATGGCAATGCATATGTCAAAGCAATGACCCTCTTTAGAAAGTTGAGGAAATATGGTACGAAAATACGGTACCCTACCGCTCCTCCTCCCCGGGTCGTTAACCTTTTGCTAACAACACAAAAGCTTTTCGAAAAATTTCTGTGGGGTTGTCACGTCTCGTTGTGGCCTTTCAGCTTATGCATTGTTAATGAGGGACCTGTTGTCCAGGTGGCTTTGCTGGGGGACATACTGTCACTGGAAAGGAGGAGCACTGTCATACTGCTTTATCGTATTTGCTTATCATATTTTTGTAACTTCCCAAAAGACCCTAATGATAAGCGGGCAACTCAACTTGGAGGTGGCCTTCGTAACCTGATTAGCCTGATTGTGTTTCACTGTGCTGAATTTTTCATGCTGTTTCATGTGTTCTTTTTTCATTTGTATATAGCACGAGCCTTGCATATTAAGGCACCAGCAGGACAATAACACCGTGCCCACTGAAAGCTTTGCCTGTCACCAACCCACTCAAAGCTCGTTTGCAACAAACAACAACCTCCCAATGTGCACTGACCTAGGTAAATCATGCAGAAGGGCCACTTATGCGTTTGTTTGTGCTTCGTTGTTTACCCTTATTAATAAGTCATACTGCATGCATGTTGTTGTTTCAACACCATTCTGGGCTTAACAGTATTGTAGAACAATAATTTTCGCGGTTATAATTTAATGTGCCCCATTAAATGCTTGAAGCATCCAAAGCATGCTTAAACAAGGATAGTATGCAAATGAAGGCCTCTTCTTGCTGGAGTTGTCAAAATGTGATGATACCAAATGAACCTTTTATGATTAGAGTATCATGCACTGGGCACCACAGATGCCTTCAAATATTCCAACAGCACTTCGAAGTGTTCCTTAAAACGGCACTTTGGCATTTGGCTAAGAATTTTTAAACAACACTTTCAAGGCATATATGAGCTATATTTGTGTGCTAGAACAATCGAAAGTAGATGACACACACTCAGCAGCACATTGCCGCTCAACTATTACAACGAATGCCATTCAGTGCATTGGTGCCGAGAAGTTGTTTCACAATACAGCCCTTTCTTTAAACACCAGTGTACTATTTTGACAAGAAAGACAGTTACTGGCTTTTTTTTTCGTACACTGCAATGAAAAACTAACATGGTACAGTAAGTGTTTCACTGGCACTATCTCTTACTTCAGGGATGCATGCTTGTTTTTTCTGGTGTGTCATACTTATTTACTAACTTGACAGCACCATAGTGTGTCCTTGCTTGCTGCATGCCATTGTTTGTTGTAGCTAAGCAATCTCACCTTCTTGCAAAAGCTTCTTTGAAGAACATGCTGCGATATTACGTCTCACCTTTATTATGGGTTACGGGGCAGCTACAGGGGCCCTGAACACTGGAGCCTGCCAAATGGTATAAGATCACTACACAATTGAATGTATTACATAGGACGTGTTACCGAGATCATAATGTGATGAGATGAATATCACCACACTACACCTAATTAAGATGGATAATTAAGAGAAGTCAAAATTGTTTGAGCATAGTTTGAACTCAAAGCATCTTGAGTTTTGAAAATTGTTGCTTGACTACTAGCTTCATCAGATCATCACGCAAGAGCACATCACATCTTGGTCTTATGTCTCTTAATGCAGTGGGCATGCTGTGCATTCTTGCCGACGTCACGGCAAGTGCACTGCAGTAGTAAGGATCACGGAAAGCTCAAGTAACTGCACATGTGGCAACTACCTGTGAACTAAGTCTTTTATGAAATAGGGAATTGAAATTTTATCTTCTTTCATTTTGACGAGCTTACTGGTGAGGTTGGATAGCTACAGTAGTCACTCTGATCATAGTCGTTTTGCACAAAGTGTAAATTACCTTTCTGTCTGCTTTAGCAGTGGTTTTCCCGCTCTCTTCCTTTTTTTTTTTCTGTGACTAATATGAGGTGTATTTACCCACTTCCTCAATGCAGAAACCGTCAGAGCAGTAGCAAGCCGATCACCCAGCCCAGTACCTCACAATAGCTCTCACAACCTTGCCACACCTTCTCATCTTTACGCCAATCAGCAAACCCCAGCCGGGCTGCATGCAGCCAGTGCTGAGCACCCCTACCTTCATCATCAACATCATCCGCCTTCGCCACATCTCTCTTCAGCGGTAGCCCGAGCGCCACAAGGATCGATGCCGCCTGTTGCCGCCGTGCACAGCATGCCAGCACCACAATACAGCAACACCTTGCATCCGCATCACGCAAACATGCCGCCAACGCCTCACAACCCGGTGCCTTCGTGGGATCACGTGCGGCACCAACAGCAGCAACAGTACAGCGGAGACATGGCGGAGTTGCCACCAGGTCACGCGATAGCATCATCACCACACCGCATCCCACGACGCCCCATTGACAAGTATCCCCCTTCATCGAGAGCCAGTCTCGCAGAAAAATTCCAGCACCGGCTAATCTCGGAAGATTCACAAGAACAGCTGGGCTACAAAAGCGATCAAGAAACCTACGTCCAGCCGACCAGGCCTCTGTCGGCCGCTTATCATGACGGCTACTCTAGCGATTGGGACACAATGACTTTGCCCCGAGGACACTCCATATCCCATCCCCCTGATGGCAGCATTCAGTACTTTCGGGGGGCGCCCTGCTCGCCGGGCAGGACGCTTCCACGCCGAGGTTCGAGTCCCGTGTCACCCAGGGTCATGTCAAGGTCGCCACACAAGGTTGCCGGATCACCCGTTCAAACCTACACAGTCCAAGCACCGCATCCTTTGAAGCCTGTGGCGGGGATGGCCGATGGGACCGCCCTGTACCTCTTGCCCGAATATTGCGGGGATGTCAGGACTTCGAAAGAAGGCTACTGCTTGCCAGTGCGACGCAGCCCCCAACCTGGATGGGGACGTAAGTTTTCAAGGTCTCCTGCTCACTCCTCTGTAAATATTTGCCAATTTGAAACAATTTTTTGCCACTTCGCTCTCGAAAGCACGAAAGTAAACAGAGGAGCCAGATAGTTTTGCTTCCCACAAGTCCATGTAATAGGCCTAATTTCTTCAATTTCAGTTACTTGTGCATTTCTGTGCATTTCTGTTCATCATTGCATCATTTCTGTGCATTTCTGTGTATCTGGTTTCAGTCAATGTTATGAAATCTTGCTACTGTTTGCTACTGTCAGGCCCATAGCAAAATGGGGGGAGGGCAGCTCTTTTCTCTTTTTCTCGAAATTCAAACCAAGGGGTGTTTTACCAAGAATAAACAGTAAAAATGCGGGTTTTCAATGCCTTCAACAGCCCCCCCCCCCCCCCCCCCCGCCTCCCAAAAAAAGATCCTTGGCTATGGGCCTAGAGCTTACTGTAAAAGCTTCAAGTAATGTTTTGTTTCATCAACCGTCCTGTTAAGTAGTTGACACACCTGTGATATAAATGTGGCATCGCGCATAAATTTTAAGTTGTTGGCACACCTGTGACACAAATGTGGCATTGCACATTGATTGTTTAAGTATTGCTGACAGTTAAATAAACTCAAATCTAACTGTTCAACATAATCATCGCTCCTCTTGATACTGTATTTTCTTACTGTTGAAATTAAGCTGTTGTAGGCAAAGCTTTACATGATTGGTTTCTGTGTATATATTAGAATCTAATGTCAACTATCTGACGAAAGTTCAGCTGATCAGGAAAAAATGCGGCTGGACATATTGTTGGGAAGCAGTGTGAAAGATGACGACAGAATGAGACACACAAATGACTACAAATATTGCTGTATTGAGTTGTTTGTATGCCTTACTCTGTCCTAATATTTCGCAGTGATCCCTACAATATGTTCCCCCACCTAGCCAACAAGTTAATCCCCCATGGCTAACGAAAACGCACACTTGCCAAATGAAGAAGCATGAAAAAACAGGATTTCTTGACGTTTTGACACTAAGTATGAGTGCCTTGTTCACAATGAACGAATATATGCTGGTGTATGCATAGAGTTTCATACAATAATACCTAGAGGGGAATCTGGCGCTAGTGTCTATGCAGGCTCTTCAGTGGCGCTTGTACCCACATGGGAATTATGAGAAGTACAGGCTTCAGACCTGCTTTCGATGGATTACGTTCTTGAGATTTGCGACGCTTCTTTTCCGAGTCTGAAACAAAATGATATGAGCTTAAATTTAATTGAAACTTGCTTCAATTATTTGTACAAAAACTTCATCGCAAAAATTTTTCGTGACCAGGCAGCAAAAGTGAAACCTGGGCAAATTCAACTATCAGGGTATGCATCGCTCTGCTGTTGCATTCCAGATTTGGCATCAAGATTTAATAAATTATTTTTTACAACACTTGAAAACAAACATGCTTGTTTTTCTCTCAAAAGTACGAATTATCTATTTATGGAAATAACAGCACAGTATCAAGTGAGAAACACTTAACGTTTCGTCTTCTGCGGTGCTACATGTGTCTGTCCAGGTGGTTTGCCCCCAACGCACCTCTGGTTCTGTTGTGAAGTCGAGTCAGCGAAGCGTGACGGCGCATCTACTTGGCTTCGTCATCATTTCCATTCGATTTAAAACGAGTTTAGGCATAATGTGCTCGTGAAAAAACATGAACAAAATACAATATTCTGCACTGGCATGAGACACTACATCTATGCACAGCGGTGAGTGGACGACGCTTCGTTTAAACGGTCAAATACGACTCGTAAAGCTCCAAAATCGCAGCAAACTTCAGACCTAGTGGTCTTCAGCCTCTTTGAACAACAAAGGTGCTGCTTCAGAGCTTTTTACCGCATCTCACTACCTGCGCTGCGCGAAGAATGAAACTGAAATTGTAGAAAAAAGTATGTAGACAGTTCGCTGGCTAACCCTATCCAATCCGAGGCCTGTACTTCTCATAATTCCCATGCGGGTACACGATCACAGCGCCAGATTCATCTCTAGGTATTATTGTATGAAACTCTATGGGTGTATGTCTTCTTCAGCCATATTTCAATCTAGTTTTGTTGTCACCGTCTTGTTATCCAGTGCACCTTGTTTTTGGCACAATATGCAATGCCTTTGCGCAGCAGCAGCTGAGAAGTTGGCTCCGCATGCGGAGAGCGAAGACCTTCCACCATCTCAGTCAAGCTCTTCACTATCGTCGTCTCTGTGTCTACCGAGCGAGGATCCATCTAGCCTAACCTCGGAGGGCGTCACTCCAGAAGGTGCTCCTGCCCCTGGGGCCCCCTGCTTCAGGGCAGCCCCAGAGCAGTGCGAGCAGCCAGCACCACCCTTGCCCCCACGGCCCCGAGCACATTCGGGTGAGGGCAGTGCAACAGCCCCGACACCACCACCCAAGCCAGAGTTCCTGCTCCAGCGAAGTGTTTCCAGTCGCTCAACAGATGCACAGGAGCACCAGGTTTGTGTGCATTTGGTGTGCAGTGCAAATTTTTGTTACAGTATGCACCAGTTTACGGGCATACTGCAAGCACAGAATGAGAATGACAATTTGGAAGTAATTTACAGATTTTTGCTTTTGCTGTATTAAACTTGCATGATATAGATGTAAATTTGGGGCATGCACCTTAATCAGGGCCCACATCACGTTTTGTTGTGTGATTTTTTATGCTTCGACATTGCACTTTCAACTAATTGCACCTAAAAGGTCGTGTTCTCATGTTTCACTCTGTGAGAATGGTAACAAGCTGTGTGACCATCTAGATTTCTGGGTCAATGTACTGTTCATGTGTAAATAACTGCTTCTTATCAGCTATATACTCTTGTCTTTTTATACTCATTTCTTATTTTAGAATGAGATCGTGTTGGACAAAGGATCAGATGCAGATTTTGTTCTGGAAAACAGGCCAACATCATCGGTATGATATTTTTTTACGATGCCTTATGTATTTTTTATTTATGTTATTCTTTTATTATAGCATTACATGTTTCAACGACATTGTTTTGTTTCCTAACTTATCATTGCCTCTTTGTTCTTTTTTTTTTACAGGGTGTATTTGTAAAGGAGGTCAACCCACAAGGAACAGCAGTAGGGAAGCTACAAGTTGGGGACAAAATACTGAAGGTTGGTTGCCATTATTCCCCACCCTCGGTTGGTGTCTGAGCACTACAGTCAAGAGGGAATTTCCTTAGACTGTGGGCACTGCCAATGTCGTTGCCAAAGTTATAAGAGACTATATAAACATTTGTAGAAAATCTCCACATGATGTGATATCAGGCAGGGTAACTGTTCTGATAACAGCAAGGTTACAAAATTGCAAGTTTATCGAGCTGTTGACATTATAGGTCATGCCTCTGCGATATACAGTAAAATCTATTTTTTTAATGTATCTGTTCATTTCATTTCATCGTGATAAACAGTGCCATCGACGATCGGAACAGTGTTAAATCATGCCATTATATAAAAAAATTAATGACACAATAAAATTCGAAACATATTTTACCATGCTAAACAAATGCGAGCAGCGCGAGCGTGGATAACGTCAATCAAAATTCACAAGTCGCACCTTTTGCGACAGAGTTTTAAATAAGTTCTAAAATGCGTGTTGATACTTTATTATTGCAACAAAATTGTTCATTCAAAAGTCACTTTCATCAACATTATCAGGTCAAGTGGCAGCATACTTAGACATAAGGCAGCTGTACTGAAAAAAATATAATTCGGGAACTTAATGGCTTAACTAATGAATGTCATTTCTTGTGCCCGTGTGGTACGTCTACTAAACACTACTAAATGCATTATTTTGCTGAGTCGTCATAACTTGGCAATGCTTTTCCTATTCTCAGTGGCATAAGCCGATGAATGGTGCATAGTACTACGTCTACCTGAGCAACATGCATTGTAACTTCGTTTTTCAGGTGGATGACCTGGATGTTTCTAATGCCGAGGTTAATTATGCCCTGGGAGCACTTGTCAGTGCTGGTTCCAAAGTCAGGCTAACTCTGCTGCGACAGCAATGACGGTAAAATTATTTATGTAAGTATATGTCCTTTTATTGGTCATGTGGTCATGCAACCAGAAGTCAGTGTGCTAATGATAAAGAGATCTGGGGAGGGTAAGGACCATGGTGGGGAGTGAGTTGATGATATGTGGGGTTCAACGTCTCAAACCCACCTTATGATTATGACAGGCGCCGTAGTGGAGGGCTCCGGAAATTTTGACCCCCTGGGGTTCTTTAACGTGCACCCAAATCTGAGCACACGGGCCTACAACATTTCCGCCTCCATCGGAAATGCAGCCGCCGCAGCCGGGTTTCGATCCCGCGACCTGCGGGTCAGCAGCCGAGTACCTTCGCCACTAGACCACCGCGGCGGGGCGGTGGGGAGTGAGTCCTGAAGTGATGAACTCACTAGCTTCACAGGAACATCTGGAAAGATGTCAGATCTCTTCTACAATGCAGCACCCCATTTTTCTAATCAAATGATGAATTCTGTTAGGTTCACTTCATCAATTTGGCGTCTTTAAATCTAAAAACATTGAACGCGCTTTGCTGTTTTAGATTTTTTAATGGCCATCTTATTCATGTGCTCAACAGCTACTAGGGATCAAAGTTTGTAAGTTAAATAATCTGTGTTAATAACCTAGTTTACATTATATAAAAAGTTAGTAAGCTAGCATAAACATGCTTTACATAAAATAAATGTCTGGAGGCCTGTCTCATAGTAAGAGACAAATATATTGGCTCTTTCCAGCACGATGGGTCACCCCAGATAACCACCTTTCTTCATTTTTTTTTTCTTGAAACACGTGAGCCCCGAAGTCAGATTTTAAAATAGCACATATTTTAATGCATTTAGCGATCTGACAGATATGATGCGATTTCGTTTTGGCTTCAATGTGACATGTTACGTTTGCTTTCTTCCGGCTGCCGTCGTCCTCAAGGTGCGCTAGACGGTATACCCAAGATATTTTTAGAGATATTTAAGTATGTGCTGCTCCTACTATGTTCATAGTGCAGAATAGCATGTTGTATGAGTAGGTAACGCCAAAGGCTATATAAATGAAGGGCTGTACTTTCACCAAAAGTGACTAGTAGACCCTCGCTGCCTGGTGATCACCTCACGTGACCACCTTAAATCTGTTGAACTAAAATTGCCGATTCCTTGTTTTTTTTGCAAGAAAATCATTTTCTGTAAAATATATCGTCGTTTTTTTTCAATAAAACTTCTTTTCTTGTCAATAATGAAGTTCTGTGCTTGAAAGAGGTTAGAGACTGCAGGAAATTAGTGGACATATTTATTGCTTCGTTCGTGAGATTATAAAATCCTTGAACAGGGGATACTATTGAGAACTGACAGACAATGATGCCAAGGAAAGTATAGGGGGTGTTATTAGAAGTAAATGTTATGTAAATGTGAAGAGAGAAAGTTGACGAAAAGATAACTTGCCGCCGGCAGGAACTGAACTTTTGAATGGCGTGTCCGATGCTCTACCAACTGAGCTATGGCGGCACTCATCGCTCTGTTCACTTTATAAGGGGTATATATACACATTAAACGAGGGAGCAATGGGACCAGTGGCCACTCGCCGTAATGGCTACTGGTGACTCTGACTGACGCTCCCACGTGTAATGCACATACAATGTCTGTTAGAAAAGTATCCGACCTTATTTTTTTTGCGAGCACCTGATGGATTTGAAACAAGCGCGTTTGCATCAGCTGACCTAGAATCTTTGTGCGCATGCGTGAATTTTTTCCCGCCTGCCAATAACGTCAGTCGCCGGGACGCAGCATTTGAGTGAGGTGGTGCACAGTGCTCTTGTCGGTTTTTTATTTCAAGGAAAATGACGAAGAGACTCAAGCAGCGCTACTGCATCAAATTTTGCCAGAGACTGGGCAACAGCCAAGTGTAAGCCATTGGGAACATCAAGACGGCTTTCGTTGACGACGCTATGAGCCGCACGTAGATTAAGGAGTGGTACAACCGGTTTAAAGACGGCCACACATTGGTGGAGAGCTAGCCATGCTTTGGTCGGCTATCAACTTGTCGAAATGACCAGGTCATTGCCGAAGTGAACGCTGTGGTGATGCGGGACTGTCATGTGACTATTCAGGAAATTGTAGAAATGGTGGGCATAAGGACTTTCTCTGCACATTTCATTATGGCTGGAGATTTGGCCATGAATAGAGTTGCGGTGAAATTCGTGCCAAAACTGCTCACGGTGGAGCAAAAGCAACTTCATGTTGAAGTCTCGCAAGACAGCTGGATTTCACAAGCAGTGACCCTATCTTCATGAACACTATCATCACTGGTGACGAGCCCTGGGTGTACGGGTGCGATTCGTTAACCAAATCCCAGTCGTCACAGTGGAAGCATTCCACGTCACCAAGACCAAAGAAGGCCCGCCGAGTGTCCAGCAACGTCAAAAGTATACTGAGTGCCCTCTTTCACTCCCAAGGTGTGGTACACCTTGAGTACGCACCACGGAGTCAAACAATCACCAAAGAGTACTACAAGGATGTCTAACAGACCTAGTATATACCCAATGAAGTTGACGGATGGATGAGCGCAGTCGTAGCTCAGTGGTAGAGCATCGGATGCATTATTCAAAGTTTGCAGGTCCAGTCCCTGTATGGGGCAAGTTATTTTTTTGTGCACCTTTATTTCTTCACTTGTACATTACAATTACTTCTAGTAACACCCCCTATATTTTCTTTGGCATAATTGCCTGTTAGTTCTCATTAGTATTGTCAAGAAAAAAAAAAACGAGCCTTTAAGGTTACATTTGTATCATTGAACGAAGGATGTCCCTAGACCAAAGTTTTGGTCAAAACTTTTATCTTCTTCAAGGCAGCAGTTGCTAAATCCTGGTTTTTAATAATTTTCTGCTATTGTTGTAGTTCATATTTTTATGCTTTCCTTTCTGTTTGACTGTTCTCAGAACTTATCGGCATAATGTGGTGATCATTTACAGGTACTTAGCAAAGTGGTCCCTAAAGCATTGGCCATTACGCAAACATTGTGAGTTTTTTGTTAAAATCTTCTTGAGTAATTCATTCATGAGTCTAGTGTATTTCTAAAATGCAGTTTGTCCTACATGCACGTGTTTTACGTTCCTTGTCATGCAGGGATTCCCTCGGGGTAGTCATCACTTTGGCCCTTCACCAAAGCATTGTGGAAATTGTGGAAATGCTACCGGATAGTGGCGATATGTGTGCACAAAAACCGGCTGGCACAAGCTCAACGATGAACAAATGCAATTTTTGCTCCATTCTTTTTTCTTATCATCTCGCGTGGATTCTACTACCGTTTTATGCACTGAAGCACATTTTCATAGGCTACTGACCTCCACATGAAAAATGGCATACTGTTGTGAGGTGGTGTGCAGCAAAACGCGTCGCGTGTTGTCATGGCGGAGGTGCTTTCCTTGACGTTTGTCCACGACGTACCTGACCGACGTTCGTACAGTTTGAGAAATGCATTTAGCGCAAGACTGGTGCATTTCGGCTCTGGGTTGTTGGATGCTGGTCACTTAAGATAGCCGTAAAACGAGCTCAGGAGAAGCTGACCAAAGTAGCAGTGTTGTTTCATAAACTTTGGAATGTCTGAGAGCTTGACTGCGCTGATGTTGCATGTCTCTTGCCCATGCATTGTTTTTTGCGGAGGAGCGTTGTGTTGGGGATTGCTGCTCACAAGCTAGTGTCACTACCCTTGCCTTTTGTTTTCTTACTTTTCGAGCTCTTGGAAATGTTTAGTTATGTTACTTAGTGAGGCGCATTAAGCACCGGTTTATTCACTACAAAGAGGAGAGGTGCTAATATTGTTTGGATGCGTCAAGCTGGAATGAAAACTCGTTCATTTACAGTGTCACAATTGTCTGTTACAGACTGCTGGAACAATGTATTTACATCACGTTAAGAAAAAATTCAGAGAAATATAAACATTGCACCAGTGAGCAAGCTCTCTGGCTGATGTAGTATGCCTCACGGTCAGTAACCTAGCCGTTTAGAGGACATCACCAAGTGCATCAGCAGGACTATTTTGTTAAGATGTGGAGACCATTGGCGGCCGTGCTTCGGTGATCTGGGCAGGGCCTCTCCTGCTTTGTTAACTTTTATCTATAACAACTATATAGCTGAATTCAGCAATGACCTCTTTTATTCGTTGACTCCAGTGAGCAAGTTTTAAGACTATGCAAGCAAGAACATATTAGCTTTTGGCATACTCTCAACAATAGTATCGAAAGTAGTGAATTGGATTCATGACTGTCTATTGGATTGAACTCAACATGTGCTAATGAAAGTTCTTGGTCTGATGGAAGCAGTGTATCTGCCAGTGTCCCCTGGGGTTTTGTTTTGTGGCCCCCTATTGTTACAGCTTTATTTCAGTGATATTGTTTATAGAATTCAACGCACTGTGTGACTGTACACAGATGACTGTGTCATTCAAGGAATGTTAAAGATGATTTCAAAGTGCCATCTTGAAACATGATTTGGGTGGTGTATAGCACTGGTTTGAAAAATGAAAAATGCATTTCAATCCTTTAAAGTCCCAATTTTTATAATTTACATGTGGGCACTTACGTTTTATGCATTTACAATATTGCAACTGCTGATCTAAAGAAAGTATACTTGTCTCTAATTATCTTGGCATGACTTTTCGCAAAATATAGCATGTACTACTCATACCAAACCAGTAACAACCAAAATTTATGAAATGGTAAAATTACTAAGATGTAGCCAATGTTCAGGGCTTTTTTTACCTTACATAAATGTGATCACTTCTCGAGTACACCTGTGTGGTATGGTATCTGCCTACAATTACACCATCATCATCTTATTATAGTATGTGCAAAGCCAAGCCGTTAAATTCATCATAAGTAAATACGAACTGGAGATCAGTTTTGCAGTTGTCAAGCGAAGCTTAGTCTGGCCTGGTCTTCAACAAAGGAGGCCAAAAAGAAAGCTTGATCAGTTTGAAGTTCACTTACATCGAGAAACATAACGTTTTAAAGTTGCATTGTTTGCCAGTTTTGTAATCTTTATTTTTGCATTGTGACCAGGCATTGAAATAAGAGAAATACAGTGTTTTTTATAGGTGTTTTTCAAGGCTTTCTTTCTGACACGCATTTGGTGAATAGAACAGACTGTTCGAAGGTACTTAGTGATACGTGGTGGGAAAAAGTGTACCATCAATTTTTGGTGAACATCTCATAATTTTTTCCCTAAATAATTTACTTTAATTTGGACATGTGGCACACCTTTACCACAATTTATGCTTCGAGTATATCTCGCACATGGTTTTCTTGTTATTTATTATCCACTGTTTTCCTTGCAATAACATCTTCCTATGCACTGTAAGAAATTGCATAAAAATTGGTGAATATATTTCAAGGGTTTCTTTAAATGATTGTTGCCTCTAGTTAACTTGCCTGTCATGCTGATTGTAAATTGTCTGGGCACACAATATTCTTTGGGGGTATGTTTAAACACACTTACCGTATGTAAATATGTTTAAAACTGTAAACCAGACACTGGTAAAAAAGGCACGCAGCATAGAACTTGTGTAGGTTCTGCACATTTTCATCCATTTCCAGCGAGCTCTTTTTAAATTTGCTCACACATTATCCAATGTTTGTAATGAAGCATTACCTACATTTTCAACTTAAATCAAGTGCTTTTTGCATAGAATCTGTATGAAATGTAATATTTGTCATAGACTGCTTTTGAATGCCCTATTTTCTTGCTATCTCAAATTCATTTGGTCTCTAGCTCTGTAAGGTTAACAGGGCGGAAAGGCCGCACAATTATCTCTTGCATATTGACGCACACTCATTACTTGAGAAATGCAGGGATTGGTGCACTTTCATATTTATTTCGATTGCTACCAAGAATCTCGTTTGCTTGCAATATGCCACTTGTGCAGCGAGTTGTATTGTACACACCCGGGAAACTCGCTCACTCTATCCACAGCGGTGCAATCTTGTTCACCTAAGTTATTTACCTAAATAGCCTTGGAACATAAAGCACAAGCCATCTTCGTCGCGCCTTCAGTCACACCCGTAAGTTTCACGCTTATTTTGGACGTCCTTGGCATTCACGTGCTCGTATTCCCCAGTGGCATTAGCAACATTCGTCTTCATCTTTCTTTCACGCAACTTGTACATAGTGTGGTATTGCATATCTACTTTGAGTATGACTAATAATTTGAACGGTGCCATACTCAATCTTCATGGCTTACCTCGTGTTTTTTATTTCATTTCAAGGGGGGAAAAAAAGGAGTTTTCATGGCGGCGTAAGATATTATTTTTATTTGCACTTGGAGCTCAATAGCCTGTGTTAACCAGCGACTTTGAATGCTTTTTCTGTTTTCATGTGTGTTATTTATGTTATTTATTGTGAACATTAAGGTACTCACAGGGAGTGAGCACTCATGTTAATTCATCAAGAGCCAACTAAAACTGGACATGAAGTGTGTAACGCGCTCGAGAGGGCACGAGATAATCTAGAGTTCGCTATCTTCTTTCATCTTGCTTTCTCCATCTTGCCGTTACTATTTTTGCTTTTGCCATCTCTCCGTTCCTGTTTTAATTGTCATTTTTCTTCTGAAGGTGGGTAGGGCTATTGGTCACATATGTGAAAGCTCATTGTTGGTGTTAAAATGATAATTATGCTCTGCAAAGTAAGCAATATACTACACATACATATAATAGTGCAGCTTCTGAATATAGAAATCTATATGTTGGCATGTCTAAGATCTGTTGAGAGCTAAGCGTTTAGTAAAACCTATTCAGTTCCAGAGTTGCGTCGATATGTTCATTGTACGTGTGTATCCTTCAAACCTGTTGGACAGAGTTTCTTGCGTCTGAAATAGTGTTGTCACACATTTCAGAAGTGCAGTGTTTTTTTTTACACTTACATCCAGTGCAGTCAAAGCATCAGCTTTCATTGAATCCTCGCTCATGGCTCAGCGGTGTTCTAGTTGCTGCATGTCACTATGACCTCAAAGCTCAATTTAACTAAACAAGAGACTCAAAGGTTTAGCTCAGCCTATCTGGCTGGCATCCCCGGCGTGCCAGCGTCAGTGAACATATCATACGGAAGGCCTGTCATGCAAATGTGTGATACAAAATACCGCCGGAGCTATCTCTGCCTTGAATTTGCTCAGTCATTCACGGGTGAATGAACGTCGGGGTGAGAGGAACTCGAGGGTAAATGCTTGTGTGACATTGCCTTATCTCCTGACAGGACTCACTGGAGGAGTGCGCAGACACGCCTCGATTTCAGGTGTGCCACTAAATTGTCGTGTTGCTTGAAGAGCTTAGTTCAAAAGCACAGTATCAAAGAGCTTAGAGAGGATATATTAGACATGCATTTATTTAAAATGTTATTGATAATGGATATAAGACGGAGGCTGCTTGCTCATGTTTTCGTTTCACCTTTTCTAGTTGCAAGACAAGCAGAGTTCTGCGTATTCATACGAGCTAGCAGAGGTTGTGGCATCACTCAGCTGTTTTCGACAGCGCTGCCTTAAGCTTTTCTTAAGGTCAATTGAGTGCCGGCAGCTTGTCAAAAATTGAAATCTTTTGGGGTTAAGGCTGCTTGTTATGAGATCGAAATGTTTGTACAGATTTCACTTCCTGTCACGTGAAGTAGAAGCGTATTTTTAATAATTAGGTGTTTCTATAGTTGCAGTGAAACGACACGAGCATCAGTGTGTGCCTCGAATCGTGTATACTACAGTAGGCGTTGCCAGGTTGGATGAGCCGTGTTTTGACCGACTGCGAGCTGTTCTTTGTTCCGCCAGCGTCACGCCTGCGTGAGCACTGACCCCGGTTGAATTCAGGCTGTCGAAGTTCAAACACAGTGTTCATGTTGATAGTGTTGCTTATACACGCCTCGTTGAACAACTTAGGTAGGATGCTTGCTTATTTTAGCATCACTCTCACCGTCACTTCAATGGAATCCCATATTATTAAAATCGCTTGTTTGTAATTACAGTGTTTGTACATAGTGCACTAGTGCACACATAAATGCTTACACTCACTCAAGATTGTGTTGATGCTCACTTTGTTGTTTATTTTTTCTTGTTGACTTTGTTTGTTTGTTGTTTCCCATCTGGTGTGTGATTCGATTACCACTGGCACTTGTACATTTTGACCCGATTGCGTGAGGTGCATTGTGTACTCTATCAATTACGAGTTACGACGTCAAATAAATTGGTGGTTTGCGAGTTTGTGCTTGAGTGAGTTCTTCTTGACTGATCAAATAATGTCCTGTAAATGAGTGCTACACAAACTACCATCAACCTACTTCAGTTACAGAATACAGAGCAAAGACTCTTCTGAAAGTTTCGAGCCTGAACAAGTAGCAAGAGCCCATGGTGACAAAATGTTTGCTGCATTTTAGTGTATAGATCGTTGAATATCAACACACATGACCCTACGGGCTTGACACAACTTTGGTACTTTGATCCCTAGTGAAATAAACATTTTTTTTTACAATGCTTCTGTCTTCACATCAATATTAACAGCTAACACTGAAAAGTGAAGTGGATCCCAGAGAGCTTCCTTTTCATGTATAGGAACAGATTAAAGTCCGACAGTTGATGAGCTGGTCAGTACAGCAGGACCTTCGTGAATGACAACCAACATTCTCTATAGTAGTGCAACGTGAATGGAACTGTACTGTGGAACAATTTCATTCGAGGGTACGATCATTTTTACAGAATTTTTCCCGACTCGAGCCCGGACGCTGTACTATATATGGCCAATGCACGCATATGCAGTTACCCTTTCATCCACTTTACTTCTTAATATTTACATTACATTTACTACTAATAACATCCTTGTCAGTATTGCCCGTTCTCATTAATATTGCATCTAACAAAGGCACCACTGAAAAGTTTTGATATATTTTCATTTATCTTACTCTCCGAACGCAATATTGCATGACGATAGTTATAGCGCGAGAACAGAACGACAAGAGGGACACGAGCGCTAAGACACAATCTGTCGTCTCTTTGTCGTCGTTCTGTTCTCGCGTTATAACTATCGTCATGTCATACCAACTAGCGCAAACTGCCACACCTCTAAGCAATATTGCAGTAATGTATTAGTCCAAAAGCAAAACATGAACAATAAACCCACCAACGAGCGGGTGGTAAGCTGGCTTCACCACATAAAACGTCTGCTTGTGGAAAAGCCTGATTTAACGGGTTTAAACCCCGTTAGATATGAGAGTTCGGACCGCGTTCAACTGCGAGCGTTACCTTCCACCATGTCTCGTCGATTAGTGTGGCACCCTCCTCAACGCAGACTCGTCTAAGCCGGACACCAAGCTGTTTGTAGGGTTTAGAAGTAAGAATTACCGGATGACTATCGAGAATTACGTCGACGGACACCTCAGCTGTGTTCCCCGACTGAAAAGGCTAAGATTTGTGAAGTTCATTTAATTAAGCCGTACTTTTGCAACTGCACTTTGTTGCGTATGGATGAGACTGTCAGCCGCGCTAGCTAGCGCCGCACGGGAATGTTTTGATTGCGTATACAACCATCCATCCATGCGCTTTGTCATATTGTGCGTGTTGTCCTGCCAAGAGGAAGCAGCAACTACCTTGGACCGAAGAAACAAGCGTCTACGCGCGAAGCATTGGGCGTTGGTAGTGTGGTTAGAATGAAGAGGAAAAAGGCACCTAATTTCTGTCTGCCTTCAGGCGACACGGCGCAGTGCCTTATAGGGGTGGGGGGAAAGAGGGATAAAAAGAATAGAAGGAAAATAGACGGAGAAGAAAACAGCCAAGCGAGAGGAAAAAGAAGGAGATAGGAAAGTGGGGATCCGGTCGAAGCAGTCCAAGGGCGGGGTGCCAGAATGCGGGAGCTACACGGCGTCAGGAGACCGCGGAGGGCGAAACAGTCGGCGGGAGCTTCGCTGGTGTCGGAGATCGCGAGGGCACAACCGTCCAGCTTGAAATCCTGCGAGCGAATCGAACTGCCCTAGTTAGCATAATTGGGATACTCATGATTACGTCGGTAACGCACGGTAACAAGCAGTACCGGTTTTACCAGCCCTTCTATACCAGCAGGCTTTTCCTTCTCCTGCATGCGGAAGCAATAGCTTTTACTTCTGTCTCGCAGATGGTGCCTTGGATGGTGCGCCAAAACGCAAGAAGCAGCAGCAAGATGCAGGAAATGTCGAAGGCAAAAAAAAAAAAAAAGGGGGGGGGGGGGGGGGGGGGGTTGGTTTCAGTTTTGTAACAGTTTAAACCGCTTCGATCCAACGCAATCCAGAGACAATCCAGAACCCAAAAGTGGGGAAAGGTCGGGTAGAAAGTCGGGGGGTACTTGTTTAAGAGCGTGTGATCACGAATATCCATGCCTAGATTTTGTCCCGTAGGGACTTTATCGTTAAAACGCGATCACTCTGCAGCTACTAAACTTGTTACTCACCGGAAACAGCTTTCGTTCGTCCGCCGAGGACACCTTGGCCAGCGCAGGCCCCGTCGACGCTGCCGACGTCCCTGCAACAAGTTGAATGAGAAGGAATGCGATCAGACTCTTCTGTTTGCTTGGATGCGGTGCCCTCCTCCTCGCTGTTCAGTCCGTTGTTCTTCAGTATATCTTCAAGCAGGTAACCATTTCTAACTATCACAGCAAATTGTCGCCGATCGAGCCTACGCATGCTACTGTTACAGAGGCGTGCATTTGGCGAGTTACTGACGAAGTATGCTGCGTTAATTAGCTCGGGTTTTTTTGAGAATCGCTTTGGTTAGAAAAAAAAAAAAACGTTCGAGCTTTTTCGCGTGCTTCCCCTACTACTGAGAATATTTTAGTGCTAATTTATGCAACTGACACGCAAGCTTGTTCTGAAGCAGGTGTAATGTAAATGAAATTCATAATGCTATGAATAACAGTTACCCTAAATGCAGCAGTTCACAGCATTATGTAAACGTGTTTCACGATCTTTGTTATGAACAGCTCACAAGCTTGTTTGCATTTTGCAAGCAGTGAAAATGCACTAATTCTTATCAAGAAACAGTAAAAGTGTAGTAGCGTTTGTAATAACCAACGCAAATTATTTATGTTTATTGTTTTAAGTGTTCACGTACTTCGCATTGTTACGCATCTGCTCACGTCTGTTAGTGAGACTGGTATGTGGCTGAAGCATATGAACATCCTGAGCAAAGGTTTGCTAGTGTCAGTCATTTGGTTTTATTTTCGCCTACTTATTTCAAAGTGTTTTTTTTTTCTAAATAAAAGTAATTATTCATTTGGATTATTTGCAGTTCTTCCTAGCATGTATCTTTTTACCGTCTTCTTTACACTATAGTGGTTTCTCTTGTTTTTCAGGAAAAAGACTCTGTTCAACATTTTAGCCCATCATGGGTAAGTCACTGTACTATACACTAAGTTGTTTAAAGAATTGCATCAGTGCAGTGATGTATTTTCGCTGTTCTCGGTTCTTTATGTGCGCTGGTGCTTTAACTTTAAAATTTTTTACAACATTCACGCAAGCCTTGCAGTTAATGCAATCTTGCGTTTTGCATTGTACGTGAAGACCATCCTGCTTCAGCCAAAATGTTGGCTTGCAGTATTTAAAATGAAATAACAGCTGCTGGGTTGACTTCTTTCAGAGCCTGATCAGAGACGTGGCCGATGCGGCAGTCCAGACCGGCTTCCCGCTTTTCATCTTGGATGCGGGCATTCTGCAGTGTCTTGCAGACAGGACAGTCCCGGTTGAACGGCCCTCTTGCTTTGATCTCCCTCGGGGCCAGACCTTTTTGCAGTTCGGCTCACTGGGACAGTTTGCTACTCAAAAGGTTAGCTGCATTTAACTCCTGTCTCAGCATATAGCTCGATGTTTTACTTTTTGTTGAAGCATTTGGTGTCTGCGAACTTATGTATTCTAATGTAGTTGCACTGAGCGAATGGCACGGAAGACTAGCCAAGAGAGCAGGAAAGTAAGTTTGAAAAGTTTCAAGACAGTTGAAAGTTTGCACGCATACTTGTCCTGTTCTATACTTCCTCAGTCTTTTGTGCATTTCTCTTACCACAACAACATTAGCATGTCACAGTAACTAGCTCGAGTTGCAGCATTTCTAAACATATCTGAGCAAGTATGTACAGCAAAATGCTTCTGTGATAAGTGTTGTGAAAAACTTGTGTAGAATGGAAAGTTGGGGGGCTAAGTTGAATACTTGCATAATTGATGTGCCACTAAAGATGAAAGTGTAGGAAGCACAGAGTGCACAGGACAACTCTTTGCTTCTTACATCTTCCTCTTCAGTGTGCTGTTCTGGACACCATGAAATTTCACCATATTATCATATTACATAGTGGTGGCGTTTTAAGCCAATGGGAGGGGCTGTAGCAGCACTCTGGCCAATCAGAGTGGAAAAAATGGCGAATTTGGCAACAGATCCGAAATACGACAGTTGTCATAATAAACAATGTCAAATGATATAGCTTTGGAAATAGCTTTCCACACTGTGTCTCGCCAAATAGCAGCCAAAGGAGCTGCCAGGTGAGCTACACTTAAAAGTTGCTATTTACGATGAAATGTGACATCTACTCCAACTGTTGAGCCAAATATTGAACCTCAGATTGCATGGTTTGCAGAAATTATTATTCATTGCTCTACGATTTTGAGCAAGCACATCTGCCAATTTCGCAGCTAATTTCAAATTTACGCACTGTTTTGAGAGAGCGCTATCCCTTTCGCGTTCCATGCCCATGCAGGCCCGATCTCAAAACGCCAACACCTGAAGTTTGTTGTCGAAATTTGATTTTTTTTCTTTCCTTCATACTGATCACACGTAGCACTGGGCGTAGGACATCCATGTCAATTTCCAGGTTTCCACGAGCAAAAGCATTGGCCTTCAAGATCTGTATTCGCACTTCAATGGTGGTGCGGGCAATGCACTAGTTAGCAAAAGCTTGGCCTCCAAGATCTGTTTCTGTGGCCCAGAACTGTTAAATTGGCATTGGGCTCATCATCGGAGGTTCTTCCATGCCATGTTTATCGCAGTCTGATCGCATTGCCTTTGTATTTCCTGCGTCTTTGATTCGTAATGCACTGTGCCATGTGAGAGCCAGAAGAATTCTGAGAAAGTCCATGTGCGCTGTTGTTTTTTCTGTTAGAAAATTTTTGCTGCTGCCATCTTAAATTTTGGAGCTGATTTGGAAAAGCACCCCCCCTCCACTTTGCCAGTAATTTATAGTTCTTTTTTGGGGGGAAGGGGTGGGGAGCAGGGTTTTCTTGGAATTTTATGGTGTGAGTGTATTAATATTTGTTGCATCCTGATTTTGATGATAATCTGAAGGTTTAAGGCTATGTCAGATAATTCAATATATCTGCCTTAAAATTAAATTGTAATGCTCATGTCAAGTCACTCATGTTTCTCAGTTGCACCGATTTTTTGGCAGGAACATGACTTCCTGTCCCTCCTGACTCGTGTGGGTTACAAGACATCGAAGCTGAGTGTTCCCAACCCCAAGGTGCTGGCCCATGGCCTGGAAGTGCTCATCCCCACCCACTACCTCATCTCCCAGAAGCCGAACACTGCAGTACTTCACGTTGTTGTCTTTCATGAGCGACCAGGCAACTTCTGGTGGCATGCAGCTGCCGCGGCAGATGAAAAAGACGCCAACGAGACAGACGTCTCATTTAGTAGGCTGATCACGTCAGCAAGAAGCCATCAATTTATCAAAAGTGACGGAGCATATGATAAGTGAGTGTCCCAAATGTGCAAATGAATGAAAGGTTCATACTGCTTCCTTATATTTGTAAATGGCTAGGTTTGAAAAGGTGAGGCTAAAAGCTGTTTCACGTAACTCAGAACACAGCTAGTCAAGCCGTCAAATTCACGCTGCTGTGTTTGTTTTGGTGATGTCGATTGGGGTGCATTTTAAAACACGTTCACATTGCAAAGTGTCCATGTCAAAGCATGCTCTTTTTTGACTGCTATTCATCAAAGCTTAAAAATATCATAACACATGTATTTCTTTATGCTATGTTTGAAAAATAATTCAGGGTCTGTCTCAAAGAATGGAAACAAGCAACCTTGTCTTGGGGGCTCGAGCCCCCTCACACCAGTTGCAATGTATGAGAAACGAACCCGCCATTAGTGGTGACTTCGAAGAGAGAATAGAGCGAACTAATTTTTTTATTGTTGTTCGTGCTACTGCAGTTGCTGCATGTGAAACATCCTTAATATAGAAATTGTATGCGATGTTTGGCAGAGAGAAACGTGAGCCAAGTAGTATTGCACATGTGTCTTGGCGATTCGGCAAACCAAAGGCCAGCTGTTTTAAAGTCAGTCATTCTAACCAATGGAACCAGGAAGAGCACTTACATTGTAGTGGAATGAAATAATTGTTACAATCAGTCAGATGGTTTTCTGAACAACTTCCTCTTGATTTTTGACCATTTGCAGCCTGCTTAGGTCCACTGTAGGACGAAAGCCACTCCCCCCTGTGATTTCCAGTTTACATTATGTAGCGTGAGCCAATTTGCACAGCTTAGCTGCAATTCATGAAATTATGCCTGAAAGTTATTAATGCACATAACAGAGGTGGTCGTAAAAAAGTTACTGGCGTTATTTCATGATAAGTTTTTTATTTGCATTTGTTCTTCAGCTTTGCCTCCATGGGTCATACATATTATACCGTTTGAATATGTAAGGATTCAGGTGTTTTTTCGGTACATTGAAGAATGGAAAATAATTTATAGGCAGCATGCCCTGTTATGACGTTATGTGCTGTTGCTTACCACATGTAATCCTTCTGTTTCCTCAGAGTGGAAGTCCTTCCATGCGACGTGGGCGGAGGCGTGCGTTCATTCGTCCCCACGCAGTTTGGCACGTTCGTCGACGAGCAGCCATTCATCGAATGCAATGCGACGCGTGCCCGGCTCTTTCACACCATCCACGGACGGGACGAGACTCCTGAGGCTGAGCTGTTCCGCCTCAAAGTTCACCGCCTGCTTCTCAAGGTCAAGCAGCTGCTGGGAGAGCTCAGCGTTCCCTTCTGGATCAGCAGTGGAACTTGCCTCGGTGTGTCCACAACTTGTCTTTTGTGCTTGCGTAACTGAGAGATGAGTTAGTTGGTAAGTATCCATTCTAAAAGACAGGGCGTGCAAACACAAACACTTACTAATCAAGGGCGGTGCCAGGACCTCAGTACCGGGGGGAAGCACCCACAATGAGCGAGTTCCTTCAGAGGCAGGGAACTTTGTCATTGTGTTATGACTGTATTCCCTTTTGGGGGAGGGGGCAAGCAAAAATTTTTAGAAAACTCCAGCCCCCCCCCCCCCACCCCACCCCCCGTTCCCACCCCTGGTGCGCCATCCCTGTTACTAAGACCTGCAAAGGCGCAAAATGGCAGAAAAGAAAAAAAGACATTAGAACATATCTGCGCATACCCATCTGAATTACTTGAAGGCTGCAGCTATTATAGACAAATACTGCTTTCGTAGAAACCACAATGAACAACCGAAAAATCAATGTAAATGTGCTAAATAAACTTTTATTTCATTATCAATAGTTCTTTGAAATTTTTTAATTTAAATAACAGTGCATTGCAACATGTGCTACAATGCACATTTTGCAATGCATTATTATCGTAGTTGTTGAGATGCATTTCTGTTGTGAAAATCGTTCGCCAAATTGATGGCCTGTCTTCTCCAGTGCATGAGTTGCTGCCCTGATGAAGACCAGGCCCCTTGCTGGAACGTTGGCTCTGAATACTCTCCTTGGTCAATGACCTTTTATCAGTCGAAGCATACTCATTTCTGTAAATAGTGTGTATGAGTACATTGTGCTTGTCTTGTGACTTGGCTCGCATCCAGTTGCCGTGTGCAAAAGACAAGTGTTAGTATTTGCATCTGTGACCCGGTTGGCAGATGTGCAATGTGCAGGAATGAACTTGCAGTCAGAAAAAGGGCTGAATTTTATCAGTGCGTAACTAAACACGGATCTAATAAGGCAAGCTACGGAGTCTCACAAGAGGAACACCTTTATTAATTAATTTATTTATTTATGAATACTGTGGTCTTTCTTTGAAACATCATAGCAGGAAGGATACAGGCTACAAGATGTGCAATTTTTAATAAACAAACAAGGTACAGTAACAAATGAGTAACAATTTTGTATAAAAAGAAATACAAATGTACCTGAATATAATTATCAGTGTGAAAGTGTAACATTCTACAAAATTATAACTATTAAATGTTAAGTGAAGCTACCTTCAAATGATAGTGCATTTGAGATACATCATTAAAAAAATTATACCAGTCTGTAACAGTTTTTAGGGGGAAAAATTAATACTTGTGGCAATTAGTTCATGAAGTTAGGGTAGCTATCGTGTGACTTAGTCACTTCTGTGTGCCATAACCCAAAGAAAAGTGGGTAATGTTTGAAGTGCTGCCATATAAAGCTCTGTACAGTAATCGTTAAAAACATTTTGTCTACATATGCGATTTCTATCTACAATAAATTGTGTTCCACTTCTTGGTAATATTTCAGAGAATAACATTTGCCCTTGTGAGTTATAAATAAAATGCATTTGTTTGATCCTTCAGGCTTCTTCAGGCAGTGTGATGTGATTCCCTACACGACTGATGTTGACATTGGAGTCTTCATCAAGGACTACAAGCCTGAAATCATTTCTGCATTCTCAACGCATGACATCCCCCTCACGCACCTGTTTGGAAAGGTACAGCCAGTGCTAACTAGAATTTTTGCTGCTTCGATGCGTGACGCTGTTCTAACACTGCCTTTCGCACAACCAGGTCGAAGACAGCTACGAGCTGTCATTCAGAGATCGTGACGTCAAGCTTGACATATTCTTCTTCTATGAAGAGGACGACCACATCTGGAATGGAGGCACACAAGCTAGGACCGGGAAGAAGTTCAAGTGAGCTTCTTGATTTCTCATCTCATTAATTTTGCACACACAATAAAGCGCTTTATAATGCACTGTGTTTTGTGGCAGAATATTCTATGCATGCTCCTACAACAAGCTGGCTATTGTTTGGTAACTATGATGTAATGTTCATTGGCTCTGGGCAAATTAGTAGCCAATAGTATTATTGAACTTTTAGATGATTTACTTTCCAAGTGGCTTTTAAACTACTACTGTATCTTGAAAGCTTTTCTTTAAGTACAGATAATATGATGCTCCATGATATGAACTAGAAGTGGAACTGAATGAACTATTATTGTTCCTATAGAAACATCTGCAAGCACATTAGTGTACACGATGCATACATATATGTGAAGTTTCACTGAATATGTATGCACAGGTCGTGGGCATCTGCATGTGACTTGAATTGTTTTAATTTTTTCCTAGGTACACATTCCCGAAGTTCAAGCTTTGCTGGACGGAGTTTTTGGACATCAAGTTGAGAATCCCGTGCGAGACGGAGAAGTACATTGAGGCCAACTATGGGCCCAACTGGTTTCAACCCTTAAAAAGATGGGATTGGAAGGCAAGCCCTCCTAATGTTGAAGAAAATGGCATTTGGCCAGTTGAAGAGTGGCCACATGTCATCAAGCTGTTCCCATTGCCAGAGTCGTAATGTGGCTTTTGTTGCTGTCGTGTGCTACATTGGTTTCGTAGATGCAAACACTGCAATAAAGGGTGTGAACTGTTGTACAGATAGCATAACACTGGAACACTGCATCTTTTACATCGTCTCTTTTCATACACAACCACATAGGCATATCATTGTGCACCGTCAGTGGGCATTCTTTTCCAAGAACGTCATACTAAGCAGTGCCTTTTTTTTTTCTTTTTTTAGCCCTTGAATGTGCAGATAACTTTTTAGTTGGTTTGTGAAAAACTGAAATCTTTATTAAAAGACTTTCAAATGAAAAGACATTGCATCAGCACTCCCTTTCTCACTTTCTTCTTGTATCAGCATAGCCAATAGAACTAACATTTGGGTACTTGAACTGGTATAGCGCATTATGGGGAAGAAGAAACGGCCGAGCAGACCGACACAAGAGGACAGAGCGCTCTGTCCTCTTGTGTCGGTCTGCTCGGCCGTTTCTTCTCCCCCGCAATGCGCTATACCAGTTCAAGTACGACGAACCAACTCGCCCGATCTTCAACACTCGTGTAACATTTGGGTAACTTGGTACTGATTCGTCATTCAATGCATGACACCAAACAAGGACAAATGTGAGACTGAAAGAACACCAGTGCAAGATATAGGTATTTGAATGTGATATATTGAAGTGTCCTTTTTTTTTTTTTATTAAACCAGTTGACAGTTGAGACAATACCAGTTGCATACAAAGTAGGATGACTTGCAAGTCTGACCATTGTGTAGGGTCATGTCAAGTTGCTGCAAAAAAGTGAGGGATGTAAGTCCTGATTTGGAAAAGCTTGCGCACATTAATCGCTGCCACACTCCGCAAAGTAAGTGAAATCCTACATAAACAGACTGGCCGAACGGCATCCAGCTTGAAGCAATGAGCAAAAGCAGGAATATAGAAAAATTGACATAGAAGGTTGGCCAGATATCCTTGAGCTCAACTAGCTACTGCCTCTAAAGATTTTTTTATTCAGTGGCAACTAATTTTCTTAATGAAGGTGTCATATGGCTCTTTTGATGCGAGTCATGTTCGTCGACCACAACCTACATTTCTCATGATGCCACTGCACATGCAGCGTTACTGTGGCGGAATATCGCTAAACACTTCTTCATCTCAGAGGCTTTTGTTCTGACAATACTAGTTGTCCCAGCCTCTAACAAAACCCTTCGATAATGGCAGAGGGCAGCACAGTAAAATGAAAAATTGTGGATTAGCGTCCTTCCACTCTTTTTGCAGATCAGCCCACATGATCAAGAAACTCGGATCAAAAGAGTACCATAAAGCACCTATAATAAATATATTATAAACAAGTTTAAGAGGGCCGTACATAGAAATACTGAGTATAATATTTTAAATTCTGTTTTCTCATTTTTAATAGCAGTGTGCCGATTATTATAGGCTGATAAAATGTGACTTTTTCGCATTTCACATTGAAGCATCAGCACTGGTTTATGTGAGTGTGACATAATGAATTTCAAAATATGTTATGCTTTTATGCTGCTCTGGATCAGTAATAGTGTTTTCAAATATTTTAGAGTCAATCTCTACGGTGTCTTCCGTTCCAATGGAGCATAGCGAAAAAATATGGTGCAGGGTTCGCAGATACAAGGGGCAATGAAATCTTGATGAAATCGAATAGACTTCATGGTGCCATGGTGAACTGATATGGAAATTTACCTGCAGCCTAACCAGCCATATTTTGTTCTTGAAGTCTTTTTTTTTTGTATATGGTTAGAGTACCAGAAGAGACCAGCTTTATTTTATGTGTTTGAGAAGGTGCTGTTCACTCATGTACTTCCCCACAGAGGGAATAGCCGAGTATTAGCCGATCCCCCCCCCCCCCCCCCCCATGTGGGTAGGTGCCAGTGATCCCAGGAGCATCATCGTTACCATGGCGGAAATTGTAAGATTGGGAGAGAGACAAATAGGAGCACCACCCAAACCACTACATCAATTGCAGCTGTGCATTAACCAAGCTTGGCTAACCTCCCTGCCTTTCCTCTCTATTTACCTCTCTCTCTCTCGCATGAGTCATTTATATCGTCTCACTTCTAGCACGATCCCTCTCCTAGCCACATTTATCAGCACGCGCAATTTCAAATTTTCCCGCCTACCAGTGTGGGTGCACAAAAAGGCCCAGAAAAAGTATTGAATTTATTACGTACGCAATAAAAAACTTTTTTATGCGTGCATTAGTTTGGTAATTACTGAATAGAAAAAGCTATGCAGCCCTCAAACGTTTTGGAGAAACTGGTTTATTTATTACTGTTGCTACGGAGATGGCGCTAACGGCGCTCTTGTCTTCGCGAACCAATTTAGTTTGCAACCGAACGACAGTCGGCAACATTGTGAAACTGGCCGCGGAAAACCGAGGAGAAGAAGAAGGAACGAGAAGCGAACGAGCAGTCGTATCGCACTCTCTCCGCGACGGAGGTGACGGCGATTTTCTCGGCGTCGCTGCTATGGCTGCCCTCCCCACACTTGCACAGGTTAGTTCGTCGCGATCTGGCGTACAAGGAGCATCCAGTGATCCCGCTAAGCTCGGCGCCGCAGCAGAGCTGCTTTCACGCCAAGGGGGCGGAGTAGCCTGCAGAGCTGCCCTCACCGCGGAGGCTCGTTCGATTAGGGTTAATTGTCACCGTAAAATGAGTTTTCGGCCCCAACTTGGCCCACAAATGTGATCTCGAGCGCGCTCAAACCGCGGAGCACGGCCGGCCGCGTTCGGCGGGAGCACTCGACCGCACCTGAAATCCGTCCGCTTGACGGGTGAGGTTCGGAGAAGGGTGCCCGAGCCAACTTTCGGCTTTAGTATGTGTCAACTTCGGAATAGCTTTCTTTTTGTTTTGTTTTGTGAGCGCACGAGCTTGTAGCGGTGTTTCCACTGGTGTGCAGTTATGCGTAGGTTCTTTCACGCATCGGCGAGCCGGACGCCGATTTTTTGAGCGGGCGTTTCGGCTATGCACATCGCATTTGGAGACACGCTTGGATGGTGGCGATCCAACACCTGAGCGTGCTGTTGCGGATGTTTACTATTATTCTCCGCGCTTCTTCCTGTGATATCCAGAACACACACTGAGCAGGAGTATAATGCAGCAGCAGTATAATGCACAAATATAGACGAAAGGCTGGCTAATCTATTGGCGTACAACTTCAGCATTCCGTGGACGCTGCCGGGTTATGAAACTGATGCTGCGCGTTCAGCGGCTTTCGAGTCGTAAACAACGTACCATCCGGATCGGTCTAAATTTATCTCCTATCCACTGTGGTACGTGCCGGAATAGTGAGGTGTACTACCTTCAGGACCTACATTTCATACAAACATTCCCAGGCCTGCCAGATAAGGCCATTTAGAGCTTCGCGCAGCTACGACAGAAGATAACACGCGCGGCAATTTTACGGGCATCGGAACGCGAGGATTGTGATGCATGCGGTGATGATAAGGCGGGGAATCGTCGCGCTTGTTCGGATTTTGTTTAAATGTAGTTCGATGTGCCAGTTCTCTGCGTGCGAACCACTTTTGCTTTCTTTTCTGCGCGCCGCGTTGTTGTGCAGTGTAAATGTTCTGTAGGAACTTACGACGTACCTTCGCCTCTTTTCTGTGTCGTAACCGTGCAAATCTGTTGCAGATCGCCGGAAACCACACCACGGTATACGAGGCTTTCTATCAGCAGGTATGATTTATTTTCAGAATCAAAGTTGAGATAAAGCGCTCCCTGCTTTGAGTTACTTTCGTTCATTTTTTTTTTTCTCTCTTCTGGACGACCACGCCCAACCCATATATACTCTGAAAATGTTTTAAAACCTTTGGATGGGGATATGTGCTCGAAATAGACCTCAAGAATGATCTGCCTGTATATGTCCAATCGTGCTGTGCTCCATTTTTATGTTTTTCTTTTTTGCCTCCACATTTCTAGTTCTGACGTTTCCTTTAAAGTGTCAAATCTTTGAGTGTACTAAAAAAATTGTTTTTGTGCTAATGAATAGTAGTAGTGCTCTGCGTGTTTCTGTGGAGAGAGGCATTATATTTGATGCAGGCTGCCCAATGCACAGTAGTGCAACAGGCATGTTATCACAATGTGGAAACAAGACAAGGAAGGAAGTCCTTGCCCATTTATTAACTCTTAATTTTCGCTGTAGATTATAGCTACAGCTTTTAACTCTGGTGTCTATAGTTGGCAATTCTTGTGAAGAGCACTTAGTGCAGCAGAATTTTTGTACAGAACATTATATAACGGGAAATATCTTCTCCAAACAACAGGAGTTTCATTCACTGAGAAAGTGTTACAGAACTGTTTTTTCGCATGCACTATACGTGCTTAGATATGTTAAGAATGTGTCGGTTAGTTTCACTAGATTGTTGCTACAGCTCCCAACTCGAGTGTAGTGGCATAGAACTTTTTCGGAACATTAGAGAACAAGAGAAACGTGCTCCTAAGTTGCATTCGCTGAGAAAGATTTTGAAGACTTTTTCTTGTCTGCCACGGAGGTTCAGCGGCTAGGGTGCTCGGCTGCTAACCCAAAGGTCGCGGTTTTGATCCCGGCTGTGGTGCTCACATTTCGGTCGAGGCAATGTACTGTGCAATGTCAGTGCACGTTAAAGAACACCAGATGGTCGAAAGTTTCGGAGCCCTCCACCGCAGCGTCTTTCGTAATCCTATCATGGTTTTGGGACGTAAAACCCCAGATATTATTATTACGACTTTTTCTCGTGTATCCTCTTCACATGTTTACATATGGTAGCAATGTGTGTTGGGTGTTTGTCTCCTGTTTGTCTGCTACAATCAAGAACCAAATAACAAGCAGTTGTGTATGGCCTTTATCAAGGTCCAATAGAGGTCGCTGTCTGAACCATTGGCACAGCCAGAGTTTTGTATAATAAATCATATAATTTTGGGTTTTGAACATACAGAAAGAAATGTAACATTATGATATGCTATAATGGACTCTGGAAATTGCAACCATGTTGGGGTTGTTCAACGTGCTCCTAAATCTAAATACACTGGCATTTCCGCCTCTGTCGAAAAGCACCCATGGCGGCCAGGATTCGATCCCATGACCTGCTGGTCGGCAGTCAAGTGCCATAAGCACTAGATCACTGTGGCGGGTGTGCATTTGTATGTTTACGTGTATATGTACACATGCAAATTAAAAAAAATTCAGGGGAGGGAGGTGGGTTGAAACCCCTTCTTTAATTAACCCTGGCAGCGTCTGAGGCCTGAGTAGAAGACATATGTCACAAAGGTATATTTCAAGGTGCCCTGCTTTTTGAAAAACCTTTTGAGCTTATTTCTGAGAGTTCATTGGTAGAAAAGTTAAAACTTGGGTTGAAATGGTCGAAATGTTTTTTATTTTCGGGGGGTTATCCATTTGCATAACCTAGCAGTTAGGACTACTGCCCCGCTTAATCACAAGTTATGTCAAGGCGATTTCCACTTAATGAGATGCTGATGTGCAGTTCAAGGTCACAACGGTGCTTGTTTCAACAGGTGGATCCGGCAGGCATCAACCACGTTGGGGCACTTGAGGCCGCGACATTCCTAAAGCGCTCTGGGCTAGCAGATGCCATTCTGAGCAAGGTATACCTCGATTGCTGTTGCTTTTGTGAGAGAGTAACATTATGTGCTCGAAGTCGCAAATACGTTTCTGTGAAGTGGCATGTCATTTGTTTATTTAATTAACGTTTTTATGCTTTCTCTAAATGGTAGGCAATTTGCCAAAATAATGAAGATTGCTACTTGTATTGTTTACCCTTGCAAAAAGAACTTGCATCACTTTTTTGAACATGCGTGCTCTTTTCATTTGGGTTGTACACACTCACATTACATATGTTGTACACGTTTGCAAAGATTGTGTTATTACTTGTTTGTATTTATCAGCAATAATAACAGAATTATATGTTATAATTATTAAATATGCCCACTTTATTAGTCTAAAGGAGATGTATATTTTGTACAAATTGTGACACATTGTTTGCTTATGCTAATTTAAGAGCAGGCACAAATCAATGTGTCACTTTCAGACCCTACATTCATTGGTTTCTTGAAGGGGTTGGCAATAACAGATAGCTCCAGCACATCATTCTGCTCATCCTCATAGTATTTCAGCTCAGTTCTGCATGAAAAATTTTGTGGTTTGACATATTATGCGGGGCTCTTGTTTCAATTTATGCGGTTGATTGCGACACTTGGCTGTTTGTGGGCATTGCAGATTTGGGACCTTTCCGATGCTGGCGGGAAAGGGTTCCTTGACAAGCGAGGCTTCTTTGTCGCGCTCAAGCTGGTCGCCCTCGTGCAGAATGGCAAACAGCCTTTACTGGCAAATCTGACGTTGCCTGCGCCACCACCAAATATGGTATAGTCTTTTTTTTGTCCTGTTCTAGCGCTTCACCATTAGAGGCACTAACCACAATTTGAATTGAAAACCAGTGGTACGCTTTCTGCTGAACTGACGCCTGTGTAGATCGTGTCACCAATATTTGGATGTTTGACTCTCTTTCTCTTGCATTGTGGTTGAAAGGTTAAGTGTGTGCAAAATATGACGCCGCTTTACTCTGTCGCAGTATGTTACGATTCGTTGTAGGAAATGAAGATATTGCTTGTATTTTTTGTACATAGTCTCTGGTAAAACACATTTTTTTTGTTAGACTCTAGTCAAACAAGTTAGTTCATATTGAAAAATTATACTTCAAAAACTCTCTTGCAATTTGTTTCACTATCATAGGTTCATTGATAAATGAGGAAATCGGTGTAGAAAGTTTTGCATTTAAGGATTGCAGTTGTTTTTTTTATGTTGGCCACATTAGCCCAACGAAAGTTTCTGACACTTAGTATATTAACTTTCCGGCTCCCTCAGAAGACGATGCAAGTCATTTTTACCAATTGGGAATTAGAAGCAGTCAATCTGTTATCCCGGGGACTGGTGCGGGAACCTCGACATGGAATCGCCACCCATATTTTCTTTTTGTGTTCTCACGTACCATATTCTCGCAGCAAGTGTGTTTTGTTTTTCAATATTGTGAAAAGGTAATTTACTTATACGAGAAAAATTGTTTTTCTCTTTAGTGTCTCTTTAACATTAATTCAGACTTGTTGTCAAACATACTAAGCTCACCAAGAAGTAATAGAATAGTTCAAGAGGTTATGCTGTGTCAAGCTGTACTAGGTAGTCTGTTTTAAGCTGTTATGAAATGTCTTCTCTTTACACAGGCTGAACAAGTTCGAAGCACAAATATAGATTGGTCGGTGAAGGTGAGCAGCTTAATCGGTGAACGTTTTGTAAAACCTGTTGTGAATATTGGAGCAGTAAGAGAAAGGTCATTGACATTTATTAAATATTTGTTTTTTTTTTTTCCTTCTGAAAGCCCTTGGAGCAAACCAAGTATGTCGAGATGTTCAACTCCTTGGGACCTGTAGCTGGAAAGCTCCCTGGAACCAAAGTTAAACCGGTAAAGCGTCTTGTTGCGGTTATACGGATGGGGAACCTAGTGATAAATGAAAACTAACAATGCTTGGCGCTTGCAGGTGATGCTTAACTCGAAGCTTCCTGTGGATGTGCTGGGAAAGGTAAGTTCCTTGTCTTGATGGCTAGATTCACCTTATCCCTTTGAGGCTGTTTATACACAATTGTGTACACCACTTGTCTTGGTTAGTTTTGTTGACTAGTGACTAAGATAAAGCAAGACTTGTTGAGCTGTGGACAAGTTGAACTTCCTGGATAATAAATGTCTTAATTTAACTTCATCTTGCAGTGTACACTTTGCTGAAGGCACTACCATGTTTGGTCGAGTTTTTCCACATGCCGCTTTGCAATAACCACAGGAGAAGTATTTTTCTTGGATCGAAATTAGAATAAACGAAAACAAGTTTGTACTGCAGTTATAGCCATGGACTTGATTTACTTATGCAAAAACAGATGAGAAATGACTACAGGATAGGTTATATTAAAATTTGATTGTTATAAAATGCATAAGTTAACTAGTGACATTGTTTTTGTTGCTGTAGATTATAGAGTTCTTTGAAGTGACATGCAGATTTGATGCATTTACAGACAGTTCTTCATAGAGTGCGTCTGGTAGGGTTAAAAAACTGAGTGATAGAGTGCACGGCACGCTCACAGGGTTGTATGCGTTTGTGGGCATGTCTAGTCTCCACGTTTTATATTGTCACGATGAGTCACAAGTACTGGGGGATTTATTGAACGACCGGGTAGCTAGCTCTAGGACGATGCGTCAGTCGTGGCTGGCTCTCGAGCAGAGAAGAAGACACGCGATCTTCTTTTTCCTCCAGATTGAGAGCCGCTCTTGCTGTTGACCCACTACGTGCTGGTGGCATTATCCCCCCTTCCGAAAAGAAAAAAAAAACAAGTCCCAAAAAGAGGAAAGAAAAGTACGTAGCATCACCGCGATGCTACAACATAGGCACGTGAAAAAGAAATTGGAAATTCGGATAAAGTGAAAGTAAAGATTGAAGAGCATGCCAAAATAAGAAACGTCAATGAACGAGAAAGCAAGTTCACACAAATAAACAAAAAAAACACAAAGCATGCTGTACAGTAAATGAAAAGTTACGAGACACGCGCAATAAATGGTTTCATGCCCAACACATGAACGACGTCCGGCCTCAGCCGTGTCCTACTCCGTGCATGGGGTGTTGAGTCCGGAACCACTTCGTAGTTCACGTCACTGACGCGGCGTAACACTTTATATGGGCCAAAGTACCGGCTCAGCAACTTTTCACTAAGGCCACGGCGGCGGACGGGCGTCCACACCCAAATTTGATCTCCGGGGCTGTAAAACACTTCTCTGTGGCGGGTATTATAGCGTCGTGCGTCTGCCTGCTGTTGCTGGCCGATGTGCAGTCGCGCGAGCTGCCGGGCTTCCTCAGCACGCTCTGCGAATTCTTCGGCGTCAGTTGCCAACTCGTCTTCGTCTTGACACGGTAGCATGGAGTCTAGCATGGTCTGTACTTCGCGGCCGTAGAGAAGCCGAAATGGCGTGAATCGCGTGGTCTCTTGCACGGCGGTATTATACGCGAAGGTCACGTAAGGTAAGATCCGGTCCCATGTTTTGTGCTGTACGTCGATGTACATTGAGATCATGTCTGCGAGGGTCTTATTCAGTCGCTCGGTAAGTCCGTTGGTTTGCGGGTGGTACGCAGTTGTCCTTCGGTGTCTGGTGTTGCTCAGTTTGAAAACTTCGTCCGTAAGCTGCGCCGTGAATGCCGTCCCTCTGTCCGTTATTACACTGGAAGGAGCACCGTGTCGTAACACGATGTGGCGCATGAAAAATTGTGCTACCTCAGAAGCCGTGGCTCGTGGGATCGCTTGGGTTTCAGCGTAGCGTGTCAAATAGTCGGTCGCGACGATCACCCATTTGTTGCTGTCCGCAGACAGGGGAAATGGCCCGAGAATGTCCATGCCGACTTGGTCGAATGGCGTGCAAGGTGCTTCAATCGGCTGAAGCAAACCAGCTGGCTTAACAGATGGTTGCTTTCGGCGCTGACATTCCCGACAGCTCTTGACGTACTTCTTGACGCTTGCCGAAAGTCCTGGCCAATAGTACCTCTCACTCACTCTGGCAAGTGTCCGTGAGTAGCCCAGATGACCGGATGTGGGTTCGTCATGGCAAGCGAAGAGGACGTCGTCTCGCATGTCTCGAGGAACCACCAGGAGGTAGGCACGGTTGTTCGAACGAGCGTTCTTCTTGTACAGCACACCATCTCGAAGGCAGAACGATGGCAACGAGCGGAATAAATGACGTGGTATGATTGTGTCCTGGCCCTCTAAATGATCGATGATCGGACGAATCTCTGCGTCATCCCGCTGCCATTTACTCAAGTCTGATGAGCTAATGGCGCCCAGAAAGCCTTCGTCTTCCTCTGCATCCTGACTGACGACAAGAAGGGGTGCGCGTGACAGTGTGTCAGCGTCTTCATGCTTACGGCCGGACTTATGGACGATGGTGACGTCAAATTCCTGCAGCCGCAAGCTCCACCGTGCTAGCCGTCCTGAAGGGTCGCGCAGGCTTGCCAACCAGCAGAGGGCGTGGTGGTCCGTCACTATCTTGAAGGGACGACCATAAAGGTACGGGCGGAACTTGGTGATTGCCCACACGACTGCGAGGCACTCTTTCTCCGTAGTGGAATAATTCGCCTCGGCACGGGATAGAGAGCGGCTGGCGTAGGCTATCACTCTTTCGATGTCCTCTTGACGCTGAACGATCACTGCACCGAGCCCAATATTACTAGCGTCGGTATGGACCTCCGTGTCAGCATCATCGTCGAAATGAGCGAGAACGGGCGCTGATTGCATGCGCTGTCGCAGCTCATCAAAAGCTGCTTGTTGCTCGTTTTCCCAGACAAACGGCGTGTCGTCCCTTGTGAGACGAGTCAGAGGTTCTGCTATTTGTGAAAAGCCATGAATGAATCGGCGATAGTAGGCGCACAAACCAAGGAAGCGCCGGACGGCTTTCTTATCGACAGGAGCTGGTAATTCGGCAACAGCGGCAAGCTTGTCCGGATCGGGACGGATTCCTTCGGCGCTAACTACATGTCCAAGAAATTTTAGTTCTTTATAGCCGAAGTGCCACTTCTGTGGTTTTAGTGTGAGGTCCGCCGATCGGATAGCCTCCAGCACGCTGCGCAGGCGGTGAAGGTGCTGCTCGAACGTGGTAGAGAAGACCACCACATCATCAAGGTAGACAAGACAAGTCTGCCACTTCAGCCCTGTGAGGACAGTGTCCATCATTCGCTGGAAAGTTGCCGGCGCTGAACACAAGCCGAAAGGGAGTACTCGAAATTGGTATAGGCCGTCTGGAGTCACGAAGGCTGTCTTTTCGCGGTCTCGCTGATCTACCTCGATTTGCCAGTACCCGCTTTTGAGATCGAGAGAAGTGAAATAATGGGCACGACGAAGTCTATCGAGCGAATCGTCGATACGTGGTAGCGGGTACACATCCTTTTTGGTCACGTTGTTAAGCTTTCGGTAATCGACGCAGAAGCGTAGCGACCCATCCTTCTTTTTGACAAGCACGACTGGAGATGACCACGGGCTGTTGGATGGTTCGATAACGCCATCGTCAAGCATCTCGCGAACTTGCGTACGTATCGCTTCACGTTCTTTAGCCGACACGCGGTAGGGGTGCTGGTGTATTGGGCGTGCGTCCTCGTACGTGATGATCCTGTGTTGAGTGATGGACGTCTGGCGGATCTTTGAGCAACTTGCGAAGCAAGACCTGTACTCGAACAAGAGCGCTCGCAGCGCAGTCTGGTTATCGGTGGACAGATCAGGATTGATGTCAATGTTGCTCATTGATGTGTCTGCGTTATCCACGATTTCTGACGTGAGACAGTTGGTTACGTTTGCTACTTCGTGGGCAAACGCTATCGAAGTGCCACGGAAAAGGTGTCGATGCTCGTTGCTAAAGTTGGTAACGAGCAATTCAGATCGGCCGTCACGAACGTGTATTACACTTCTCGCTACACATATGCCTTGCTGCAGGAGGTGTTCTAAATTTGTCTCGGCCACCACATCGCCATCGCTCAAACCACAGCATGTTACGTCGACTAGAACACTGGCTCGGGGAGGAAGCGTCACGCTCTGTTCAGAAATACGGAGTACGTCGACACGCATTCCGTCATCCTGCACGTTGATTGCTCGCTGGGCTGAGAACGTGACGCGGCGCTCTTTCAGATCAATGATAGCTCCATTTTCCTGTAGAAAATCAACTCCCAGAATGACGTCACGGGAGCATTCACGTAGAACAAGGCAGCTTGCTACGAATGTGTACCCTTGAATCTGTACTCTAGTTGTGCAGGCGCCCAGTGGAGTAACGACATGGCCACCAGCTGTCCGAATCTGCGAGTTATGCCACGGCGTGATTACTTTCTTCAGCTGCGTTGTCAGTTTTCCGCTCAGTATGGAATAGTCTGCGCCGGTGTCCACTAACGCATTAACTACACAACCATCAATTGTTACTGCTATGTCGAGTGAAAGCCGGCTATCCTTTGCAGCAGCAGGTGATGTCGGACCAGTTTCTGTACGGTTCTGCGTCAATAGGAGGTCTTCAGCGCTTCGACGTTCAGCGACCCCGCCCCCAGAAGTCGCTTCGGCTAGTTTTCCCGGCGGGGGCTGGGAGATCGTGCGGTAGAATACCGCTGGGGCGTTGATGAAAATCGCCTCGGTGATGGCGAGCGCGAGCGCCCGGCAGACGGTGGTGCATGCTGCTGGGAGAGGTAGTTTTGGATGTCGCGTGGTCTCTGACCATAACGGGGTGGCGGCGCGTACGCAGAGAAGCCGCGAAGCCCAAGACGGCGATATGGGCACTGGCGGTACAAGTGATCAGCTTCTCCGCAGTGAAAGCATAGAGGCCGATGATCGGGTGTGCGCCAGACATCAGACTTCCGAGAAGACGAGTGGCGATCGTCGATGTACTGGACCGGTTGCACCGAACGATGGGCGACAGAAGCACCACGGACAAAGGGCAGGGGCCGTGGCGTGTACGTGCCTTCGTAGTATGGTATGTGCTGCGCTGACTCGAGTGAAACTGCAGGGACAGGATGAACGAACAATGGCGGCGATGCAGCAGGGCGCTTCAAGGCTTCCGCGTAGGTTGTCCCACGGTGGTATTCAACAGGAGCTGACACAGCTGTATCAGGAGGCAAAGTGTCCCGGAGGGCCTGGTGCAGCTCATCTTTGATCACAGTTGCAATAGAGCTAACCGTAGGATGAGGTGTTACACCAGCCTTTTGCAACTCTTCACGTACGATATTACGGATGAGTTCACGTAAGGAGTCATTGCTGGTCCCAGCGGCGGCGAAAATGTCAGCAGTGGACATGCCACTGACTTGCCTGTCGTATTGGTTTGATCGCTGCTGTAGCATTTTTTCCATTGTCACGGCTTCAGACAAGAACTCCGCGACCGTCTTTGGAGGGCTTCGCACGAGGCCGGCGAAAAGCTGGTCCTTGACACCACGCATCAAGTGACGCAACTTTTTGTCCTCCGTCATTCTTGAATCTGCCCGTCGGAAGAGACGCGTCATGTCTTCGACGTACGCGGTCACAGTTTCGTTTGGCGACTGGACGCGGGCAAGAATAGCTCGTTCAGCTCTTTCTTGGCGGTCGGCGCTGGCATATGTCTGCAGAAGCCTACGACAGAATTCGGGCCACGTCGTCAGCTGCTCCTCTCGATTTTGATACCACGTGCGAGCACCGTCTTCGAGATAGAAGTAGACACGACCCAGTTTCGCCGCGTCGTCCCACTGATTCAAGTTGGCTACGCGCTCGAAGTCCGCCAACCAGTCCTCAACGTCTTCGTTCTCCGTACCATGGAACGTCGTCGGTGCCCGTGGGCTTTCCAACGTATATCGGTTCGACGACGTGCTTCCCGTGCCGGTTGGCAAGGTTTGTACCGAAGTGCTGGTCATGTTTGTTGACGTGGTGGGAGTAGTATCGTTGACTTCCGGAGGCAATCCCCTGATTCGGCGGCTGGTCCGATGCACGGGAGTATTGACTGGCACTGGACTCGTATTACGGCTTCCTGGGGGGGTCTGCAGCATCCGTGAGACTACCCAGCACCTTCCACCAGTTTGTCACGATGAGTCACAAGTACTGGGGGATTTATTGAACGACCGGGTAGCTAGCTCTAGGACGATGCGTCAGTCGTGGCTGGCTCTCGAGCAGAGAAGAAGACACGCGATCTTCTTTTTCCTCCAGATTGAGAGCCGCTCTTGCTGTTGACCCACTACGTGCTGGTGGCAATATGATTACCAAAGTGTCCAAGCAGCATCTACACTGGGGTCTTGAAGACACTGAAAATACTGTCGGCCAAATAGGCTAGGCTGTGCAAAGATTAAGCAAGTTCTGCTTTTATACTTTAGCATGTTTTTGTAGTGGACACATGGAACGTCGCATAAACTGGGTTTTTGTGAGTGTGCGTGCGGGTGGGCACACACTCACATTTCTAAATGCTTTTAAAAGCATTTAGAAATTCTTCATTTTTTGTATGGGTCCTTTTAAGACCTTTAATGTTATGCACATTTGCACATGGATGCCTCTAAGCCACACCAGAGTTTCAAGGAAATATATCCAGCCAGAAACGAACGAATACAGGAAACGGTGAAGGAGGCAGGAAAGCAGCCGAGTACCCACTCTTTGCCAGCGGTTAGAAAGCGGCCAGTCTAGCTGCCAAAGAGTTCGTAGTATAGCCGATTTCCTGTCTCCTTCACCATTTCCTGCGTTTGACCATTCCTTGGCTGGCTGTATTTCCTTGACGTTCTGCACCGACTAGACCAACAACGAGTTCTACTATATCAGAGTTAAGCATTTTGTATTGTAAATTATTACTTCTTGTACGTAGCTCTGTCTTTTACCTGTTATAGATCTGGGACCTCAGCGATGTTGACCAAGATGGTGCCTTGAGTGAAGAAGAATTCATTGTGGTAAGTTAATGTGTGTTTTAAATGAGGCAAGCATATGACGACTATCATTTGAAGATTATATCAATGTCTGTGGTCATTCCATACAGTGTAATTTGACATAAATATCAATGTACCGAATCTCCAAAAGGTTCACAGTGATTTTTTCCTCCAATATTACCTATATAGGCAAGATGCTGTGGTAGTTTAGTTATTCAATCCCTCCTGTGCTATGGTGTTATGTCTACGTCTGACCAAAATGGCCTTTTTTTTTTTCTATTGAATCTTGCTTATGACCTCCCTAGCCCTTTGCAACATGTGCTATGATCAACTCTTTATAAATGCATACAACTTGCCAAGATTATGTAGACTAAATTAAAGCTAGGGGAAGTGATAGAATTACAGTGCACTTTGCATCAATAAATTGTAGTTACAAGGTAAACAATTGTCTACTTATTGTGCTGCATGCTATGTTATATCTATATAAGTTGAATTCAACTGCCTATTTATATTACATGCAATAGTTATTTTAACATTAGCTCAGTATTTTCTGTGGCAACAGCGCACAAGAATGGCAGAAGTATGATAAGTCATGTCCCCAAATAAGGGCACTGGGTCGAAAAACTTTCGGTTCCTTCGCACAAATAAATTTGCTCCTGCTTTTCGCAGCCACCAGCCGAATTTCGTTGGGGGCAAAATGCAAGTGTGTCGTTGACTTACCTAGGGTGGTCAGAATTAATATATTTGTCTCTTTATTTATTTATAAAATACTGCAGACAAAAAAGTCGTGGCAGGGTGAGCAAAATACATAACAAAAACAGAAAACAAGGTTGCAAAATGTTTTTGATTGTAAGACGAAAAAAAAGCAATTTAGAAACTTGGTCGTGATACAATTCTAAGGAAGTAATAAAAGAACAACAGTATTTGCACGAATGGTCACGGGCGTTTGGGGAATGCTTCCGTTAGTTTATTTCAATCAGCTATAGTTTGTGGGAAAAAGGAGTAGCGAAAAGTGTCAGTCCTTGTGAATATTGGCGTTAGGGAATGAGGATGTCGTTCTCTACGGCTCTGCTCGTAATTGTATTGCAGTTTTGGCTTCAAAAACACCGGAATTCGATGTTTGCTGCCATCTACCTGGGCAGAGCAAAGAAAAGATGTAGGAAGCTCTATCACTGTAGTGCAAAAAAAGATAAAGTACCATGTACAAGCTGAGCTCGTACTTCATTGTTTTTACTGAAAGCACATGGACAAGCCCCACTCATCCATGGTGCGGAAAGGGTTAAATGAAGCTTGTTGTTTGTTGCATATATACTGTCGGAACAAAGAGGCTCTCCAGCCAAATTAAGCTTTAGTTTTTAACTTTTATGACTGGCCCTATGTTTTATGACGTTTTCGGCCTCTTTCTTTTGGGGGTGACTGTCCAGTTGGCTCCAAAGGTAGCGCTATATAGCGGTAGGCTTTTTCTCCATTATCATTGTCCCCACTGCTCTTGTCAATGCATTGTCTTGTTCATTGGTTCCAGAAAGGTCCTTGTTGAGTGGTTCAGTCTTTGTTTGTCAAAAATCTAAATACTATCGTTTTTTGGTGCGGTTAGGTAACTTCCATTTCAATGACCCAGGCGGTGGAGAAGTTGAGGCAATGGTTCATCTCTGTGTGCAAGAGGGTTAATAAATATGTTTGCCTTGAAATATATATTGTGAAGTGGTTGGGATGGCAAAGGATGTAAAACTCGAGTTGGTGAAGGTGAAACTTTCTTTATTGAGTTAACTTGCGCCTAGGAAGAACATTCGAAGTACTACATACAAGCAAGTCTCTGCACTCTGATATCAGTAGCAGGGACATTGATCATCAATAATCTGATCGTTGGTGTGGCGTGTGGCGTGTCATCTTTCATACATGAGTGGTGAATCATTCCAGCTTTATACCCGGTGCTTGCATTAGCCATATAATAAACTTAACTTCTCTGGCATGTGCACAGTCTTGTTGAAACAGTCTGAAACAATAGAAGTTTCTAGTACATTGTGGCTTTGCTAAATGACCAGGTTTTTGCCACTGATAAACTTTTCACATCAAATAAAGAAATAAACGGAACCACGTCGTGTTACTCTATGGACAAAATTGAGGCACGAGCAGAGTTTCAGAACTGGATAACTGCTTGCAACAGAAGTTCTGGCTTCTCTGACGCTCGCAGGCAATGCACCTAGTTTACAAAGCCCTGGACAACTGCCCCATCCCGAATATTTTGCCGCCAGTGCTGATGCCACGGTCCAAACAGAGTCCGCTGCCAATGACCATTCCGTCGGACTTCTCTCCGGTTGGCATGTCTGGAGTACGTCGAAGGCCAAGCACGCCATCTTCCGTTGGGGCACCCGACATTGCCTTGCACAATGTAAGTCTTGTACAAACCTTGAACAGCTCTCCTCTTTATTATGTCTTGTGTTTTGTCAAGTACTAGGAGAGGCAATGGGTATCTCTTGCTCATCCAGCTTATCGACTCTTGTTGAATTTTGTTGTTTCTTAACAGCCTGACAGTTCCTTGTGCATTTTTCTCGGATGACTCGTGGTGAAAGCAGCCTTCTTTTTCTGAGCAATTAGTATTGTCCCCTCACCCTAAAAGCTTCCGGCAACACGCATGTTTTTGCAGTGCCTCTGAGATTGGCCTGTGTTTGACTAAACGAAAGTGTCACGTGATCAAATCATCATGGGTCATTATGATACCACAAATTTTAGAGACATGTGACATATGGTAATGTCACCAAATAATGGAAATTCTTCACATTACTAGTGTTCACGCTGTTACGTTTGACTCGGCAGTTCGTCTTAGCAGACGCTTTTGTGCGTGAGCCGGTCTGCAAGCAGGCTTTCACCCCAATAATGGCGCCCGGTTGGAAGCACTCCGCGCGGCGCTGTCCTGCAGGTGGGTGAAGCAGTCCGCTGTGGTTGGGTCACAATAAACTCGACAGAAGCTTTGCGAACAACACTTTTTTTTTTTTTAACGGGGTTGAAAAGCGCGAGACTGTGCCACTGTTCCAGTTCTTATGGAGTCAATCTCTCCACAAAGCTTTTGTCGCCTACGCGAGGTCGTCAAAAAGCACTGACAGTTCGTCACAAAGCACTGACAGTTCAGGAATTGAGCACCTGGACTGCCATGTTTAAGACTGTTTTAGAACTATGTAGCTGAACGCAGCCATGGACCGCTGCTGACGTTCGTGTCAGCGGGCATCTTCTCCCCAGAGAAGCTTAACTTTCCCCCTCCACGGGTCTCCTCGCCCTGCGATATTTTGAAGGTGTAGGCCGGGTGCATCTCTGTGAGATGCGCTCGTGTACTCATTTGACATTTTCGCCTGTGTTTCTTATCAGCCGAGTGGTCCAATATTTGCACCCTTTCTGGTGGGTGGATCACTGAGACTTAACGTCACCTGATTTGTGACAACGGTGGTCACCATCTTCGTCAGACTGCTGTGTAAGGAATCGACAGGCTATAAAAGCTAAAGACATTTTGTACATAATGGCTGAATCTCTGCACAGTTCCATCTCTCTTCCATCATGTATTAAACTTTCGTTCTGTCTCTAAAAACACGTCTCCTCACTGGCGAAGATCGGCTATGTGGACGACGGCGGGGAGCCAGCTACCGTAAACATGTTCGCTGAACCTCAGAGCCCTTGACAACTGATGGCAGCGGCGGCAAGCCATCATCAACCTTCATAGCCCTTACAACGCCAATGGCCACGTGCACTTTTCATGTTCGATCAGACATTTAATGCTTTAGTCTTCAATTGAAGTTTCTCTTTGTATCTCGCAGTACTTAAAACGTAATTTGTGAACTTCATGTGGCTAGAAATGTATTACTTTAGTTCTGCAATCGCAACAAAAAGAAGCAAGAAAAGGTGCAATTTTGTTATTTGCTCCTTTTGTTATTTCTTTTTGTTGCGCTCACACGGACAGTTGTCTTGAGCTGCTTCATAAAGTGGCTTTTCGTGGCTGCACCATTCTTTTTTGTAGCAAGAGGACTTATAATTCCATTTTTTCCAACTCTGGGATGAGAAACATTTTTTGATGAGCTCGCTGTGCATGCACAAGTTCACCAAAGTTACTTGACCTCTTTATGTTATGCCTCTGCACCCAAATGTGTTTTTCGCACTGCTTAATAATTGGCAAGTATGCTTGAAAAAACATTTCATTTGCCTCTTTATTTGCCATTAAAAATTATCAAAAATGCTGGACAGGCATTGATGCTACCCCTGTGTTTATCGATCTATGCGTGCATCGATTTTCATGCCTTAATCTTATTAATTAGATTGCTTAACTGAGTAGTGCTAATTTAAAGCTCTCAACGTTTACTTTGTAAATCTTGCTTAGAATTTGGCTTTTGACTTTCTAAATCTAAATCGAATTTTTTCATTTCTCTTTCGTCTGTCTTTGGGCTTATGGGGCCACCTTTATATGGGTATAAACCCCACATGTCTGTGCGGCAAGTGTGTCTCGGAAATATTTGTCAGCTGCGGCATGAGTAAACAGTTTGTAGCACCATTTGGTTACTATTTTACCAAGCCGTCAAAATGACCGCATTCTCCTCCCTATGACAGACCCTCCACAAGCCGCCGCTTCCGTGGGTTGTCAGCGCTGCAGAAATGGCCAAGTTCAGCCAGCTTTTCACGAGCCTAGACACGGACATGGACGGGCTTGTTACTGGAGCCGACGTCAAGGGGACCTTTCTCAAGACTGGTCTTCCTCAGGTTGACCTAGCTCAGATCTGGTGAGCCGCCAGTTGCATTTCGTGGTATTGATTTGATATGCTGCATTCACAGTTGCATTCATTGAGCCTTACAGTTTGTATCACACTCAAACCTCAACATTACGAACACGGATATAACAAAATATTGGTTATAACGAAGTAAATGAAAAATGGTCTTGCTATAGGTACTGTTAGGATGAAGAATAACCTTTACAACGAATTTTTGGATTCAGTTAAACCCTTTTATAAGTAGCATGCTCCAGGCAGCAATTCTTGTCTTTTATAAGAGATCTCTTATAAGCAGGGTACCTCGTATGCATTTTATTAACCCGTATTTTACTGTGGGCACAAGGGTGTCTTGTATAAAGGGGTCCGACAGTATAACAGGCTTATTTTCTTGTAAGATGTAACTTTGTTTTATAGTGAGGCTTCAGTGCAGTTGAAAGAGAACGACTAGCACGGTCAAGAGTCTGCAGTTTAGTTTAGGTTGCCGAGGTGTCGTTCTCCGAAGCGAGCAAGTGTTCGCTACTTACGGTATCTATGACACTGCAGCCTCGACATAAGCAAGGAGATTAAACTTATCAGATATAACAAAGTGACCCTGAAATGTTTAAAATGAATGTGTGCGCATGCATGTGTGTGTGGCACTTTCAACATATATTGCCTATATCAAAGCTTTTGTCATAACGATACTCTGCTTTATTATAACAAACTTCAGCTATATTAACTCGGCAACTAAGGTGTACCTCATTAAAGATGTGCATGTATTACTACGTAATATTTTCGTGGGAGAATAGTTTGCTAGCATATGTTCACATTGCTGCAAAGAATTGAAGTAGAGACTAAAATCTTCTAGCAGTGTGCTTTTTGGGGAAACTTAGTTTTCTTATAAAACTGAATTTTCCCATTTGCATTCTTTTTTGAATTTTTTCTTTCTGCTAAAAACCGTTCATCTACTTTGTTTCGGCCGGTGCACTGATTTTGCCTCACACCCACCGCGGTAATCTAGTGGCTAAGGCACTTGTCTGCTCACCCGCAGGTTGCAGGATCGAATCCTGGCCGCAGCAGCCGCATTTTTGGTAGAGGTGAAAATGCTTGAGGTCCGTGTGCTTAGATTTGGGTACGCATTAAAGAACCCCAAGTGGTCGAAATATCCGGAGCCCTCCATTACAGCGTCTCTCAGTCGTGTGGTGGTTTTGGGACATCAAAGCCCAACACTTATTATTTTGCTTCACATGCTTCGTGAAGTGAGTGAAGTTGTACACAGCAACATTGTGGTTGCCTCTTTTCTGACAGGAATTTGTGTGACACGAAGCAAAATGGTAGCCTGAACGCCGAACAATTTGCCCTTGCCATGCACTTGGCAGCAGAGAGAACAAAAGGTGCTCCACTACCGACCACTCTGACACCTGAAATGGTACCACCTTCACTTAGGCCAAAGCTCCAGACATCGGCAGTTGGTTCGCTGGTAAGTTTTGGTTAAGGAATTCTGATGTTCGGTTTCCTTCTAGTGTAGAGGGAAGTTGGGGGCATAGTGTCCTAAATAAACACAAGAGGGAACTCTGGCACTAGTCTCTATGGCAGCTGCAATTCATGGCGCTTCAGCGAACATTGGAACGGCGGGTAGTGCATGGATTTGCCTAATTTTCGTTCTTCTGGCTTCGTGTGTCTTGGAGCTGCTTTGTCACAAAACAACAATCGGCAAATGTTCAACAGTTGCACTTCACCACCTTAACTTTTTAGGCTCACTAATTCGAATTTGGTCACGAAAAATTCAATACGGTTTGTTCTTTTGATTCGAAACAAAACCAAGATACAGCAAGAAATGAAGCCACAAGCACGTTAGTAGCCTGTAAGCACAAAGATTAGGCAAATCCATGCACTACCCATCATTCCCATGGCCGCTTAACGATCGCAGTGCCAGAGTCCCCTCTAGGTAATTTTAGGAAACTCTACGGTTGTGGGAGGTGTACAAATTACTGTAGCGTAATCCCAATCTGCAGGACGGAGGTGGTGCCCTGGTAGGCCTGGAAGGGCTGACAAGTTCGACCCCGCCACCTTTAAGTGCTCCTACTTCAGGAAACAAGGAGCTTGACATGATCGTTGATGAGATGAAGACATTGCAGATGCAAGTTGCCTTTTCTTGTATTACCCCTACATTTTTTACACATTTTATACTTCACCCCTTTGTTGTACATGTTGCTAGCTGCATCCAGAAAAGTCTTCACGGATTTTCAATTGCACATTGCAATATTACGAGGATGATAAAAATTGAAATATCCAGGTACAGAAGAAACTCCGGGAAAGTATTTTGTAAGAGTCCACATACTCAAATGTCCACATTAGTTTATATTTCGTGGGTAGAGCTTGTAAGCCATCATGGTGATGCTTATTGTTACTTTCAGGATCTTTAGTTCGGTTGAATTTTCTTGAGGTCATGTTCTGAAACGGGCAGTACACTTGGTGGACTCGTGCAGAAGGCTCCCTTGTGTGCTGTTTATCTGTGTAACAGTCAATGTCACAGCGTAATAAATGAAGTAACCAAGAGTCATCACGGATAAAGTTTTAGCTGACCAATCTCTGCAGTGAAATTCGTATGCTTGCATTATGCAGATTAAGCTTACTTAGGGGCAAAGACAGAAAACGCTAGGCGATGCATCATTTCCTTCGTTTGCTGAAAACGGTGAATTTTTTTTTATAAGCAGAAAATTAAGAAAATTTTTGCACCCTGTGCGGCAGATTTAAACTGAAAGCTACTGCCTTGGTTCACTAATCATATCAAAGTTCATGGCCCTGAAAACTTGTTTTGCTGTCCCTTGGAAGGCTAATGTGTTAAAAGGGTGCAGTAGTTTCATTTGACTAGAATTCAGCATTTGGTGTGAAAATTTTTCAGCATTGGGGGGGCTTGGTAATTTCGTAAATTTGCAGGAGGGTGCGTTTTGAAAGTAAGCCAAAAGAAATTTGTATGCCTTGCACAGTATTCTTTTCACTGTGATCAGCGCACTGTGTCAATTGGACTCTTGCAGACATATGCTATAAAGATTACATCCTTTTTTTTTATATCTATAGACAGTTAATTTTATGTTTAAAGGAGTATGTATGTAAGCCTCCTAACGATCACAGAAGGAAGAGAAGACAGAAGAGGGCATCAAGGTGTTTTAAGATAACCTATATCAAGTATTGCTAAGTCATTTTAACTAAGTCACTGACTAAAGTCTCTTCACTGTTTTTTTAACGGGTATTACTGAGTCATGTTAGGCTGTCTCTTTGTAGACTGATAGTTACCCTATGTTGACCTATTTGGCTACAGAGACAAGTCTACACTAGAGCAGGAAATCATTCAGGCAGAGACGGACCAGAAGACAAAGAACGTGGAACTGAGGAACCTCGAGAGTGAGATCGAGACAGTGTCGGCCATGCTCAAGCAGTTGGACACGCAGAAAAATGAAGCTCAGAAGCGGCTCGCTGAACTTGGCGCTCAGGTGAACTGCGTCGCAGATATCAGACTTGCTAAGCATGAATGGAGTCTATCATGTACACGTGCAATCTTCCCCAAATTTAGCATCCCTCAGTACCTTATTAAGGAACACCAGAGCGAGACACCGAATCAGTGTATGTTGACAAATCATACTGTAAAAAGTGTATTTGCTTCAATTTTGTTGTGGGACGCTGAAAGCCGGGAGAAATGCCAAGCACTACTACTTTGGGCTAGAACCTCGTACCTGCTGCCACTTTCGTGTGACATAACAAATTTAAGTTTTTATGTTTGCACCCATGCGGCTTCATTAGTTTAAAGAACTCTTACTGGGTTCGTTGCAGTCTTAAAATGCAAATATTCTGGTTCATTTTCACCAATAACAAGATGCCGTCGAAATTCTTGTCCGGAAAGAACTCTAAAAAATCTAGCTGGCACTTCATAGTCCCGGAAGTAGCTCTGTAACCTGCCCTGTTCTATTACTACTGAAGTTGTTGTCATAAGGTATAGTTGGTTTTTCTCTCTCTCTCTCTCTCTCTCTCTCTCTCTCTCTCTCTCTATATATATATATATATATATATATATATATATATATATATATATATATATATATATATAAGCATTATGGGAAGATAACTGTATTGTAACTACTGCTAAATGTACCACTTAATAAGCATCCAAGAGCCACACCTGGCAGGCTTGAAGTGGTAGGAAAAACAACCGTGAGCAAAAGTATGGTAATTCACTTTTCGGCGCTGCTTTTAAGTAGTGATGTACATTCAAGCTGATGATTTCCAAGTATGGTAAAAGATCGTTACTTTGAATTTCATGCGACCGAAAAAAATGTCCGATTGAACCTAATTATCAAAAGCATCAAGAAAACAATGTGCTAATGCCGGTTACATCAATATACATTGATTATTTTATGAGTACATAAACCTTGCACATATTTTGCATAAGAGCACTTTAAAAGCCAAAATATTCGTGCTGTGGTTTCATTCCCTGTGCGACCACGGCGCAAGACTCCAGTGTTTGAATTAGCCTGAAACATCCTCTGCATCTCTTTTATTACCGCCACTACCAACACTACCACATGCACGTGACAACAGTTCATTGGAAGTAAAATGGCTTGCCACTTATCATTTGTCCATCGTGATGTGGCAAGCAAGTTTTATGCCAATATGCATACCACAACCGAAAGCTCTTCATTTTTAAAAACTCCCAACATGTTTTGCGACATTCCGCGCGCATTGCATAAAGTCAAAACGAAGCTTCCAAGCATAGGATCCGCAATCAATAACTGATGATAGCCAATCTGTACACAGCTGCCTCTTTTTGGGTTGTCGGTAGCTGCCATTTTCGCTCTTTTGCGTCGCACATTTGTGGTGCTTCGTGCTCAGCATGCTTTAAGGATCGTCTGAACTTACCTGGCTGTTGTCAAATATGGCCGAATTAACGAGAGTCTGATTCCAATAAACAGCTTGCTGGGCCCAGAGAACATGTCTGAATTATCAGATTTTCTTAATTGACGAGGGTCAAATTAACAAGCTTTTACTGTAACTGTTAAGGGCTTCAAATAGCAGGAATATTAGGAATTAAGGGTTGCACAGGATTAGACTTAGTCTGATTGTGGTGCTGTACTGTGCAAAAGTAGTAGTGGTGGCAGTAGTGTAGGCGAGTGTTCATGAATGAATGAATTCATCATGAAAAGTGTAGCGTCCGCTTGCATAGTGATGTGTGATCATCAAAGAATGTCAATTTCATGCTCGTAGGGGAATGAATTAACCAAATGGCCTCGTCCCATGTAAAGGGTGCACCTCGCCAAGATGATAAAAAAAGGCGGCTTATACGATAGGCCTTTGTGGCATTTTTTTCTTCGGCGTTTCTTTAGTCGCCTGCACACTTAAATTGACTGCAGTGACCTGCGGCAGTGTTAGGGTGGTATCTTATGACAAGGTTCATCTTGTGATGTTCAGTAGCAAGCACTTAATTATGATGGTAATGTTTACAAGACCGTTAAACCAGCATGTAAGTATAGCATAGTTCACTGCTGCAAAAGCTCTGCTCATTTTAATTAAAAATACCTGCATACCAGCTGGCACCAGTCCACGCTTTGCCATAGTATAATGACGTTAATGTACTTTAAGATAAAAAAAGAAGGGTGAGGCTCAATCGATGTGAACTAACGCTTCATTTTCTTTTGTGCAGGTTTCAACTTGCAGTAAGGAAATCTACCTGGTTAAAAATTAGTTCAGGGCCTTTCATAATGATCTTCCTTGCACACTTGTAGCCTTGGGTTTTGTAATAATGTTTATTGACTCTTTACAATGGTGGATGTGGTTTCAGAGGCCTTTCTCCCCATCTTCACTTGTTGGGAGTATCTGATGCTTGTTCAAACTACATTACCAGCCTTTTTATGGTGGCAGTAAACAAACACTGGTGGTGGTGATGGTTCGCACTCTTGTGCAGTCAAACTTGGTGTGGGCCATTTAAAAATTTGGGACGATCTGGGATACAAATGTTCGCATCTCTGAAAATCCGCAGAATAATCCGCTAGTTGTTCTTGACTTGGTCAGTCTGTATTCGGCAATTGTTGCGCTTCTGCTGTCAGTCAAAGTGGAGGAATAATTCAGTCGTGAATGAGATAGGAAGGCAGTAGTGTTACCTTTAACTACGTATGATCCCTTCCACTTGCCTTAATAGTAAACAGTTAATGAACAGTGGTGGTATTACAAGAGCAAATGAGAACTCCCCTACTTAAACGACTACAGGTTTTCTCAAACCTGTGGCACAAGTTCGCAACTGTCAAGGAAAGGATTTGGTGCAGTGTGATAAGTCAAGCCCAAATCCACATCCCAGTAACGATACTCTATAAGTAGCAATGACAGATCTCGAAGGCTGTGCTTTTGCTAGCTGCATGTGCTAGAGGTGGTTAGGAAGTAGGGGATGTGTCATAGGTGAAGCATTTTGGAAGTCTCATATTATGCAACCCACCGTTGCTAAACAGCATAATATATAGTGCACTTTAAAGGTGCCTTGCACAGTTTTAAAGTACATGCATGATCATGTTTTAGACGGTTGTTCTTTGCTTTGTGCGCCGTGAGCACTTGGCATCTGTGGTGTTGTTGTGGAATCGAGCTGAATAATTCATTCCCCTGAATGCTGCATTTGCATGTATCTGTGTAGAAAACACCCCAAACCTTGCATTTTGCACTGTGGGCATTGTTGCACTGTTGCCACAATTTGTTCGCCATTCGTGAGGCAAGGAACTACTGCTATGTAGTTCCTATAACCTACGATACTTCATTGACAGTCGAAAAGCAGTGTTGTGTATTTCTACAATCCACAGGAAGATTCTGATGAAAGGTAAAGCGTGCAAATACAGGCACAAAAGAACTTTTTGTTTGCACACATTATTTTCTCTCATGAATCCTTACGAGCTTAGTTCAACTTAGTCTAAGATCACGATGTGAGCATAGATCATGATACGATTCTGAAAAATTTATTACCTACGAAAAAGGAGGCGGGAATTCAAATTTGGAAGCAAGTATAAATTAAATTATGCGTAGCACTTTAATTGAACTGAAAGACAAACTATGGAGCCGTGATCTTATAACCTCGGAGATACATCGGCTTGCCATACCTCCTCTTCGGGGCTGCCATGCTAAGTTTATAATGTGACTGTTTCAAAGAAACTCAGTGCTGCTTTCCAGGTACATGTTTCAAAGTAGCTCTGACAAGATTGTTGACATGTTTTGCTTACTTTTTTATATTTTGAAATTTTACGCTCTTCCGCACAACCCATTTATTGCAGCATCTTGAATTGCTTTACCTTCTAAAACTATAAAAACAATTTGAAACTGTCTTTAGGGGGAAACATTGTGCTCATTGAAACCTTTTTTTAATTAACCTATACCATTGAGAGGAGAGTCATTAAAACTTAAGTAGTGAGGTTTCAAGGCTTATTGGTTGTTTATCATGTTCTGACAACCTCCAGGTCGGCCACTACTTCACTTTAGCATAAATTTAAGCATGTGCCGTCTTGCTTTTTAAACATCGAGACTTGCTTTAAATGGGTTCAACCGGAGGGCATCATTTTGTTCCCTGCGATTTGATTGCATTTGCAGACCACGTGCCTGAATCAAGTGGGATGGTCATGAATAGACATGCATGTCTTTTTTTTTTTTCTTGCTTTCTTTAGAGGGCAGCATTAGATAGCGACCTAACAGAACTTAGAGAGGAGGTTGAAGAAGAGAAAGCGAAGGTACATACCAATGTTACTTTATATCTCATCGCTATCTTTACTCTTCAGGCTTTGATGGCTCGTGCTCAGTGTACGAGTGTTTTTCCTTCCCTCCCTGCTTTCTGCCAGCATGATATATCAGCCTTTTGTTTGTTTGTTTTGCGTGAATTTAGCATGGCTGCTTTTTCTTGTCTGCATGCGCAGCACGTACTGTGCAATAGCTGTTGCATCGCAGTTCAATCTTCTCATGACAAGTTCGGCATATGGTCAAATGTGTGACATCTTTGCTTATTTATTCTTTAATCGCGTAACCACGAGAATTCTCGCAGCCGTTAAACTTTGTTAGCATAGTTGTGGACATGGGCGTGTGCAGGGTATCCCTTTGGTAGGGTGGGGGGAGCAAAGGTCTGCCTCGGCACACAACACCCCCCTTTCTGTTATGTTAATGTGTGGGGCTGACTTTGCCCCTGCCCCTGGTGTGCACACGCCTATGGTTGTGGAGATTCACGTACATCATGTTTTCAAGAAAGGGAGTTTACACCTGTCTTTCGGAGTCCTGTTCAACGAGCTTCTTTTTAATGGTTGCATATTTCGTTGTTTTGTTGTGCTTGATGTAAGAGTTCGTATTATGTAGTAACTTGTAAAAGGTGTCGTTTTTCCATGAGTGTCAAGTCTGAGCGCTCTCCTCTTGCACGCTTATCAATATTCTGCATGTCCGTCTCTCCTCTCAGTGCCATGTCGAAATGAACTTTACTCCTACAGCAGAGCTTCCTGGTGCTTTCACCCAAATGAAACCGGATTGGCCGTCTGGCCACCTTATGTGTCATTCTCTTTTGCCTGTGTTTGCATGTAGGTGACAGCACTCAAGAAGCAGGTTGAAGAGCAGACAAAGCTTCTAGAAGTGAGTCCATTATGCCTTTGTTATGAATTTCAGCACTTATTGTGTGCCTGTTAGCTGTACTTTAGCTTGTTGTCTTCTGCTGCTTTTGATACAGCTATGATACTTTCGTTTGTGATTTTACGTCATTGCAGAAATTTTGGGTGCACATGCATACTAACTGTTCTGACAGTATAGACTTGCAAAGCTTCCGGCTTTTTGCCACCCGAATTTCGCGTTGGTTATGGGGCTCACCTGCTGGCCGAAAAGTCATGCGATCGAAAGCCGGCATGGTGGCTGCATTTCGATGAAGGCAAAATGCTGCAGTACCATGTGCTTAGGTTCAAATGAACGTTAAAGAGCCCCAGGTGGTCCATATTTCTAAAGCTCTCCACTATAGTGTTTATCGTAATTATACTGCGGCCTTGGTACGTAAAACCTCAACAGTTATTTAAGATCCTCGATCAGTGGCTAAATTTAATCTTTGGTGCTTTCTTATTAGTAAAGCTCTCGTCTTTTCTACTCCATGACTTAACTGTTAAAAGATTGTATAACAGAAGGTGTTTGCGGAAATAGCTGCAACAGATAATCAAGTTTAGTGGCATTACGAGAGCATTTTCAAGTTTCAGTAGTTTTGCATTTAGGGTTAACAGAATGGAAATTTCTCCTTGCAGGAGCAAGAGCACGAAATGGAGCAGAAGCGGGCGGAGCTCAAGGGTCTCTGCCAAGAAGAATCCTCCCTGCAAGCCGAGATCGACAGCCAGAAGGCGCAGCTTCAGGCACTTAGCCAAGCGCAGCAGGAGACGCAGCTGCAAATCAGTCAGGTATGCATGTGTACTTTGTAGACAGTCGGCAATGGTTGTTATAGAGCTTGCTGCTTGGCTGGTTGGAACGTGCAATCTTGAAAATTAGGCGCAACTCTCGGCGAGAGAAGAGTCTGATAAACCGAGAGGTACTTGGATGGGCTAGTTAAAGGAGCACACACCAAAAATAAGCTAGGGGACTGACATGCGCGTTTTGCTGCGCACATCGCAGCATGTGGGTGTGCAGCACGCTTTTCTGGCGCACATAAGAAGCACTGCATTTTCTGCATGTGTACTTTCAGAAGCCTACTTTATCGAAAAGGACAAGGTTCATTGTGTTAGAAAACCATCTGTGTCATTGTTTGCAAAAGAGATAGCTTTTCTTAGCAAAAAATTTGGTTCATGATCACCTCTTTTTCCTTTTTGTTGTGTTTTGTAGTTTCTGTTGTTGCTCGTGCATATTTTTAGGTGCAGGGGGTGGGGCCCTAGGGCACTGCCCCTGGTTTTGGGCCTGGGGTACAGCAATGTGCTGCTGGTAGTGCAGTCGTGTCCATGCCCAAGTAGTGTACAAGAATGCATGTGTGTCATACTTTGAGCGCATGTCAAAGGTCTTCAGGTTGTCAATATTGATCTGCAATCCACCACCTAGGCACGCTTTGTAACTCATCGTGTAGTTTAGGAAGGCCACTGGAGATTTTACTAAATAAGGAAGGGGCTAGGCAAGGACAGATTTCATTGGAGGCCTTGTCATAACTTACGGGTGCAACAGTGAAGAAAGACACACCATCTGTACTTTACTTTTGCTTTCTTGCTTGCCAAGTCTCTACTCGTGGTGAAACAGTCCATAAAAATTTATAGATGTTGATGTACTAGTGCTGCTTGACTTCATTCTTTTTTATGAAAGCTAATCAATGTGTTATTCGTTTATTGTTGTGTTTATGCTGAAGCACCAAGGCAGAGAGAAGCATTCTTCTGTATGTGTTGTGTATTTAGTGCGGTCACGAGTCGACGTTTGGAAAGTTTCAGAGATGGAGATGGTTTGTCAAGGCGAGACTGTTGTATTCCTTATCAAATTCTAAAGTTGACTGTCGACAGCGTCGACTTGGGTGATGCAAAAAAAAAGTTAGGCGATGGTGTCGCAGATTGCCAAAATTTGCGACATCATTGTGACATCGCACGATGACATCAGATGACGTTGTCGCTTGGCCAAAGGTGGACTGGTCGGGACTGCAGTCCAGAACTATTAAGTGCCAAAAGTATTTGGGGGGGGGGGGGGGGAGGTATTATTAGTATATTGACAGAGAAGAAAAAAAAAAAAAGATGGTTTTCGTCTTCGTGTCATCTTTGGCGAATGCACTACGGGTGCTGCAACTTTTCGTAGACCTTGGGTGCAGATTGCGTTGCGTGGCTTCTCAGGTGAAGGCAAGACACGTGGCTCTGGAGGAGCAGCATGTGCAGCTCAAGACGTGGGTATCGCAAGTCGAGCGTGCGCTTCAAGCCGGCGACCCAGGCCTGGTACCGGAGTCCCTGCTGCGGGAGGACCAGCTGTCCACGGGGCTGGCTGAGCCGGAGTACCAGCAGCTCTCCAACACGGTCAGCCACCACTCGCTTTCTATCTCATTGTGTGGTCGGACAAAATGGCACTCCATGCTAAACGCCATTGTCGTATAGTAGCAAGACTAGACGAACAAAAGAATGCCTCATCGAGGTGGTGAAGACAACGATTGGAATATCACTCGCATTCTTGCTGTTCCTTTCAGGCAGAAACAAAAGCGTATCATCCAAGCAATAATTCTTTCTTGTATGTTCATGCATTGGCAACCAGAATGTGCCACGGTCATCAAGCTGAGAAAAGACAACCGTTACTGTTGCAGTCGCCGCTGTGGAGCTCTGTTACATTACGTTGGTGCCTCATGCCGTCACGAATATGCCAGAGGGCTGAGAGTATCCGAAATAAAGAAATGTATTTACAAAATGTACACAGGGACAAGCAGCTTCATCCAAGATAGCAGAATAGCAACATGAGCACCCTTTGCTGCCTCAATAGAACATTCCTTCATGCTCATTTTGGTTTCTTGTTTATCACTATTTCATAAAATCTTTCACCACACAACATGGCGTGATATTCATGTATGCATTATGTTGCATCATCGTCAGTAGTGTAAATGCTTCCCAAAAAACTTTGCATACGTACTATTAGTCATATTTCCTTGTTCCATACTGCCTGGAATAACACTAACTGGAATGTGATATTCTTTACCGCTATATTTTTTGCCTTATTTGTGCTTTTTTTGTATGTATAGCTTTTTGTTGTTGTTGTCTTGCGTTTTTTATTGAGTACCTTATAATATCTTTGATTTTTCACTCGTCGGATTTGTACTGAATTACACATGTCAAATCTTACTTCTGTTGTACAACTTGCCATGTAACCTGTAACCAACTTCCCTCTGTAATGTCTTGTTCGGATCTAGGATACAATCAATATATAAATAGTGAAGTATTTCACAGGAATTCAGTCGATCCAGACACATAGCGAGCGGATAGATATGAAATGCTGCCATAAACATCGTCAAACATTTTCGATGTGGTCTGTGACCAATTTTTGTGTTGTATTTTGTCTAGCTATGTACCCACATGGCATTCGGCGTGTGAAGGCTCCAGTGGCTCATTTCTCAGCTACCTATTGTCTGAGAGGTCTAAATAAAACTAATGGTGTTGCTTTTATACTCCCCTTGAAGTTGACACTAACCTTAAGGCTGTGCAGTCTTCATCAGTCAACTTACATTCGATTTTTTTTTATTCATTCAGTTAAGCTTTTTCCAAAATGCCTTTGGTAAAGGGCTCTAAAGACTAGATAGGTTTCAATAAACTCAACAGCTTCGAGGCTTTTATTTCATTTTTGCTGAGCTGCACTCGTGGTAAGGCATAACTTGTAGGCTTCTACGCATTTTGTCAGCCCTATGACATTTGGCTCCAAACGTAGACTACTGTATTTGTTGATCACCTTGGTTCACCCCAGAACCGAAAGTTGAGTGAGTTGGTTACTATTAATGGAGAAATTTCAGCTTGCACAAAGACAAGCACAGGGAAGTGGAGAGTTAAATGTGCTGTATTATGACAGTGAAGCTCTTAGAGCTCGCCACAGAACATGCTGTGTCACCAGAAAGCTCCTTTAAGGGGGTATGTGCCACAGGAGTTGGGCAATCGCCACTACCGTGTACTGCAAGTGTGAGTGTCAGACGAAAATGGGCACGTGAAATAGAGAAAAAAATAAACAGAGAAAATGGAGAGAGAGGAAAGGAAATGTTAAGATAAATAAATTGAATAAAAACAAAATGACAGAGAAAGAGAGCTAGAGAGAACGGGAAGAAATAGAAATGGGAGCAAGAAAGAAAAAATAAGATTAAAAATGTATGAAAATAAGACACAAGAAGCAGCGCAAAAGAAGAAAAATTCACTGACAATTACAATATGCGAATTCTGAGCGCAGCTGTTTAGGCATTTTGGAATTGTGATAGGTTGAGACAAACGCTTCTCTTCTTCGGCAGCATGCATATCTTGATTCTGGCGGTGGCTGCATTGAGCCTCTGCCCGAGCAGCTCGTTCAGTAGCACGGCCGGCAAATGACGCACCTTTGCCAGTTGAGTCGGTCACTGTTCAGAAAGAACTGGCTGTGACTGTTTTGTATACAGGTGCACGGTTTACATTAAAAGGGGGACACCGCAGGCAGAGTGACTGGTGCGAGCTATTTTTGTGCAGCGGGTTTCACATCAAGCGCTGCAGACAGTGCAGCATGGCTGCTTCGTCAACCGGTAGACAGCAAAGAGCAGCACGTGGGTGCACTGTTGCACGAGCCGATGCACGAGCTGATGCACGATATTACTGTGGCACCACGGAACCAGTCATCTTGTCACTTTTTCTCTTCTCCTTTAACCACTTCGTGAGAGACAAACAAGGACAAAGGAAGGAGTATGCACAGACAAGCAATCGTTTGTGTGTACCCCTTTCGTTGTCCTTGTTTCGTGCAGAGGTTAAAAGATGAATTCGTTTCAAGTAGGCCAGCTGGCAGTCCTGCTTCCCTTTTCCTCGCGCTCTCCTCCATATGTTGCAGTCTTTCATCCTCCGCCTTGCTCGGCATTTGCTCTTCCAGTTACGGCGCCGACTACGCTCGATGCAGAAATGGTGGCCTTAGGGCTGAAACTTGCTTATTATGGGAGAACTTGTACCCGGAAAACAAAATGCAAAATCTAAGAGTTCGCTAGAGCATTCCACTCACGAGGTGTTTTTTTAAGGTCAGCTCCGTCCTATTTCGACCAAGGTAATGGTGTTTCTGTGTTCCTGAGACACTGTTGTCATGAGCCCAATAGCTGAAATGCGGCTTTTTGCTTATTAAAAATTATTTTTGCACTTCCTGAGCAACACCAAAACCCAACCGACTGCACTGCCTACGCATGTACTATTTGGTAATAACCGGAAGTCACCGTAGCTGTCGCATTGCACGTACGCGTCGGCTTCAGCTACGGGAGGTGCAGGGTTAGATCCCCAGTGCCGGCCAGCTAACCATCGGTTGCTAAACAGGGTACAGGCGGGCTTCGAGGGGCTGTGGTGTGTCGCCCCAGTGGTGAAGCTTACTCTGCCTGGAGGACTCCCAACTTGTTGCGCGGGGCCCGGTAAGAACCGGAAGTCATATATTAGTCCCACCGGCACGAAGTAAGAAAAGCTGTGAAAGCTAGACCAGCGAAGTGCCTGCCAAATACTACAGAGGAAGGAAGCTTTTCCGTGCCGAACATCACCACTGTCGCCTTCTGGCCAGCACAATAAACGTTGTAGCGGCCAAAGCAGCGGTACCATCGGCTGCGTGACTTTTGTTGACGTGCCACACTTGACGCCACACAGTGTTGCCAATAATTCTGGCAAGCCAGGTGAGCGTTTCGTGATAATCTTCAAAATTCTTTTGCAAACAAGCGGCGCATATCTCAAGCCTGTAATGGGGCATAAATGACGGAAATGTGCAAAGGAACGTACCCAGCAACTTTCACTGAGATCCATTGACCTCGTATAATTGCCGGACACGCATGTCTGCTCCTTCTCCCAAGCCTCGTAGGTCAACCGACTCACCCGTGCCCGAGTACGAATGGCATGTTGTCACAAGAAACGCAAGCAGGCACAAGGTATTGCTGACACTAGCTCGTTAGCTATTGCATAAACTTCTTGGAGCAGTCTGTGTCGTTCTTTCCCCCTCGTTTGCTATATTAGCTGCGCCACTGGTGACACCACTAGAGGTAGAGATGTGCACCTGAGAGCTGTGTTCTAAAACAGAGAAGCAAGGAAGGCCACCCAGCTACGCTCTTTCTTCAGGCCTAGCACTGCTAGAGCAAATCTGCCATAACTTGTTTTGTGTATGAGCTGCATTTTCACCATGAAAAGCAATTCATCTACACATGCTGCTGTCTCATGTTTGAGACATTGCAGGAGTAGTAGCAAGAAACAAGCAAAAAATGAAAACATTAAATTACATAATTGGACACTTGTTTTACAAAATGCGCATGCGGTAGTTGTCTCAAAGAAGTGTCCATATTATTCCAAGTGTCAACTGTGCCTGAAAAAGAAAGGGTATTAACAATTGACAATAAAACATCTGAATGAAGCGATGTTCTACGGATAGTACTGGTGGGTCACATAAGTTATGACTGGTGAACGAAATGGGTGTAGCTATACGGACATATTGCGAACTTTTGCAGACAGATCGCTGAATAACAGGCTTCCTTTTTCTTTTGCTTGCATTTTCTATCTGATTTACACCTTTCGTTTTTTCCATTTTTGCTTGCTCATGGAATGCAAGAGAATGCCTTTCGTGCTTGCTGGTACATATTTTGTTTTGCTTTTTTGTTATCATCGCATTGCTTCTCACCTTCCCGAGTTCTCAGTTTCTTTTGCTTTGGTTTTTATTTTGCTCCCGCAGGAATGCAGCAGTCCTACTAGCTTTGTCAGTGCAGCAGACGAAGAGAGCAAGGTAACTGTTGTGTTGACCAAAGTGATTGCGCCACTGGGAGTGCCTCTTAGTGTATTTACATAGTAACCAGAGTCTGAGAGTTCAACACTCCACAGCAGTAAATACTTGCGTGAAATGCACTCAGCCTAAACATGTCGTTTGAAGTTATGAAGGAAGAAAAAGAAGCTAGGAGGGAATCGTAACACAATTTTCCTCCCAGTATGTTTGCCTTTAAAACTTTTTTTTCTCCGATTTCACTTGTGGCAGGGTCTATTTATGTATTTGCAAGTCTATCAGGCATGTATTATTGGAGTTTTACGTATGGTTATCGAGATAAAAAATAACAGGTTAGTTTGACGTTTCTACTTGAATGGTTATCTGGATCTAGAAGCTCCGCCTCCTGTACCGTCCCCCATTTTCATAGTGCTGAAGAGTGCATTAGTGTCAAGAGAGAAGGCAGGGGTTCCACGGCAAAGTTTGGAAAAGCTGTTATTGTACGAAACGAACAAGCTTGCATTGAGCCCTGGGAACAGGTCACCATACGTAGGTTTATGATAGGTTTGTGTGGAGCAGAGATGTGTGTGCATTCTGTCAGAATGCACACACATGTGTGTTCTTGAGGTGTGTGTTCTTGAGATGTGTGTGCATTGCTGTCTTTCAGGATGATCCTTTCAAGAGCAAAGACTCTTTCAACGATATGAATGGCTTCTTGGGAGATCCATTTGGTGGGGAAGACCCTTTCAAGGGAGGTAAGACAAATGAAAATTGATCCAAACTATCTCGGGTCGGCATTTCACGGTAGAAATGGGCATGTGTTGGGCTGAACTTTGGCCAGCAGTTGTAGATGGGCTTTTGTTAAGTTTATCTAAAACATGACTGCCTTGTCTGCAACTTTCTTTTTGTTTTGTTGGAGTCTGAAAATTTTGTTGTTCCTTTTTCTCTCACTTTCTCGCATTTTCACAGACAGTTTTATGGAAAAAGAAAAGCACATTGCTTGCCATTTGTTCAAGTAAATTTTGGTCACTTATGAGCCTAAATCCTGTGCAGGCTTTGTCAGACCTAAATAAATTGCACGGGTGGGGAGGAATGAAAAAAGAATAGTGTTTGCACAAGGTATGGTGCAGTCTCTTGGTTGAAAAGTGAATGGTGGACTTGCGAGTCTTTTGCATTTGACGAAAGTTTTTGTAGCCATTAGACCTCATTTTCTACTTTCTTTCCAGCCGATCCGTTCAAAGGTAGTGGCACGGAAGACCCATTTGCTGGTGATCCTTTCAAGAGCACATTTGGTGCTGAAACAAAGGCACGTATTGTGGAATATTATAACCTATATAACTGTAATGTTGCGATTTCGATGGATTCCGTGGCTGGTGTTAGAGGGCGTTGCAAGCGTCCTAGACATGTCAGTACACCTAAATCTGTTAGTATACTTCTCTTACGGGGACCATTTACGTGTCATCTCCGTGCATCTACGGTTTTGCAAATTCACGCGCTGTCTCTTTTTTTTTTTTCTCGTTGCTGCTAGAAATTGTCAGAGGTGCCTTGCCCTGCATTTGCACTGCTTGTAAATCGAACGTTCTCTTTCAGGATGATGATTACTTTGCTGCCAGCTTTCAAGATGTCCCCGACGTTGTTCCTATTGGTAAGCTAGCTACACGAAATGACTCTTGAAAGTGAGACTTATTACTGCCTCATGACAGGCTTTCAAAGCTCGAGAAAAGCATGCTCAAGTTGGTTGTTCATGAGCACAAGGGTCCATTTACGTAAAAGATTCTGTATAAACAAGTAAGTTATAAAAAGCTTAAAGTTAATATTGTTTATTTTATTATCTAAAATTATTCGAATCAAGTACCTTCAGCACAAAAGCACAATACGATGTCCAAAAAAATGTTGCAGTGTCTAAAAAGAGCCTTGCACCATGCTGTTCCGTGTAATGCTATGTGCTGAAAAAGTGCTGACGGGTCATTTTTTGCAGTTGTTAAAATGGTGAGGGGAAAAAATGCTTTACAAATGTTCAGACTTGAAAAGATTATGATCTATGCATGAACTGCCTATTTCGTTTTCATGCAAAATATGAGAAGTATCATCTAAATCGATCTTTTATGTTGCAGCTGACACGAAAGATCCCTTTGACCCCTTTGGAACAGGAAAAGGAGCCTTTGGAGCTACAAATCTTGGGCCTGCCGAAGTGAGTCGGAAATGTTTACACTTCCTTTTTTTCTCTTTCGTACTTACACTTTTCCATGAAGAACAAGTACAGCTCTTGCTGTTGCCTTTATATCAGTGCTTAATTATTGGCAGAGGCATTCTGTAGGGGCATACTGTAGGGATCAGTGTAACTTTAATGGGATTTAGTTTATAAAAAGTGACACTTACTATACATGGTGTTGCTTTTACTAATGACAGTTATAACAGTGTAATAAATCAGACGCACTTGTGCTTTTGTTATGCATTGAATACTGCGACCCTTGGTATCATTTCGAACTGTTGATTACCAGTATGTGTTTGTGTGTCTTATGCAACTGCAAGCCACTACGATTTTGCGAGTGAAATCTAGACATGTTCTTGCACACAAATCCTACCTTCACATGGGATTAGTCTTTACACTTTGCATGTATGTACACTCAATCCTCAATACATGTCACACATGCCACAAAATTACTCTGTTATACCTCTAAATTCATTATAAACTATTATTCGTAACACTGTATTTATTACAAAGCTATTCTTCACTTAGATATAAATGATACTTCGTTGTATCTAAATTTTTTATATTCAGATTTGAGTGCACTTGTATCTTGAAAGAGTAACCATGGCTGCCCAGTAAGTGCCAACTTTGCTAAAAGGCGTTGTGCTTACTACTGCAATGTCCTAGGCCGCAACCGCCGTTGACCCCTTTGGGACAGACCCGTTTGCGCCCGTGCCGGCTGCCGCACGTGCCGAGAGCCCGACGCCCGCCTTGCCGCCGAAGAAGGGCAAACAGCCACCGCCACGGCCGGCACCTCCCAAGCACCTCGCTAGTTCACGTGGAGGAGGTGCATCCGCGAGTGGTCCCACACGTGCGGCTCCCGCCCCGCCCTTGCCAGATGAAGACCCTTTTGCTAGCACGGCGGGGGGATCCGCAACAGAGTCCTTCGCGAACTTTGCAGACTTCGGGAACTGCTGAGGGATGGCAGCATATGGCAGACAATACCATGTCTCTTTTTGTTTGGCCTTCATTTTGTCTTCATTTTTCGTCCTCAACCATCTATCTGCTGTCGTGCTCCTTATGCATTGCTGTTCTTTCAGACGGCTGCTCTGGGGCGATGGGAGTCTTTATTTTCAGAAGGTATTGCCCACAGTACTGTGTTCAGGTGGCAGGTAAAAAAAACAGAAGTAAAGGTGGGGCTGATTCGCATCTTAACTTCTGCACACACCCTATACGAATTCTCCGCTCACGTATTGTGAAAGTGTCTTACAAGAAATGCTGGTGGATGCATCCATTCTTTCTATTGACTGCAATTTTCAAGGCACATATTCGTGTAATTAGCCACATTTATTTCATGGCTGTAGCAGTGGTAAATATCTTCTGTCGACAGTTTGGCAGACAGTCCAAAGAAGTGTTAGTGACGTCGACCTAAAAGAGTTGGTGGATGGTAGATACCTTGTGTCACTTGCATCTAATAATTTATTTTCTATGTCAGCTTGAATACATGCTCAGCTTCAGACACGGTCGCCAAGGTGAACTGATTCAGTTTGCTTTTGCTTTATAACAAATGTCGTCAGGATAAAAGACTGGGTTACATAATGGAAAAACTTCAAGACTAGGTTTAGTTAGCTGTTGCTTGAAGAGCCAGTTCACCTAATTTTTAGCATTATTACCAATGTGTGCAGCTTGTGACAAGCAGTTTCGCACTTCTTCTTAGCTTATACGTCCACTATGTCTCTGTGGTTTTCTTTGAGCTTGGTGGAGCGAAGAGATGAAACATGTGGGCAGACTTGTGAACAGTGGCTGCTAGACTCAGGTTTTCTCGTTGGCATACCAAATTAAGATACTACTTTTTTCAGCATATGGCCATTTTTCACTAGCTTCGAAAGCATGCACAAAGGTTGTATTTGATGTTCAATGGCAGAAAAGGACTACTACTGAACCTGCCACCCATATGCATAGTGCAATTATGCACCACCACTGTGAGATGTTAGGTGTGTATGACAAGATTGCCTTTTCAGTCGTGTGCTGCAAAGTGTAAATTGTTTAACTTCATCGCATGCGTTGAATCTCCGCAGCAACATTTGAACAAATGCTTATTTGCAGGTATTGTGTTACCACTGCTGTAGTGTTTTATTTAAATGCATTTTATTTATGCAAATTGGACATTGTTCGGGTGACTGAGTAATACTGTGCAGTCAATGTCCATTCTCATGTTCTCGTGTGCCATATGTACATTTCTTTTTTTCTGCCTATATATGTGTTGTATCCTGAAGGAACTCTAGACTTGTACGGTAGTTGCACAAACGTAGTAACAGGTCTTTTTTTGGGGATGGAAGAATGAACCTCTTTTTGTACAGCATGTTGACAGCAGTATTGTTGCTAGCCTATTGGTTTGAGCTTCTTGACAGGAGTGTATTGTTATGCTCGCAAAAAGGAACAGTAGTGCTTGAAGTAGTACTGGACACCGCTGCTGTCAAGCAAGAATTGCTTGCTCAGTGACCTGAACAATGACCACTGTTTGCATCGATTTCAAGAGCAGATCTGTTACTTTCCTGATTGAAAAACATTTGTGCATGTAGTGACAGTGCAAAAAACGTGTGTAAAGCTGCTGCTTGATGCGCTTGCCAGTAGGAACTGTACCATAATCACGCCGTTTAATCTCGCGGCAACGATATCGATTGTCCCAGGACTCTGGGAACAACAGTAGGACAGCCCTGCAGTGAAAGGGTCAGCCATGTATATTATTCATTCCTTTCTCGGGTGCGGTATGTTGTAAGAGTTTGGCTAGTCTGTACAATTTTCTGAAAGTCTTAGTTGAAGTGCGTAACGGTCAGTCGGGTGTACATAAAAGCACATTGTTCGGAGCTCACTTTGTTATTTTAATTATGTCGTTACTTTGCGCGTGGCGATTTCGGAACGTGCTCCAATCTGTTTCATGCTCTTGTGTACATACTGCACAACTTTCAGCTGTTTACACATCAAGACGTCTTCCCAGGTAACAAGTGCGAATCGTGTTTTTTGCCTAGTCTACTTAGCTTTAGCTTGTTTTTCTGGGAACCTGAGCACCACAGGCCTTCTATTATTGCTTGAATGCAGTTGGCCATCTCTCGTCTGCAAGCGATACATGTCAAGAATGCAACTGTGCACTTGCACCCAGAGTGCATCTTGGGTTTCCACGTGTTGCACGTGACACTGCTTCACAGCTGCATATGTGATTGAGCGCACGGGCAGTTACTGCCTTCACGATACTTGCAAGACTGCCCGTGAACAGTAGTGCGTAGTAATGAAAAATATATGCATGTGTCTGTGAACCTTGTAGAAGCGAGTGGAAATCTGTGTCTCGAAAGGCAAGTCGTGGCGTAGGTCTGTGAGCACGTACATGTTTGAACTGTGGTAAACAATAAGAAAAGGTAGCGAGAGTACTTGTGTCCCTTCAGAGCAGAGTTGTGGGCGCGTTTTTCCTCGAAACATCTAGCACTTGTCTTGAATGTCAAGGCCTTAAAACTCTTTCTAGCATGAGATATTTGCACACCATGATGCGCGAGTATGTTACTGTGTGTTGAGATTGGCCTGGTGCTATGTTACATCTCGTCTTTATCCCAGTGCCATTCAAGCACTGGGACAGTTGTGTTTTGTGTTGAAGTTTATTATTTTAACATTCCCTTGCATTTTATGTAGATATGTATGCCTTTTAAATAAAAGCCATATGCATGTTTGTGCAGAGCGTAATGAAGAATGGGCATTGTTATGAAAACATTGCCTGAAAGTGTTGGTCTCCAGCACATCATTTAACACATATTGCTCTCCAAGAGAAGCACTTCAGTGAGAAAGGCCCTTACTAATGCTATAGCCAATACATGAAGCTCTATATAAGGAAACCAAATTTCATGACGTTCCCAATCCAACAGAAATTTACCTTCCATGGGAAATTTCCAGAGAGGATGATTATTGTTAATCTGAATAAACTAAACAATTTGAGCTACCAAACCAGATTTAATGAGCCTCCTTAAAAACTTTCTCACTTAGCCAGATTGCCTAATTGCTGCATTTTTCCTTATCAAGGGTTTGGCTTAGGTTTAGCATGGGGAGCACCACGTCTGGGCCACTTTCATGAGCTTACAGGCGTGGCTTGATGACAAACAATGCTTCTGTATCAAAACTTTATTTGGGCCTGGTTAGTACATACCCCTGAACTAAAATTAACAGCAAGATGCCGAATATGACCCATAGAGAAAAACTCCACACACGAGCGTCGAATTGATAGTCGTGTGTGCAGTTTCTCTGTGGGGCGTGTTCTGTGTTTGTGCTGTTGATTTTAATGCTTCTGTAGCGTTTGGATATTGAAAAATCTTTCTTAATTTAATGTAATACCTTGTGTGTGGATGTTGCTTTGATAAATGGAGTGTCACCTGCATGGCTTTTTGCAGAGCTGATTATAGAATAGCCAAGACTAGTGGCATAGCCTGGGGGTGACACACCCCCAGATCAGATCCCCACTTCAGATCAAAGGGGTACCCCCTCCCCACCACCAAAAAAAAATTTCTAATTTCTGCATACACCCTTAGACAAGATAATTTATTTAGCCATATATTTGGCACTTAATACTATAAGAATTGGCAGTAACCCATATGACACCCCACCAGTAATGATAGAAGTCAGAAAAGCCTCGGAGAGCACGCAAAGAGGCAAAGCTGCTGGTGAGGATCGGGTAACATCAGATCTGCTTAAAGATGGAGGACAGATTGTGTTAGAAAAACTAGCCACCCTGTTTACGAGGTGTCTCCTCATGGGAAGAAAACCAGTCTTGGAAGAACGCTAACATCATCCTAATACATAAGAAAGGAGATGACAAGGACTTGAAGAATTACAGGCCGATCAGCTTGCTCTCCGTAGTATACAAGCTATTTACAAATGTATTGCTAACAGAGTAAAGAAAACATTAGAATTCAATCAACCAAAGGAACAAGCAGGTTTTCGAACAGGCTACTCAACAATCGACCACATTCATACTATCAATCGGGTGATAGAGAAATGCTCAGAATATAACCAACCACTATACATAGCCTTCATAGATTACGAGAAGGCGTTTGATTCAGTAGAAATATCAGCCGTCATGCAGACACTGCGGAATCAGGGCGTAGATGAAGTATATAAAAACATTCTGGAAGAAATCTACAGTGGATCAACTGCTACCATAGTGCTTCATAAAGAAAGCAACAGAATACCAATCAAGAAAGGTGTAAGGCAGGGGGACACAATGTCCCCAATGCTATTTACCGCTTGCTTACAGGAGGTTTTCAGAGGCCTATAATGGGAACAGTTAGGGATAAGAGTTAATGGAGAGTACCTTAGTAACCTGCACTTCGCCGAAGACATTGCATTGTTGAGTAACTCGGGGGACAAATTGGGGTCTTAAAATTAATCTGCAGAAAACGAAAGTAATGTACAACAACCTCGGAAAAGAGCAGCGCTTTGAGATAGGTAATAGTGCACTTCAAGTTGTAAAAGACTGTCTACTTAGGGCAGGTAATAACCGCGGAGCCGAACCACGAGATTGATGTAACTAGAAGAATAAGAATGGGGTGGAGCACATTTGGCAAGCACTCTCAAAATTATGACAGGTAGATTGCCACTATCCCTCAAGAGGAAGGTATATAACAGCTGTATCTTGTCGGTACTTAGCTACGGAGCAGAAACCTGGAGACTTACAAAGAGGGTTCAGCTTAAATTGAGGACGACGCAGCGAGCAATGGAAAGAAAAATGGTAGGTGTAACCATGAGAGGCAAGATGAGAGCAGAGTGGATTAGGGGACAAATGGGGGTTAAGGCTATCATAGTCGAAATCAAGAAGAAGAAATGGACATGGGCCGGGCATGTAGCGCGTAGACAGGGCAACCGCTGGCCATTAAGGGTAACTAACTGGATTCTCAGAGAAGGCAAGCGGGTTAGGGGGAGACAGAAGGTTGGGTGGGCAGATGAGATTAAGAAGTTTGCGGGTATAAATTGGCAGCAGCAAGCACAGGACCGGGTTAACTGGCGGAACATGGGAGAAACCTTTGTCCTGCAGTGGACGTAGTCAGGCTGATGATGATGATGATATTCGGTGCTTAGTGGCACAAACTGCATCGGTTTCCATTAAAAAGGATTGGCGAATGGCTCCTTTCATTGAAGGACAGCTGCCTGTTGTCTGGGATTTGGTGTCTAATGCAGCTGGGACGTTGTTGCCCCGCCGACCGTTGAGTCGCGGTGACGTTTCGTGCAGAACGTTTGGCACATATCACTTAAGGTAAGCTCTTCCATCTGCATAAAAGGAAACTCTTCCATCCGCGTAATGTTTTTGGGCATGTGGTCTCGAACTAGGAATCCCTCGTCGCGGGTGGAGACTATCTCGTCGACAAAGCCGAACCAGTAGATGACCAGGCCTCGACCGAAGCGGTTCGAGTAACTCTGGTACTGGTCGCGCACGTAGGCCCTGTGGCCTTCGGGATCGCCGAACTGCGCCTTGCTCTCCACCCACGTCACCACGCTGCCATCGATTACGATGGGAACCTCGAGCTTCACGTCTGGCGTCTTGTCGAAGCCGCGGTCTCGTAGCGCGTTCTCGTCCACGAAGGCCAGCTTCAGGTCGGCGAGCTCCGTCTTGAGTCGAAGCTCGTACTCCAAACCGACGGCGTTTTTCATCGCGTCGGCGAACGGTCCGTAGGTCTTGTCGTTGACTACGCAAATGAACACTTCGGTCGCCAGGGCACCGTCGCCGATAGTGCCACTGTCCTTCAGCATTTGGTTCAGCTCTTGCTTAGAAGGAGGCTCCGCTGTCTTTTCGTAGTGTTTCTCGATCATGAGGCGTGCCATGAGCGCCGGAGAGACTCCCTGTTCATCGGCGTAGCGCAGGAGAAAGCCAGGCTTCTCTGACGCCGCGACACACCAACTGTAATAGCTGTAATGTTTACCAGAGACTTCGGGTGACACTAGCGTGTGGTACGTACTTTTGATATTCCGCTGTACTTCGGTCGATATGATGTGGCGCAGGGTGTCCTCGCCGACGTCCGGAAAACACGATCGCAACTCGGCCAGACAACTTCGACGTTCGAGCGAATTCAGCTTCTCTTTGATCGCTTCGTACGTGTCGAGCTTCATCGTAGCCGCCGAGATACGAGTTTTGAACAAAGCGCGCCAGTTGCGACCAGCCGTGGCTCTGAAGCATCTGAAGTGACACCACTCACACACACTACACACGGAACCATCAAACAACGACCACAGAAAAACATGCGGTACGAAACTGCGGCGACTAGGAATATGATAGCTTTCAAACCTCCGTGCTTTCAAAGCAAAAGCTTGCCTAAAATTATCCGTAAAGGAAGCGCTACTTTTTCATTGATATCAACATAAATTTTGGTTTACGACAAACATTTATGGCAGAGTATTATTGAATGAATTTGATTACTGAAAACATACTTATGGCGATGTCAACATTTTTTTTTTTTGTCGTGTTATGCAGAAAGAAACGACAAAGACATAACAAAGTTTTGCCAATACAGCGGACGATGGGTTTTCATCACGGTGTGGTTCCCGTTCTCACTACTCATCTAAAGCAATCAAGTTAGCGTGTCAGCGTTGCAAAGTACAGGCTTGTCACTTTAGCAGGCCGTAGTAGCCAGATTCGAAACTGTCAGATGGCGTTGCGCGACGCTGCGACCATCGAGTTGCGACGTATTTTAGTTTCTGTTCACGTTTTGAAGCGGCAAGTTTCGCGAGCGCATCTAATGGACGGGCTATCCGTGACCTTTGGCGGTTCTCGCTTTTATTAAGAACTAGCCAAACTTGCAAGTGTGGGAAAAGCTAAGCTAGCTGGAAACTCGCGTTAAAGCCTAAAGTGGCACAGCGGCAACGTGATGGCTGCGGTACCGTCGCCAGCGTGCGCCCCGAGCGAGGCGGCAAAGCATGTCACAACGAGAAGCAGTAGAACAGTTCGAGCGGCGGTACCATTTTCACCTGACGTCAAATTTACGCCGAGAAGGAAAAAGAAAAAGGTAGCCAACAAAGAACCCACCTGTTGCAAGAAGTGCGGAGTTACTATGAGGCAAGATGATTTCCGGACTTTTCATTTACGGCCTTGTGTACGCACGAGCACTTTCGAACACGATCGAGCCTCGATCGGTATTAGGCAACGTGTGCGCATGCGTCACACGCCAAGCTCTTGGGTATTTTAGAAACATCGTACGTACCCAAGCCGAAAAGACGATTTCAAAGCTCGATTGAATTTCCCGACCGGTCCCTTGCGCGGATCAGCCACTCGAGATTCGATCGCGATTGAAAGTTCTTCGTGTGCTATTGGGCCGTGCGTACTACGTGCTGCCCATTTCTATTTGATGAGCGATTAATAATTAATAAGAAAAAAAAAACATTGCGTACCCAGGGGTTCGACAAAGCATCTTTGTGCTGTGTGCTGCGAGCCATCCTTGAACGTTGGACGCGACGAAGCTGTAAGTTTAAGACCTGTTATGGACTGTTATTATTATTATTATTATTTCCTAAAAAAGTTGTTTGAATCGCAGTTTAGATGTGTTCGTGTGAGAGGTATATACATATCCGGAATCGGTGACAGCATCTTACTGCTACAAGTGAGATTTATGCCCTAGAAACGAGTTTTTTTTTCTAGCACAAAACAATGTCTTTGTATAAGTATGTATGCACGTTTTGTACTGAATAAGTTCAGACTTGCCTGCTGAGCCATCTTTTAATTTTATAGAGGCCTACAGAACATTCAGCTGTGCAAAGATAATGTTTTCGGTTAATGTAGTTTAAATAGGCACAACAGCATCAATTTTTCAAGGCATTCGCCCCACTTAAAAGCACCGTTTGCGTCTTGTTGTTCCAAAGAAATGATGATATGCTTACAGGTTGAACGTATTGTCAGATGGCCATACACGACATCACATTTAAGATTTCTTTTTTTTTTTTTTGAGCACTCCGTGCTGGTTCATGGGTTCAGATTCAGTATGTCACAAAATACTAGTGACAACAGGCTGGACAAGCTCATCAGGGCAAGCCTTGCATCGAACATGATCAAGCGACACAGATGGCGGGATATAGACCCTTTCACTGTTTACAAACACAGGTCCCGGGCTGCTTCTGGTTTTGTGGGCCGGTGTAGCCTAGTAGCATTGGCGGGGAACAAAAGCATTAGTGAGTGGCCCACTCATTTTCAACACTTTAGTCCCTGTGACTGGCCAAATATTTCAAACTTGCTTTCTTCTAAGCTACACGCGACATTATATGAGTTAGTCCATAACTTTAAGCATCTTCCTTTTACCTGAAAGCACAAAAAGAGTTTTCCCCCACTCTAGCACAACTTGAAGAACACGCTTCCTGCTATGGTGTCTGAGGGTGATAACTGAAGTGTCTGGCTGTTTTTTGGAAAGCGTCACCTGCTGCTGGTTTGATCCTGAAACTGAACAAAAAGGCAAATATTTGCAAAACTCTTATTGGAACAATGGGGGTCAGGTTTCAGGGGACAGTCATAAAAATACATAATTATTGCTTTATATACATTCCATACAGATACACTAGTGTACATAAATGTTCAGTGTGACTAGTCACAGCTAAGATAAGAGCATGCATGTCACCGTAGCGTGGCTCACATCACCTGTCCGTAAATCCAGACAGAAAACGTGGCAATGTGTACTGCAAACTTTTAGAAACGCAAGCAGGAGTAGTGCCAGGATTTTTTAAACTTTGGGGGCAACCATGAGAAGTGGGTTCATTCAAGGGACGGGGAAACTCAATTGTTCATTGTGTTTTGGCCATTTACTCTTTAAAAAGGAGATGGGGCAAAGGGGAGACAGGCAAACATTTTTGAAAGGCTGCCACTCCCTGAACCCCCCTCTGGCACCACTCCTGAACTACGAGATAACTTACGCAGGGCTCAGAAATTGAAGCATGGCATCATAACTTTTAGCATAAAAAGTAATATGAATAATTTCTTGATATAAGCATGTCATGTTGCTATGAATAAGGCTACTGAAGGTGACGCTGGCTTTGATGTAAGTATTCGAGTCGAAAGTGCAATTAGTATGATCGGAACCGAAGCCAACAAGATCAAAGTACATGCGTTACGTCGCCATAAATTGGTGCGCTTCTATAAGTGTGCTCCATGCATACTACTAGCTAGTGCATGTATGTGTACATGTGTCTGCAGAGTGAATTCCTTCATGCTTACAGTAGTACTATATGTACTTCTCATACTGTGTACTTCTCATACAGCAAAGCAACCAGGAGTTTGAGGAGAACAAGAAGAAATATTTGGATGAGGCAAAAGCCTTTGCAGCGAATCTTGCCAAGGCTTTTGATGATGTAAACGCAGAGCGCCTTTTCTGTCCGGTCTTCAAACCTAAGGGACCTTGTGCTTGTATCCAGGAGTATCTGAGTGGTGAGAATTTCTGTCGTCCACTGTCTCAAACTCTTCCACCGTTTCACTTTGATGGGCCTTTAACTGCAAGCTTGAGTTTTATTTAGCTTGAAAAATGCACTTGTTTTTAAGTGAAGTAAACCATGTGCCACACGTGTTAAAGCTTTCTGTAACCATACATGCAACAATGAAGTGCATGATGAGCACTATTAATGGGTTAGAAAGTGTGTCTAAAATTTTTTTGTTGAAACTTCATTACAGTGAAGCTTTTGCAGAACTTTCCTTATTCTACTGGCTGTTGAAATTCTCTGTAAATGCCATGAGTCATATGTAATTGCATAGGGCCAAAAGTATTTTGCAACAGTGCTAAACCCTGTGTGGAATGCAGAACTTTTATCATTATTCCAAGGATGATAACTTGTTGGTATTGCAGTTTGAAATGTTTGTTTAGTAATTACATTGTTAAGCACTTACATTTTGATGCAGGGCAGAGGGTCAAGTCTTAGTTGCTATAGCAGACATGGTGCTAATGGGACATCAGCTGCACTTAAAGATAGCTTCATCCTAGTAAAATTCAATGTCTTGTTGATGGACATCCTGTGGTGTTCATTTCTATGTTCTTGTTCTCACACAACCTCGTACTGTTCAGTGGCCTTTGCAATGAATGACAGGATTAGCTCAGACCAAGATTTAAAGATCACCAACTGCTGTGCAGGTGATGGCTCAGAACAGAGAGTCCGCAGTCTGCTACAGCTTCTTCAGGAAGCCAAGAAACTGTCACAGCAAAAGTGCTACAACTGGGAGGAAGTAAGTTTGGTATCCGATTCTTGTTTTCATTCCTGCTGCTTCACTTCTGAAAGGTACTGGGAGCCATGCATGCTATGAACAGGTTTGCTCTTGTTAGTGTCTTTGTGTTCAAAATCCTGCCAATACGGGGATGGACTTTGGGGCTCTCCAAGCTGCACGTGTGCGTCCTATGCTGTAATAAGGTCATGTTGTGGGGAAAGGCACGTATAATTAAAAATTCACACAGTCGCTTATGCATTCACCTAAAACGACTCAAAGGCAAAAGGCAGCCTCTTTTTCTTCTCAATCAATTGTATTGATACACATGTATTGATAAACACTTATTGATACACATATATTAATATGAATATAATTGGGACATATTGATACCTCCTCTAATCTTTCTGTACCTCAGAGTATTGCAGTGCCCCTGCAATGAGCCCCCCTCTGACCAAACAATGTCATATGATGACATCATCATTTGATGTCACGTTACATGATATTGTAGTGATGTGGTGATGCCATAGTGAAGCCACAAATTTTTGTGATCTCTGGTGTCATATAATGACATCTTCATATGATCGTAATTTTTTGCATGACTCACGTTGACGCCAACAGTAAATTTTAGTGTTTGGCATCTAAGGCTTATGCCTTGATAACTGACTGGAATCAATTTTGTGTACATGTGAGTTAGTTTACTGGTTAAAAAAGATATGCAGCTGGCAGTGGCCATTATACCGTGTTTGCATCTGTAATTGATGGCAAAAACTTGACTGCAAAGATGTGTTTCTGGCTCCTGCCGTATATGGGACTTTGGCCTTTCATATCCTTTTTCGAGCTTGTGACCATTGTACAGGACATAAAAAAAAGACACAGTGCAGAAAAGGAAGCAAAGGTAAAATCAGAACAAAAACCACTTTTGCAACTTTTTCGAAGAGGCGAGCAATACCTTTTTTAATGTATTCGTCCATACACCAACTAGCACGATGAGTTTTATTAATTCATACCACAGCCCCATTTTTATATAAGTGTACCTTAAAATAATGGCATCGTTCACAAGGAAACTCGCACGCTAGGTGTGCTGAAGGGAAACTATCTTAAGATCTCTCTTTGCACTATTCAAGTAATTTAAATCATGTGAGCTGACTTATGTCCTCTTGAAACTATGTTGTGAAAAGGTAGCTTTTGTAAACAGAACTTTGCTCGAAACACGAGGATGTATTTATGTCCAGTACACTGAACACTGTTATTTGCCCGTATCGTGCTAAGAATTGAGGGAGTGGGGAAACTAAGAGGGCGCGTCATGTGCCAGTCTTGAAGCCCAGACATAAAAAAATGAGACTGGACCATGCTGAGAATTATATAAAGAGCATTAAGCTCAAGGAGGGAGTGAAAGGTTGCCTTGTGAGCACTAGACACACGCACTCTTCAATTTTTTTTTTTCCACAGGTCCATGCAACGTTAAAGAAAATGAAACAAGAGCATGATGGAAATTCTATCATAGGCATAAGGAGACAGCCGCTATGAAGGAGATTGATTTGTAGATGCTAAGTACGCTCCCTCTTCAGTTTTTTTTTTTTTTAGTTTTTTTGCCTACACAGTGCTAACTGCCGTGTGCGACATTTATCTGCCCAAAACTTTTTTCTTTATTTATTTTTCAAAATAAATTGCCGTTGTGTTTTCGAAGACAGTGAATCTTTTGACAGGATCAAAAGCAGCATTCTCTCTAGGAAGAAAGTCGAATTAGCATACACATAAGTGAACCGAATAAATCCCAGTGTTGAGCATACTGGACATGGATCTCCCATGAAAACCATTGTACTTATCATCTCCTTGATTTTTTTTTGCACGCTTTTCAATAGCCTCTTAACTAGAAAACATCAAAATATTTAGTCCTGCTCTACAAAAAACTCAGTATGGAAGGAGATATAAATTTGTGCTGGTGTGAGCGAGCCCTCAATAGATATGCGGTGATGGGGTAGCTGCACCAAGTGCACCAAGCTGTGCCAAGAGGTGGAACCTGCTACATTCTGCTTTATTTTTGAACACTAAGGGCCAGTTTTTAAACTCGGTACATACTTTTATCTCCCATGAGCTAGAACTTTAAGGATTCTGTCCATGAGACAAAACAGCAGGGCACTTTACCATGCAGCGAAGCCTGAATTCGTTTTGAAAGTACGAATGTCATCAGAATAGGTGTGCTGGTTAGTAAATGGAATGAATGGAAAATTTACACAAGTTAAGCTTCCATTACTGTAACTGAAGCATCAGGTAGAGTCATATTCATTTTCAAATATGAGGTGGCTAGGTGCCTTAAGGTCATGACTCTAAAGAAACAAATTAAGAGCAATATTCTAAGTAAAGATACCTGCATTTCCACATTGATCTACTTCTTCAAGCATGTAGCATAAAGGTTCAAATTGTAGGCAAATATTTGCATTTTAAAATGTTTGTTTAGTAACTGCTACAAATGGTTGTTATGCTGTTTCAATGCGAGGTCATAGCGGCGGCAGTGTTGCTTCGGTCAATCACATCTCTGGGCATGTGACTTAAACGCTGTTTGCCGTGCTTACTTCAGTCGTTTTTGTGAACACCTGATTAATCAATATCCACGTCCTTGCATTTCCAGGTCAAGCGTGTTGGAAAAAGCCATGCAGTTGGTATGGGCAATGGTCAAAAGCACAGCGAGTCCTTTGAGCTGTTTGTTAATGAACATCGGCCTCGTTTGCGAGAGATGAAGCTGTGTGAACGAGCAACGCAGAAGGTGCTCCTCTATTCCAACAACTTTCTTCACAGAAACCTCAAGACGGAACCTAATGTAAGGGAGCCTTCTTACCTATTTAACAAGATAGTTCAAAGTATGGCCATTTGGTTTTCATTCAACTGGACACAGAGTAGACCAGTTATAATGTAACCACTTGAAGTGCAGGACCGGTTACAATGCGGTCTTTTTTGACTCCCGTTTACCTTCCCATAGAACCTTATGTATACGCATACCGCTTATTGTGTAGTCATCCAAGACGAAAGACCGGTTATAATGTGGTTGCCAGAAAATCGTTGTGACGAATGTGGTACCGAATGTGCATATAAAAGGAGGTGCGCTGGGGAGCGAGCAACAAGGTGGTTACAGAGGAGGAGGGGACGCAGAGTGAACAAACGAAGGGCAGAGGGAGGAAAAAGGAAAGAAACAAAAAGTCCGTGGCATGCCGCGCTTGCTCGCTGAGTAATTAAGGGAAAAGGGCAGTTGTCCAGGAAGTTCTTGCACCGGCGCCGACACGGCTACAGTGTCGCTAGCGTGGTTCCGGTCGCTTGCTGCCGGCTGCGCGCGGCTCGACATAACGCGTATTATCCTTTCCTTATCAACTGCGCTTAAGACTTTCCTGTCGGTAAAATTGTTCTCGTTATCGAACTTGCTAGAGATTAGTAATGACAATATCCAGCTCACTACGCTGAGCTTGCTCAGCGCTCGTATCATTTCTTCTTCAGTCTTTGTCTCTATTTTCGTGCTGTTTTTATACATTCCAAGCTTGCTACGAATATCCTGTTAGCTACCTGGTTCGTAAATTTGAAAACTTTTACGGCTTTATCATGCCAGCTTTTGCCTTAATTTGCTGCCAGTGCTGAGTCGTACATAAGCTTTGCGGGTGTTCATTGTTGATATCCCGACCGTGAAAGCAAACTTCATATCACGCACGCTGATCTTGGTTCAGTACTTGAGTGCGATATTTTCGGCACCCGAACATCATATCTTGGAAAAACTTCCCGCGACAGCATACCGAATGGCAGGCTAGACCTAATCAGCTTTGGTTGCATTTCGGTAGTGGTTGCTCGCTAAATGGCGGTTTAGTACGGAATCAATGAAAATCTTTGCGGTGGCTGCACTTGCAGGGAAGGGATACATTTCGTCAATGAAAACTAGGTAGGCATATGTAGCATCGAATGGTGGTTTGCGATTCGATCGTGAGTGCGCCCGTGAAATCCAATGGTTGGCGTCTTTGAGCACGTGAAATTTCGGATGTGATTCGACATAGATTTTGTGTAATGCGCATAACTGAGGCGGTCTGCGAAATAGTCCGGGAATTTTTGTGAAGTTGCTTTTTTTACAGTGTACAGTGTAAAATTCTTACACCGTGCTTTCTTTTTTGTTAGACCCCCCCCCCCCTCCTTTTCACATTCTTTTCATTTGCTACGTGATTCTTTGGTCGCTAATCTTTTTTTTTTTTTACCATTCGGAAACTTTTATTGTTGTAAGCAGCATGGCATCACATGCTTCGATTTTCGGAAACGCAAGGCTGCATGCTCAACACATTTTGTGCAACTGCGGCCCTTGAAAAAAGTTTAATTGGTTATAGTGCGGTACCACTTATACTGGTGATTTTCGCAACTCCCGTGACATAAGTTATAAGCGATTTATACTGTAATGGGTCTAAATTAAATACATGACAGTTCATACATATTCTGTTTGGGGCCTTTTGTTGCCTAAAGAAAGCATACCTGTGTTTTTTTTCTACCCGAACTGGAAGGTCAAGTCTTTAAGAACACAGAGAACAGTTAGTGTGGATGATGGAATAAGACAAATAAAAGTGCACCTGACCTTTTGCATTTGTCTTGTCCATTCGTCTATGTTGCCAATGCTCTGCCTATTGAGGTATGAGAAAAACACTGAATCAGTTTGAATTGGATTGTGTGCAACTGAAGGGAAGTTTCAAGATGTTAATCTTAATTAATCAGCACCTTCATGACCACCACCTTGAGAGGCCATTTGTCTCAAGTTGGAATCCTGCATCTGGATGTATTTTCCGTTGGCTAAAATGCTGTCCTTCTGAGAAATCCGGGTAGAGATCTCTTTGTAGTTTCATGCTACAAACAAAGAGAGGATGATTTTCAGGGGAAGCTAGTATTACCTCACAAGTGTCGTTGGCGTTCTATGTGTGACTGCAAAAATAATGGCGTCCATGAGCATGAATAAATGTCCTTTGTATGTGCCATTTTCCAATAATTGGTGCTCTCTCGGTCGTGGGCTTTCTGGTTCAGCAGTGTGATCTTTTATCAAGGTTACCGAGGCGACTTGTCATTTCAAGTTTCCACATTTCACTGTTCCCTGTATATGAACACATGACCGTCATCATTACCTGTAGCTACTGATGTTTTGCGCTGCTATGCAGGCAGATGTCCCATTCCTGGCATAGAGGGAGGGAACAGTTAGGAGAGAGAATTGCACAATGCGATAGAAAATGCAATTTAAAAATGTGCAGAAAGGCCGAAGAATTCAGCGGACCAAGGGAAAGGCGGCGCTCGGGAAGCTAAGGAGCCTGGACCAACTTGCCGAAGACAAGTGTTGCCAGCAGAGGTGTGCAGGACTTGCGCAGCGATACACGACACTGGTCAGTCAGTGGCGGCAGCGGTCGCAGATGGGCCAGATCGAGAATCGCCGCGTTCTCGCCGAGATGCTCACTCCCAGTGGACCAAACTCGACAAACTGCTACAAGTTCATCTCCTGGGTGCGTTGCTGCAGATATTCGTTTAAACACAGTACCTAGGAGGTGTCACACTGATAGCATGTAAAATAAGAAACTGGAGGACTGTAAAATGGCAAAAACTAATTGAAACTTCTAAAGTAAGGGTGCAAGTGCTTTGGTAAATACAGAGTTTCAAAATTGTCAAAGACAGGGTGTCGCTTCAGGGGCCGTCAAGACAAGACAAGACTACATGTTTCTCATCTCTTCAACCTTCCATCTTCTTCTGCCTTATTTGGTAAAAAGAGAATAACACGTTTTATAAAACATAATACCTATATAAGGACCAAGGAAACTGAAACGTGCGTGCTGAAGCAACACTGTGGCATTGCACACTTTATTTATAAAATGAAGTTTTGCTTATGCAACAGTTTTTTCACAGATGTCTTTCTTTTGAGTTCGATTATGTCATGAGAATAGTCCAGTTGCATTAATTACAATAAACTCTCGTTAATTTGAACTCACTTAATTGGAACTTGGAGTTGATTCGAACTGGTGCCCTGGTCCCAGCACAGCCCTGTGTATTTCTCTGGAGGGGAAGCTCCCGATAAATCAAACATGTCGAGATCTACCTTAGTTAATTCGAACTGGCAGCCCCAAGTTTTCATTTATCCTCGCAGCATTTGGCCAAGTGCACACAACGTGTTGCAAAACCAAACTAAGCCAAATTTACTGGAAATTCAGAGCAACTAGGCAACAGCATTTTTCAGCAGACAAGACTTCGATTGCGGCGCCGGGCCTTTTTTACTAGATGCAAGCTAGGCTCATGAAGTCGCGACAGAAGAAACGCATGCCAATGCAAAGTACTGATTACTTTAATTTTTTATTGCTCTAACTTTGCCATGTAGATAAATGGGTTTTGGGGAATAAACCATGTCATATATTTTGACATTAATGCTCACGGCTTGCATCAATGTGTATTGGGGCTCCTTTCTGGTGTATCACTGAGTGATCAATTAAATGTGTTTGCTGTTAGACCTTCATGAACTTAATTTGCGAAATCACCTGCCACGGACATGTAGGAGTGCAAAATTTGTTCTAACGATCGAGTCCAGAGGTGCCTTCTTTGGGTTATACCCACTTAGTGTGGCATGCTGTCCATTCATTGTGGCGGCCGCCCGTTAATTCTAACTCCACTCAATTCGAAAAGCTTTCCAGTTCCCTCCGAGCTCAAATCGACGAGCTTTTACTGCAGTTGTTAATGTATGCATAATGCTGATGATGGCAAGAAAAACATTTTGATCAGTTATGTAAAATACATATTGCACCGATTGACCTAGAAAGGCTCCCCTTCAAGTTTTTCTGGCCTCTTGACGTCTTGCAATGGTGATATCTGGCATGTGAAAGCCAGATCACCGATCCAGTTTACTATGTTTAATTGGATTAGCCTGGCAATGTTCCTGTACAGCTGTAGGGCAGTCGGGCCAAGACGTTGACCTAAATGTTTGCGAATTTATATAATAATTATTTTAATTTTCACCTGCACTGTCCATTTTAGGTGCAGTAAATACCAACTGTTTATATTTCATTGATTACTTTGTTTAACTGTTGCTAATTATGCTTGCAGCTACCCTTTTCACTGATGGTGAATAATGTAGCACAGTTTGAAAAAGTGCTGCTTTGTTGCATCTCTTACAGTCGTTGATTTACCTCAATCTTTTTTTAATGCTCTCCAACTTTAGGTCACAGGTTGCAGCTTCACGACAATAGCCAAAGTCAGCAAGCAGATGTTGGCCACTGGAGGGGATCGTGAGCCACCACCTCATAAGCTAAAGAAGTTCTGGGACGCTAAAAACACCTCGCAAGAAGAGAGCGTACAGAACGAAACATTATGAAGCTCCATATTACTTCCCTCCTTTATATTTGTCTTCATCTTGTCACATATCATTTCACTCGCTAGATCCTATTGTCACGGAGTGAGAGTAGGCAGAAGGTAGAAATATATTTACATATTGTACATGGAGTACACAGTGTCCTTGAACCAAGATGGTGGAGTGGCAACATTAACACAAGCTTTTGTTAAATTGTCATCTTTGTCGCCTTTATGGTCCATTCCTTGATGCTAATGATGGCTTGTATTATATAGCCACCACCGGTGAAGGCGTCGTCTCGGCACTTAAGAAAGCGTGCGATCCTGCGCAAAGAAGTATGGCTTAAGGCGGGAGACGTCTACAATATCAGTGGACGGCAGAGACGAGGATGGAGTGTCCAAGGGGGCGATTTCATAGTTGACCTCGGTCAGTTAGTGCAAGACATTGTAAGGCCCGTTGTAGCGAGGTAAAAACTTCAAGGACAGACCAAAGTGACGGGAGGGAGTCCAGAGCAAGACCAACGATCTTGGGGAGTAAGAGAGAGCTCTGTGACGGCTGTCGTAGCTATTCTTTTGAGAGAGCTGCGAGGCAGAAAGGCGATCCCGGGCAATCTGGCGGGCCGCTCATGCCCGAGTAGTTGCATCGCGAGCGTACTCGGTAGGAGTGTCAGTATGCGACGGCAGAAGAGTGTCAAAAGGCAAAGTGGGGTGACGGCAGTACAAGAGATAAAAGGGAGAAAAGCCAGTGGTGTCCTGTCGTGACGAGTTGTAGGCAAACGTCACGTAAGGCAAAGTGGCATCCCAGTCACGATGATCTGCGAAGACATACGTAGATAGTATTGTCGTCAGTGTGCGGTTAAAGCGCTGCATGTGACACACGATAAGGACATCGTCAGATTGGACTGACGTCTCCACTGTTGATCCTGTGTGTAACAACTGATGCCTGACCTAAAGGGCTGTCACCAATGTCAAAGATGTCCCTGAAGGATGCCAAGATATGCCAGAGATCGGCTGCCTGTGCTGGAACGAGGTCTGGCGCGATCATCTTGTCAAAGTCGGCATCAGTGGTGCTCTGGGAAGAGGATGCAGTAGCGGATAAAGGAGCGTCTGCAATGAATGCAGGAACAGAATGTCCACTGATGGAAGAGACGTTGGCTAGAGTCATGCCATCTGGAACAACTTGAGCGGTGTTAAAACCTTTTTAAGGCGGCAGCGAAACTCCGAGTTCATAACTGCAATGTGGGACCCTATGTCTACAAGGGCAACAAGAAGTGCATCATTTACTTTAACGTCTGTGAGGTTGCGTCGTGTCGGCATAGTCAGAGGATTTGGCTGGCGAATCGTCGATGCAGCATCACCTCTGGGAGATGCAGCGTATAGTTTTCCCGAGCCAGATGTGCAGTCGGCGAAGGAGGATGGCGAAATTGGAGTGAGCGCGATAGGCGATGAGACAGCGCTGAGCGGGACTGGTGGCCGGGAGGGTATGGTGACCGACAATGCACCATCGACGAACGGTCACCACTGGCTGGCCGAGGCGACTCGTGGCGAGTTCCGAAGTGGCCATCATCTGCCTCTGCACGACGGTCGTAGCCATAGGAAGGCTGACGCCAATACCACCTGCTATTGCCATAGCGGGCCATGTGACCAATACGGTGGCAGTTAAAGCAAATGGGCCGGTCATCAGCAGTCCTCCACTCAGTGGGATTGCGAGAGCGCGCTGGGAGCCTTTGGTCTTGGGCATAGGAAACTGGTGGACGACGGTCAGTCGGTCGGGAGGGGGCGGCGGTACACACAAATTCCAGGCCAACGTTCGAAAGCTTTTGGCGAACGATGGCATGCACTAAAGGCACCATTTGGGAGCTGGACTCACAGGCACGAGAGAAAGTTGAAGCAGGAGACATAGCTTCAAGTTCTCGATGAATGATCTTCGTGACGTGCTCTACAATCAGCGGTGCCTGTGGTACAGGCATGTCTTCGCACGACCATGTTGCTGTGGTGTTGGAAAGTCGAGCGAACTGATGGGAAACGCGTCGGCTTTTGGCGGCCTCAAAGCGCTGGCACTCTCGGATAATGGCATCTACTGTGTCACAGTCCTTGCAAATTAGCAAATTCAATGCATCATTGGCAATGCCTTTTAATATGTGCGCTACCTTCTCGGACTCCTCCATGCCGTCGTCTGCTTTGCGGCAAAGGGCAAGCACGTCCTGTATGTAAGATACGATGACGTTTGAGTGCGAGATGCCAGCTCCTTCTTGGCCGCTGTCTTCCAGCCAGTCGATTTGCCGAACAGTGCACGCGTCTTTTCTTTGCACGCATCTCAGCTGCCAATTTCCGCTTCCTGGATCTCAAACCACACTTTGACTGTCCCTTTCAGGTAAAATAGGATGTTTGCCAGCATGAGCGTTTTATCCCAGCGATAATTCCTGCTTGTTCGTTCGTACAGCGGCAAGCATTCTTCAAATTCGATGTTGTCTGTCCCGCAGAACGTGCCAGGGTCTTTCAGCTGGAGCAGAACAGCTGTTGTCGTTGCGGTGGCCGCTGCGGGAGCTGGAGCCGGACCCCCTTGTGCCATCGTAAAAAAAACCAAGCGTCGGCCGCTGTGTAGCTCCGTCTTGTTATCCGGTACCACCACCAAAATGTCACGGAGTGAGAGTAGACAGAGGGTAGAAATATATTTACAGATTGCACACGGAGCACACAGTGTCCTTGAACCAAGATGGCGGAGTGGCAAAACACAAGCTTTTGTTCAATCGTCAACTTCGTTGCCTTTGTGGTCCATTCCTTGATGCTAATGATGGCTTGTATCACTATCTTCAACACTCATTCACTGTTTGAAAGTAATCTAATTCCAGAGGAGTCATGACACGTCATTGCAGTCATTATTGTAAATGGGTGCATTGTGTGAGGGCGAAACCAAAACTGCTGTGTGGTGTTATCCGGTGCAAAGAAAGGGGTTGTTTACCTCCTTATTAAAAATTCACTCAGTATGATTTATATACTAAAGTGAAATATTTATTAAAAATAAAAATATATATGGTATATGTATTTAGAGGCAATGGCTAAAAGGGCACAGTATCGGGGCACTCTGGTATCATATGCTTATTCAACCTTTCCTATATTTTCTCCGATGCTTGTGGTCCCTTTGTGCTCTATAAGCATGACCAATTATAGTAGTTAGGTATTAAATATTCAACCTGAGTGCTCCCCTATTCACCAAGACGAGTGGTCTCATTTGCTAGATGTCAAACTAACTAGCCCTTACATCCACATTCCTAGATATGGAGTTTTTCATCACGCTGTATTTTCATAGTCACCACACTGCGAAACCCCGTTGAAGTAATAATTCACTTGTATTTGGCATTTTTACAAAAGCTCACGCTGTGCTTCATGTCATGAAGTAATGCTTCATCAGCTCAGAATTCGGTATGCACTGCATTTTTTATGGTCACGTAAACGTCGAGGTGCCATGCGTGGATGCTTGTGGAGGATCAAAAATTGGTCGTGTTGGTATGAGTTCTTGTTTTTCATTTTCTTTTTCCCCATTGAACACTGTAGTATATTCCAGTAATGTATAGAGATGGGCGAATTAGAATCGATGTATGTTGTTAAATATCAGCCCAAACAAGACAGAACGCTAGAATGGAAGAGTACAGCACTTCCAGTGCGTGTGTCCCGTTTTTCGCCAATCTTAGCATGTACCACTTTGTTGCTGGTTTCATTTTTCCGATCGGGATTCCTGACCTCTGTTAGCGCTTGCCGTGTGCACTGTCTTCTTCTCTTCGCAGCTAGTCCTTTCTTTTTTTTTCCTGTATGGGCTAAAAAAATATCGTCACTATGCATGTATACCCCATGCAATACTGTCCCTGTACAACTCTTTTTGTGCTATTTTCTTTACCTGTATGTTTTTGTATGCATGTAAGCATATGCACTGGTACTGATTAGAAGAAAGAATATTCAAATAATATATACATGCAATGAAAATACAAATGTGATGCTTCCCTTAGACCAAAGAAGGGTTTTATGCAAATGACACATTGGCAGATTCTAATCCCAATATGTCGTACATGAGCCATGTTAAATTTAAAACATAGTTTCTGCCATTCTTAATGCACATGTAGTTGTGTGCAACTGGAGTGGTCACTTGGAATGGGCATCGGGCAGGCAGATATTTTCAAAACAAGTTGCTTTCAAAGTGTGAAAACTTTGGTCGGGGGAGGGGAATATGAAGCAGGACTAAAAGATAGAATCAGCTGTGCCTTATACACGCATGCAGTGTCCTGAATAATTCATTCTATATGTTTTCCAGGAAGCGCCTAAATCATTTGCAACTTAATTAAATGTTAGAATTGTTTCTGTTGTAGGCATTTGATGTTCTCGATTCTCATAAAGGTCTCTACCAGTGAATTCATGTTCTTGTGGTTCTTTTCACGCATAGCATAATTGTGTAGTGGGGCTGTGAAATAATCGTATATGAGGTGCAATATCGCTTAATAGAAAAATAAATCCTGTGCAAATTGACGGGTGTTGGTGTGAAATTGATATCAAAGAAATCCAGTGTATATAAAATACGTGCATGCGCTACAGCACCTATCTTACTCGCCCATAACTATTTTTTAACTGCTACTCTTGACGTCCTTTACACATTCTACTTAATTAGCATGTGTGCTGTGATGCCTAAGATAATGACACAACTCGGGTTAGCTACAAAGACCTGAAATCGTCGCATGTCATCGAGCCCGATCAATATTCCTAATCTATTTTAGTTTGATTGCGCAAAAATGCTATCGAGATTAGTGTTCGATCGCAATCGAAAGTTCCCGCGTGACACCTGTAATACTTGTGGTTTCTGTTGTCTCGCTGAACACATAAAACGCTTAATTTTTTTTGCTAAATTCATCCATTTGCGCTAAGTGTTGTATAGTGCGTTGTCTGGCGATGTAATTTATTTGGGAAACGTCACCGAGAAACAGCTGCGAATAGCATCGTGCCGCGGCAACCATGACATGCTTTGTAGTGCGGCGAAAAGCCGCCAGGTGATCGAGCGCAGCAGGTAAGCGGAGCAAGCAGACGCCGCGAAGAGGTGAGTAAATGCTTTCGCGATATTTCTTACGTTTAAACGAAAGCTAACGGCTTGACTAGCCGTCGTGTCCGCCAAGTAACCGCATTTGTGAGTTGCGCGAGCAAAGCTTGTTCGCGCTTCAGCGCTTAAAGGTCTCCAAGGGTAAGGACCTCCGCTCGCGGCCACTCGAGGTGTTGTGAAGCCTTATCGCTTCCTTGGCGGACGAAAACGAAATGCAATAAGCGACATATGGCTGATGTGCCGTGCCAACTCTGACGGTGCCGTGATTAGGCGGAAGTCCCTCGCTCGATTTCTGGTTGCTTTTGGATACGCGTAGGCGATTCCAGTCGAGCGAATGCGGCGGTCGCGCTCCAGCGCTGTCAAGAGTTGCGAGATAGCTTCGGCGACCTTCACCGTAGCGTCGGCGCTGCTGCGATGCATCGCGGGGTTCGCACCGTACAGGTGCGTTGCTCGGTCGGCTTCGGGTCTCGTCAAGTTGCACGCCGCGGCAACGGAAACAAACAAAACAAAAAAAAAGCAGTCGCCACAGCGGAAGTCTGGTTCGCGCTACGCGACACTGCTTGCGAGCGGTAGTTCACAGTCGTCGTGCCGACGATTCCGAACCCTCCGTTATCATCGCGCACCGGCGACACTTCGAGTGCGCTCCTGTCTGCCGGGCTTTCCCTCCTTCGGGTTATCGGTTGGCGCCCTCGCGTGTTTTTCTCGCGTTTTGACAATGAGACGTACCGCGGCAAACACGCAACTCTCCCGACTGCGCAGTCGGGTCGAACCGCACAGGTGGGCGGCGGATGGCCGACGACATAGGTCATTACTTGTTCCCAACACTTGCCGACACTGACGTTGTCAAGTGCGAGCGTGAAGTGCATTTTCGTTCTCGCAGGCGGCTGCGGCGGCCCGAACAGGGGCGAAATGGCCAGCAAGCAAGGAAACAAGCAACCACTAAGCGGTAACTATACCACTAATCAGGAATATTTAACCTAGGCTATGCTACTTGTATTTAGTGTAAGCAGGTAAACTTCTATTTATAGTGTTCGTTACGCTTACCCTGAAATGTAACAAAATATGAGTTTTTACATTGATTTGACAATATTAATTGAGGAAGGTATGGCAGTCTGCCCCAATTTTTTATTTTACTTAAACCGTACCCCCTCTGCAATGGCGTATCTGACTTAGCACTTCTAAAATTCTTTCCACGAATAACTGCATGTGTTAAGAACTATAAGGTTTTAATATACTCCTTTAAGTATGGGCTGCACTTTTCGCCGCGAGTTGTGTTAGAAGCATGTAGTGCTAGGATTTTTCTAATGGTAGATTTGCATATGGAGAAAAAGAATAGAGGCATGTCACATTCCCCTTTTCTGCATATATGTGCATGTCCTTAATGTTTATCAGTGCTAATCCCAAAGAAAAATAAACCACCTGCACATGACCTGAAACTCTTGTCAATACTCTGAGATTACCTTCAAGAAACCTTGCGCCATATTTAAGTATTCGTTATTTTCAGGATACTATGCTTTGTTTCCAAGTCTGAATCACAGAGCTGTAGCTAGGGAAACAATAATTTTGTGTATGCAGTTTTGTTCATGTTTGTTAATCTTTTATTGAAAGAGACATGCTAGGAGTAGTGCAATGTTAGTTTTGTGTAACAAGTATGACTGGCATGTTCATGATTATGAGTAAGTTCATCGCATAATAACAAAGTTGCTTCACAAGTGTACACTGCAGCACTGTCAATATTTTTAATCATTGTAGGCATAGTATGTCTTTGTAACAGTGCACGTGACTGATGTTTACAGAAGCTTATGGAAATATATACAAAAAAATTGAATGTTGAGTATAACTTGAGTGATCAATTGTAGTTCTAGAAATTGTCTCTATTTATTTTGTGCAAAGAAATTAATATATTTTCTTCTATAGAATCCACATTCCTAGCTATAACTTAAAAAGAAAAACAAGATATGCATTGGACTCAATTGATATAACCGGTACCTTCTTTTTTTAAGCACTTCTTTTTGTGCAGGTTGCATGCAAGAAAACTCGGTAATTGGATAAATTTGCCATCAAAGATGGAATGTTCTGTGTTTAATATATAAATTGTTCAACAAAGCATCTAAATATCAATGTACATCACAAATTCTGTGTGGTGCCTCTCTGATTTTGATAGCCATGCTTGGGTCAGTGCTGTCATAACATGACTATCGAAAGTAGAGTAGTGCACTTGCGGTGTATTGTACAGAGGGTGCACAACCACTGCAATTAGTCAGCCGAGTTGTGTGAACATGTGACATTGTTAATGCCACTCATTAGATGAAAATGAGCTGTTATTGGGCACACAACATTCTGTGTGCAGTACAGTTACTTATATCTGGTCCACTACTATTCACTATTTTTAAACAGGGCATAATATGCACAGCAGTCAATGCTGTAAAAGCTAGAAAGGCCTCTCTTACTGCATGCATTCATAGCACACAAAAAAAGTGCATTTCAATGAAAGGAAGATCGTGAATACAAAATATTTCAAATATGCACCACACGATTTCACAAGAAAATAAGTGTCGCACCTTTACTTCGTAAAATATGATGTCTAAATTAAATTTTAAAAAAGAGTTGTATTTATCACCAATCGAGCGTAGTTGCATGTTTCCACGACTGCTGGCCATAGCAATGCTATGGCCACTGGCGACTCGAACGAGACCGGTCGACTTGAGGAAGCAGGAATATTGCCACAAGGAAAAGAGTGGGAAACAGCCTATTATATTATAATTGTGGTGGTGGTGGTGGTGTCTGAATTCCTACATGAGCACTTCATTTGTCCTTTTGGTTGGGCTGCTCGCACATTCATCAGTTAGCAGGAATGTCTTGCGACGATATGCATGTTAGTTGTGCTGTTTGATGTAAAATTGAGTCCACAAGCTGTAATATGTGGAGTGCACAACATTAACTTGAACCAACAGGCAAGGAAAGTATCGGGGTTGCTTTTTTGAGGTATTTTTATGTAAATGTGAAGAACGACAAGTGGACGGAAAAATAACTTGCCACCAGCACAGAGCAAACACGTTTGAACACAATGCGACCAATTTTTTCGTCAATACGTGGAGTAATTATAGATAACATGAAAAATAAAAGACTGCATTTTGAAAATGCACAGCCAGACTACTATGGCTGGCATACGTTTTGTGGCATCGTCTTCTGCTTATGAAGTGAAGCATAGAGGCTAGTTTTGTTTTGTCACAATGGTGTTTTCAGTGCAGTCTCTCTTTTAAATGATCTTCTCACTCATTAAAGCAACGAGCCTTGGTAGTAGGATGCTTTGAATGCTTGGGAAAACTAGTGTACCTGTTATTGCATAAATTTGTATATAATTTTTCTGTGGTGTTGATATAACCTAGGCGAGGTTAAGTGGGCATGTCTTTGTCTGTGTAATGCATAATGTATCTGTCACTATGCCTCTCACGATATCTGTATAATGGTTTAGGATGTTACAAGTCTTGCAGTTGTCGTGTGCTTTGCCATGCTTTTCATGTTCAAATAAACTGCATACAGCTAAATGCATAACTAGCAATGTTAATGCAATACAGTCTACTCCAGAAGAATGTTACTGTACTACCTACATGGCAGAACGTTAAGTAATGCTGCTGGCATGACATTAGGTCGAGTGTAGAATGTAGCTTAAGTATTAGGTACCTGTTAGCTACTTAACTCGGCACTTGGAAGCATTTGTATGTCATTGCTCATTAGTGGCATATTGATCAATTTAATGCTGCAGCAAATGCAATTTGTTGAGTAATTGCTGGCAAACCTTGCGAGTCTTACAGCATTTTGCAGTTCAAACAGCCTTTCTACAGAAATATTGCATTAGATCCATAAAAGTTGTCTTCGTAGTAGCAAGTAGTTCAGTTTTACCATGGCTCAGGAACACTAGGAGAAAAAAAAAAATGCAAGACGAGGGTCAACATTAACTTAGCATGACTGCATTATTTATTTGTAATATGACTGTTTCCAGTGGCATCTCGTAACTGCACCACTTTCTAATATAGGTCTCTGAGTTATTTGCAAAAGATTTTCTTCTGAGCAAGGGCTCGTGCACAAAAATACCACGAGATTCCCATACATTTTGCTGTTTTACTGAATTTGTTACATTGTAAAAATGTCTTCTTGCATTGGGTTGATGCTACTTCTTGAGTATTCAAAATGACATAAACATGAGCTAGTTGGTCACAGTTCTTTATAAAATAAGGTAAGGTGTGCAAACAGGAACATAATATTGGAGGCCAAGCCAACACGAGAGCCAGTTTTTGTGCTGTCTTGTTCTCTTGCACCTGTGCTTGCATGCCTTAGCTTCTTTCATGATGAATGTTCAAATAGCATGGATCTAAAGTAGATTATCCCGCATCTGGTATTTACGGGAAGAGTCCAAATTTCGTTATTCAGACACAGCTCACTGATGAGCTAAGAATTATCAAGTCACTGTGTAACTACATTATTGTCAGGATCACAAAGACGCAAGAAATTTATTAAGACTTCTTTTTTTATTGACAGAGCTAATTGCCATCTAAAAAATGGATATTTCCAGATGACTTTGTGCCTTTCTGCATGATTTCCGAGCAGACGAGCTGTTAACAAAAGACACGAGCTACTTGGCTATTCGAACATTGAAGCATAACGGAAGCACAATAGATTACATAGGGGGCACCTACAGACAGGACAGCCCTTTTCCTGCATGTATGTGTCTCCTGTTTAATCTTTTGCTCAACCATTATGCAGGAATGTTCAGCAAGATGGACAGCGTTAAAGACGTTTGCTCATGAGAGTCAGATGTGGTTCTTCATTTTCGTTTTTTTATATATATTGCTTTTGCACAAATCGCACTGTTTGTACATGCTCCTAGTTCATCTGTTTCAGCACTCGAGAAGAAGATGATGGAATGTTCGAACCTGTTTGAGCAAAGTCGGGGTTCGAGCTTTGCCAAGCCCCGACTCGGTGGTGCTTCTGGCACCACGAAGCACAGCTATGCTCCCGGATTCAACATGCCACGGCCACCACAGCTTGGACTCGCTCCACGTAAGATTTACCTCGCAGTTTTGAAAAAAATTATACAGGAAGCAGTGCAAAGGATTTCGCAACACGTTAGCATTAAATATATTTCGACAACGGTCTGTTGCAAGCCGATTGAGGTGGAAGCGTAGTTTTTCTCTGCTCATGTGGCCAACTTGTGTGGTGTGTGTAGTCTGTAACTTGTTACGAGGTTTTATGCACACCGCTGCAGATCATGGTGCACCACCTCGCTGAATTTTCAGAGGCCCCCCGCTCTGGGACATGGCATTGTTCTTGCTATGTCACATGTGCATGTAATCTGATTAGCTTTTTGGTGTTGTGCCAGTGGAGGTGGGATGGTGAATCTTTATGAACAGCCCTGTTTCTGGCAGCTCTTGGAAGTTCAGAGATAGTCCAAACAGACGAGAGCATGGCCTTTGCAATTTCTGGTGCACCAGCGTAGTGCCGCAGAAGGCAAGGCTTAGCCCCTGCCTTCAACTTAGATGTTTAGGAAAAAGAGAGAATGGCTTGGAAGGAAGGTAACCTTTAAATGCCAATTCCTGCCTTGTTACAGTGTGGTTTGCTTGAACTAGGGTGCATATGAATTTTCGCATCACTCTTATTGACACCGCCTACGCAGGGCTCCGCCCCCGATGATCACGTTTCGCATTTGTTGAGGCATCCAAGACATCCATCTTGAAAATTTATTTTCAGTGTACAACTTGTTTATTTAATTATGCAGATGCCGCACCGACCACCCATTTACCCGTCTGGTGCCAACGTGGTGATGTGCCTGCTGTTTACCGAGACTTGGAACAGCAGCTGTCGGGTCCCAGTGGCATCAACAGCACCCTGGTCTGCTCTCTGCTGCTGTCGTCGGGGCTGTCCCGATCCACTCTGGGTCGCATCTGGGACATTTGTAGCCGAACCGTGCCCGGGTCGCTGACGCAGCCAGAGCTGTATGCAACTCTCGCTATGGTTGCACTTGTGCAGGTAAGTCAAGGCCACATTGAAGGGACACTAAAAAGTAAAACGATTTTTAGCGTATTAGTGAAGTACAATTTCACGATTCCGAAAACACCCCTTTTGATGCCACATGACGCTTAGTAAGCGAGAAAACGTCCAAAAACAAAATGCGGGTCGCGATGTCCCCTTAAGGTTCCCGCATCAAATACCGTGACGCAAGAAATTTCGAAGGCACCTACTGGGTTCTACGCAGCTTTCAATCGATAAATATTTATTAAACACATTGTAGTCTGTGGGTGTTATAGACTTGACATACAAAGTTTCAGAAGATTTAATTGAGCCAATGCCAAGAAAATACCTAAAATACATTTTGTAATCTCGTACGTCACACGCGGAGATTATGGGTTGAAATTTAAAAATTAAACTTCAGCGTTGATTTTCTCTGCTGAAAATGAACTTGTGATAGTGAAACATATGGCATTAGAACTCTCAGGGTGCAGTTTGTCAATATGAACAAAGTCATTGTTCCTCTCTAGTGTCCCTTTAACATATATATTAGTTGCACAGAATTCCACATAGATGAGATCACCAGACACAGTCGGGTAGATTCATTTTTATTACTGCGGACTCATGGTCCATGCAGGGTGGTACAAATACAAAAGCGGCAATGACACAACAGTAGGCTTGTGTGAATAGTGAATTTTAAGTTCCAAGCTAATTGGAAGTGAATAGTTAATTTGGTCAAATAATTTTGATTTGGTCAAATACTTTCGAATGGAAATCAAACAGTATATATGATCTATAAAGAAAAATAGGCATATTTATTTTAACCTACCTAACCTGCACTATATTTTTTTTTATTAAATTACACCTCGATGCAAATGCCTTTTTTTTTTCAGTCAAAGGAAGTATAAACAATTTTGAGTATTAGCCGGATTTGACTTTTGGTACGATGCGAGTGATAACCTTTAATATGCGTAACATTTTAATATTTATTATTTTTGGAGCTTATAAGCCATCATAACAAGCTTCTAAGCTTAAAAAATGATGAATTGATTTGAGGGTAATATGTTCATTTTAACAGGACCTGCAACACTTGAAAACTTCAAGTAGCCATGAAATGGATTTACTGAAGAAGCCCCCAGGTGGCCGAAATTTTTGGAGCTTTCCACTACGGCGTCTTTCATAAATATATGGTGGTTTTGAGACGTTAAACCCCACATATCAATCCAATAAGATCACTAAAGAAGCTTATTGGCTCACGAATTCACGGCTGCAAAAAATTTCTGGAATCCGTCCTGTACGAGTGGAGTTGCAACAGTTTGTCGCACGCTTGGATTATATTCTCTTTTCTCATCCCGATGAAAGGGCTGGAAGCTAAGGAGGGAGGGATTTCATGGGGGAAAACATGTCACTCAGACCTCGTGACCTTGAGCGCTTTCTCTCTTTATTTTTTCAAATATGCGGCTTTTCAGTGTGATCATGCACATACACCTGGACAATTGGCGGCCTCCCACGATGGCACCAGTAACAACCGAGCGTGCCATGCCAATGGCTGATACACAATAGCTGTGACGAGTGATTTTTGAGCTTGTGGCGTCATTTGCCTAAAGGAGAGAGCAATTTTTAGCTGATTCTAAGAATTTATTGTGAATCGCAGGCCAGGTACTGCACTGTAACATTTGGCTCGCGTGTTCTCTGGAGCCTCGACTACCGATCGGCAGCGTTTCTTGACAATGCTCAAGACATGTTGCAGAGCCCCTTTAAATTTGAAGTTGGGCTTCATGGCAGAGCAAATTTCTCCTAAGTGTGTGCATTAATGGCCTAGCATTGCTGCACTGCAGTGAAACCACCTTTACAGGTAGTTATATGCAGGCCATTATTCATTTATTTGCTAATTGCAAATACTTCGAAGTTTTGAATATTTTAAATTCGAATTTGAACTGTACCATTCGTTTATTTGTTAGAATATTCGAAGCACTCGAGTATTCACACAAGCTTACATAACAGCAATAAAGGTGAATAATGTTATTTTGCAGTCTGATCACACGTACTAGTAAGACAATTCCGTTCTCTAATGCTTCTTGAAAAGTATGAATACTTAAAACGTCAATACGAGCAAAGTATGCGGTTAAGGTGTAGGTGTGGTGGTGTCGGGAGGGCCTGCAAGTTATAGGTGTCAAATATGGGGCTGGATCTAGAGCTAGCTTTTTGTTCCAATGTTGATAAAGAAATTCTAATCTAGCTTTTTGCCTGCATTCCTTCTATAAGGGAATGTGATTTGCGTGCATTTAATCAGAGGGTGTCTGAAGGGGAAAGTTTGTTAAATATAAATCTTAGTCTTTCTTTGAATGAGTTCAAGAGTGTGTATATTAGGTTTAGTGTAAGGGTCTCATGTTACACACATTTACTATAAATTTGGTCACACTAGGGCAAGTAAAATTACATGTATATTTCTGACAAGAGGTGATATTTGGTGGCTTTGGTCGGGCCAGAACTTGGCAATGTGTTGATGCATTCTTCTTATTCACTTGCAGAAAGGCTATCCACCCGAGCTGGAGCTGCTTTTCCGGTTGCCGCAGCCCCCCATACCCATGTTTGCCCACCCCGTGAACAATTTCTGTGCTGCTCCAAGTGGACCGCTGCCGCCTCAGGCATGGCCTAACCGGTCTTCGCCCTCGCCATCTCCGCCAGTTCCTCAGCAAACCCCGGTGACTTGCTGCCCAACATTCCAGGCCTCAGGTAGCTTCCTCCCGTTGTCTACTGCGAATCCCTTACCACTGGCACCGGCGTCGTCTGCACCCGCTGCAACGTACATTTCATCCCCCGCCGCAAAGCCTCTGCCTGCGGTGTCGTCCATTCCGGCTGCAGCAATTGTGAGCTCCGCCCCTGCGATGTTCGCACCGTCTTTACCTGCAACCTTCGTGTCGTCTGCGCCCACAACGTTCGCATCGTCTGTTCCCGCAACATTCGTTTCGTCTGTTCCTCCGGTGATGACGCTGGCATCTCAGCCTGTGGTGACTGTTGCGTCGTCAAAGTGTCAGTTACCAGTAGCGTCACCTTTGACAAGGCCAACGGTGGGTCTCCCCATCTCTTCAGTGCCACCGATCATGTCGTCACACCTGTCTTCGACGTTAGCGTCTGTGACACCGGGTGCGCCCAAGGGGTCATCTGCTCCGTGCAGTGTGGTCGGGGCGTCCGGTGAATGTAGTGCTGCTATAGGAAACGGTGGTGTGTTTGCTGGCTCCATGCCGTCGCTGCTGAACCATGGCTGCCCGCTGCCTACCGAACCAGTTTCCAAGCCATCCACACAGCTCACCGGTTCAGGTACCTTTCATCTTGTACCTAATGATTAGTCTCACTGTCTTTATAGTTTTGGTAACTAACGTTATTTATGATACACTGCTAGATTTCCAGTACTTTATTCGCCAAGCGAGACTTCTGTCGGAAATCTGTGTAATAAGATGAAGCAAGAAATGTTTCTATCTCATTTTCTAGGGCCTCTTAACTGGAAATACGAGATCAAATAAAAACAGTTCTGTTTAGTTCGATCTGCTCATTATTTATTAATGTATCGCTTGTGATATACTATATGTAATTTTGTTAAAAACCTTCAGAATGTTGGGTCAGGTGTGCCTCCTACGATTTTCGAATAACCTGTGACCTGGTTGCTGGTTTGTTCCTTGTCAGAGGCTTATTTCTTTTTGTCCACTTCACTTTCTTTATATTTCCATCATATATACTTCAGATAATATCCCCTATACTTTCCTTCGTTTTTTTTCTGTTAGTTCTGATTAATAACATGTTGGTTGCATTTAGTAAGCTGTTGTAGAAGAATGACCTTGCTGCTAAATTTTATTCACTGACCTCTCCGGAGTTAATCGGCATGACATAATTATATAGACAGTTTTCTCCTGAACCTGAGTGTTGTGCATTGTCACTTTTTGAGGCTCGGCAATGTACTGCATGTCACAATCATTTATTGCCCCCACTACTCTGCCAAAATGAATAGTTCTGGGCAGGTGGTTTGATGGGATAACTCGTTTGGAACTGTACAAAGATAGGCTTCAGAATCCCTTTAACATATAAGCACAATAGCAAGTAGGGTGCCTACTTTGAGCCAAATTCACTGTAGGGGCGATTTCCTTCTTACAGTCATAAGGAGCAAGGAGTCCCTATTTACCTTAGGTTATTTTAATCTGCCATTCACGGTCAATTTTTTAAAGTAATCTTATGCTTGTTTTTGGCAACCTCTGCTTAAATGTCGTCAAGCACCACAAACAAGGGAACCATTTCTCTGAATAAGCCTGGTCTATTTAATGGTACCATTTCCATGTGACCTTGACTAAGTATCCGTAGTCTGCCTCTGATTTTAGGTAAATATCAGTTTTGATGCTGTCTGACATCACCAAATATGTAACAGCCATTACATTGAATATTAGGTAATTCTCATGACACAACGGTGCCATTGCTTTTGCTTCTGGTGATGGAGAATGCTGTACTAAATTGCAAAAGCCTCCTCTAAGGAGAATGTAAATGCTCACTATGTACTGTACATAAATTTCTTTCTGTAATTGTGTTGTATTAGTGATAACCAACATATCTAATTGTATGCCTTGTTTCTTTGCTCCAGGAGATTTTGATGATGACTTTGACGACTTCAAATCGGCACCAGAACGAAGTCAGTCACAGCACCCGCCGCCACTTGCGGACGGCAAGTCTATAGATCCAGTGGACAAGCCACCTCTTATTCATCCTGTCTTGCCCAACAATACTGGAAGAGCGAATTCGCTTCCGGACTCTCCACGGTTAGAACCTCCCAAGATTACTACGGCGGTGAATGCGCGTAATCTGCAGCTGTCTCAACAACGAAACAACATTTGTGAAAGCCCCAAGATGCCAAAGACCTTCAACTTCGGCCTCAAAATCAACTTGAACTCTCTCATTTCTTCGAGTCCCCTGGATTCCCAGCCCGTTCCGGCTTCGGTCGCTACGCCTTCGACTAACAGTATGTCGGCACCGGAGCAAGTATTGGAGACGGACGATGATTTTGCTGATTTCCAGACAGCATTTCCGGAAGTTTCTAAGCCATCTGTGCCCTCTGAGGATCGGTACAATGTGTTCAAAGAACTCTGTAACGATGGAATATCGTTGTGGAATGTGCCGGCTGCTCCCGCAAGTAATGCAAAGGACGTAAATACAAGTACGGACGTCACAGACTCTGGTAAGGCTTAATGCCTCTTGATATCCCATGCTATTCATTTCATTTGGAACATAATGTTAGTTCTGGCACAACATGAGAGCTTATGTCTCTTACATGCCTGAGCACATCAAATAGTCTCTGCCATTTCCTTAACAGCATCAACCACGTGCAATTATAGCTACTGCATGTGAAAACTCCTGACCTTAGTTAGCGGTGAAAATATTTTGACTGGGCCACATTATAAAGCTGACTTTGGAAAAAAAGCAATACGTATAAACATTATTGTAATAAATTTTCGTAATATGAGTTGCCGGCTATATTAATTTAGGCATATAACGATGCTCTGCTTGAACATGTAAATAATAGGCCATAAGGTTGTAAGAGTAGTGACTATCGGGCAAGGTGGTACCGATTCATGACTGGCTGCGCAACACACACGGACAAAATAGAAACAGGCACCACGGCCACAAACTCACGTGTGTTATTGGAAAGAACAAAATCCACTTCAAGAAGCATTAAAGGGGTACTGACAAAAACTTTGGCCTCACGTTTTTCTGCTGCATTGCGTTGCTGTGGGCCTGTTAGTCATGACACGACGCATCGTTTGCTGCAGCACACGACAGATAATTAATTACAGGCCCCTCAATATCATTTCAGTTTCGGTTTGAGAGAGTTTCAAAAACTGGGTGCAACTGTCGCCACCTAGCATGTGCAACCCTTCACCACGCCAGCACACAGAACTGTGATGCACTTCCACACAGTCCGCATCAAGAATTACCTTCGAATAGGAAACGGGACTGAAATGTCGCCAAACACGCAACTTTCTAAGCGTGCAACCTGGCCACGCACTCGCAACCAGCCACCGAGAAATATAGACTTTGGGAACTACCGCGGCAAAAGAAAAGTGGCGGCTATGACGTCATCATAACTTGTTTTGTTCACCGCAGCGTGATGATGTGAGGGAAGTAGGGGGTCACCTCCGAGGGTGTCTATAGCGCTATGGAGTCGGTCGCTCACGCAAACTTCAAAATTAAATTAAAATACCTTCCAAGCTATATTCGCTGTTGATATCTTGCAGATGTTATAAGAATGTTTGCGAGAATCGACCCCACTGGCTATCTCGGCCCCGAAATTGTGGCAGTACCCCTTTTAACGCCCCAGCAGTGGATCCATAACTGTTGGATAAGATTCAGTAAACATATTCAATACCCCAAGTCACATAAACAATTAAAAAGGAACTAAGCAAACTGCTAACTTGAAGCTGACGTCGCACATCCATAGCAGGATTTTTACATGTGCTTCTCAAGAAATTGAATTCCTTATTGGACGTTATGACGGATGTCTGTGCGAGTACGGTGTTAATCATGATGTCCTTTTTGTTGCATCCTGTTGATAAACTATATTGGTTTTATATAGGCGCACATGAACTATATGCCTGAGTGAAAGGGGCCTGGCAACACTTTTTGAGCATTGTCAGAAAACACTGCCGATCGGTAGTAGAGGCTACCAAGAACACACTAGCCAAATTTTATAGTGCAGCATGCGACCTGGAATTCACAATAAACTATCAGTCGGATAAAAATTTTTGCTTTGACATATGACGGAAGGCACTCAAAAATTGCTCGAAGAATGCCCTTCTATCAGCCATTGGCTGATTTGAACATGGCGCGCTCGGTGGTTACAGAAATCCCGTGGGAGGCAGTCACTTGTCCACGTGTGCAAGCGCGATCGCATTGAAAAAGTCGTGTATTCTAAGAAAAAAAGTGCTCAAGGTCACAAGGCGAGCGTGACGTTTTTGTTTGCCCCTCCCATCTCTCCCTGCTTAGCTTCCAGCGTTTTCGTCAGGACAAGAAAAGAGAATGCAATCCAAGCGTGCGACAAACCGTTGGTACTCCACTTGTACTGCATGGAGTCTAGAAATTTTTGCGGCATTGAATTTGCGAGGCAATAAGTTTTTCCAGTGAATTAATTCCATGGCAACTCAAAAAAGTGTTTCAGGGCCCCTTGAAGTTAATTCTGTGAACAACAAGCTCTATTGGCAGATAGGCATGAAAAAACAATTTTTGTTGCGTTCATTTGCCTGTTCAATGGTATCAAACAAAGAACATTCACATTCAAAGGGACACTTAAAGAGAAAAACGTTTTTTCTCATATCGATAAATCACAATTTCACAACACGGAAAGCACCACTCTTAATGCGAGAGAACACTTGGCAAGCGACAAAACACTCAGAAGGAAAGTGCATGTGGCGATGGCACTATAAGCTCCAGCTTTCTGCAACCTCATAAATTTTGACGGCATATGCTATAGGGCCTATGTAATCATGTATTGGTAAAAATGATTTACATTGTGTTCTGAGGGACCCAGAGTCTTAAAATAGCTAGTTTCAAAAAATTTTATTCAGCCAGTGTGGCCAATACACGCAATAGTACATTGAAATTCGTGATGTCACGCTGACGTTCACGCACTGAATTTGGCAGGAAGTTCAACTAGGAACCTTTGAGGCTTGTTGCCTATTTTAATAATTATCCTATGATGGCAAAATTAATTACAGTAGCATTCTAAAGGAATCAAACTAAGATAGGGTGGTGTGGCTAGACAGGGACAGAAAAGATCATTCACTCGCACAAAGCTTAGTAGCTTCAAATCACAAAATGGGCGCTCTTCATGTCCATGTATTCGCACAGAATTTTCCCAAAGACTGATTTAAAGGATGATAGCCATAAATACAAGCGACATTGCCAATGCTAACTTTGCCATAGACTTTACCCAATATATTTTATAAAAGCATAATAGAAGCTGTCTTACTTGCACTACTAACTTGTGACTGGGTAAATAAGGCTGCTGTTATTTTACTTTGATCGGCGTGAACATTTCCTGTGGGTAGTAGGAAACTGTTTATTTTTTACGCTTGAAGCTGTAATTTATGTTTTCAAAATGGCCCTGGAGTTGCATGACTGCGTGCACCATCTATTTACCTTAAGATAGGCTTAGGCTTCAGGGCAAGAAGAACGCACTTGAACGTTAGTCTGTCTACCTACATTGTTCACATGCTGTCGACTATATACCATACCTAGTATACCTTAGTTCTCGGAGGGTAGACTTTTTCTTGTGTGAAATGTGTATCCACAGTGTATTTTTATTGCTTAAATTCTTCAGATGAATTCATTCATGAACAAAATTGTCAAATTTTTTTTCAGGGATCATAAAGAAACAAAAAAGCATTTGTGATGTGTACACACGGTTTATTAGTGAGTAACTGCAAGATAAATTTTTAAATCAAAAAATAACCTATACAGTCATTAAAAAAATTATGCATTGAAACAAATGTTTATGTAGTTCATCCAGTCAGCATGATCTTTCCGCGCATGCTTTTGAAATGCTGCTTACTCAACATGTTGCAGTCACTACAACAAGTTATGATGTTCCTCCCACAGACTTGATGGCTGCTCGCGATTATGTGGCTGTCGCTCACACGTTGAAAGTTTCATTTGGCAACACTGCTGTTCTGTTTCTTGTTTGAAAGGGCTTGTTAATGGGGACTGTGTGCAAGTGTGTGACAGTTCTTTATGCTAATGTGGTCGAGCATTGCACACACTAGGTGGTGATAGCTGCACCCAATGTCCTGTCGTTTTTTAAGCTCTCTTGAACTGAAATTTAGGCTAGTCAGTAATGAGGAGCATGTAGATAGTTATCTGTTATGCGCTGTAGCAGATAATGTGCTGTGTTATGACTATCAGGCCCTTAGCAACACATTTCAGCAAAATAATGCAGTAACGCTTTCGTTCGGGCTAGCTTAGAACACAATGCATGGATAGGACACCAACAAAATAAGTGTGCGTACATGTTGGCATAATTCGTGTCATGCATTATGTTCCAAAAAAAAGGGGGGGGGGGGGCAAAATTTTTTTTGTAACTACCCCTTTACATAATAATGAGCTCATAGTACGAAGAGTTGGCATTTACTGAGTCAGAGTTTGATTCGGTAGTCGTGTGACGGTTCAATGGAATTGCCACTATACTCACTTGCAGCAGGGTAACTGGCGTACACTTTCACAAAGCAAGCGAACTGCACGGGTGAGTGCACTGAAAGAAACTGCGTAGTTCTGAGCATGTCTGGAAAGCAAAAACAAGTCTCAAACTTATTATAATGACTCATCTTATTGCCGACGAGTTGGGAAAGGTTTTTTATTTTTTTCATGTCCCAAATATGAAAAACACAACTACAGCGGCCTTCATTTGTGTCAGTCAGTGCGGGCACGAAAACTCGTGTAATTGTGTACCGGGAGCAATAAACGAGAGAGTAACGAATTGGTCACCTTTTGAAAGATACTAAACCGGTTAAGCTATCAGTTTTGTGGGTGCATCAAGTGGGAACTGGCTACAAAGCTAGCTGGGGCACTGCTGTAATAAAGAATTAAAAAAAGAACACAGTAAAGAACATCGAGACATTGGCACAAGAAAAAAATTCTACTTATTCGTGTAGTGTGGTAGCCCATGCCAAGCAAGAGAAATGATCAAAGGCGCGTGTTCCAAACGTACAAGCAATGACATGTACGTTAACTATGGTTGAGGCTTGGGCAAATTGGTTCATGCTGTATGTCAGCGCTGTTGCTGTGCCTTCTTCATTTTGTGTCCTGTGTGAGCTTGGCACTGTTTTTCCCTCTTATAAAACATGTACGTCTTGGACTGTCTTGTGGTTGTGAGCGGATGACATACACGTACATCTTTGATTCTCAAAGAATTGATCGTTCATATTCGTTCAGTATTATTTCATTCCTAATACTCTGGTTGAAATTTTGGCCTGATTGTTGGCTGCAAGATTGAACAGAGTTGGCACCTAGTGGCGAGCAGATTTATTGCCGTGTTGATTGCTCCTAGCGGCATACACTAGTCGCAACCTAATCGCATTTCTGCATATTTCCCGCAAGTCCTCAGAAGGCAGCCTTTTCTGCTGTGTTAGCACAGTGTCAAATGCTTGTACACATGCCTACTCGGTATACGCAAGCATTTTGCCTTCCGAGACACGAGTGCACTCTGAGTTAGTGCATGGTATGGTGCTAGGCATAATCACTGTACTATCCATATTCTGAAAGCATTTCAATACGGGTGCTATTTCGTCATTCAAGCACACCACATACTGCATTAACAGTCATTCTAAACGAAATCGCGAGGTGTGAATGAAGAATTTTAATGACACCATCAGTGGTGTACCAACTCTTTCCCGAGTGGGGGGGGGGCTAACTTACGGCACTCGTCAGCCGGTATATATATACATATAGCAACCAAAGGTATTTTGAGCATTTCTGTCTACTTATTTTAGCTTCCCGTTGAACTCGAGTCCACTGCTTTATTCGTCGCCGCTTTGCAAGCTGCATCTATCACTGTTGCCATAAGCAAGGTTGATCAGATTTATCGGAGATTGAAGCGGAAACCTTTCTTGGCGCTTCCGGTACGGCAAAACTAAAATATTTAGAAAGGTTAGTCGTAGTCATGTGCTCACAGCAGCTTCGACAGAGCAGTGGTGATGGCAATCCTTTTTGGTGAAAGAAAATGAATTTCCTGAAGCAGCAAATGCTTTGACCGGTCCATAAAAGTTTGTTTGTTCCCATCTATAACTGCATTGGCCTGTCGCAGCAGAATAAAAACATGAACAAGTGATGTAATATATAGGGCCCCTGTTCAGTGCTAACCTGCTCTGCAGTGCTACTAAACACGGCAGAAAGCATCGCAACAAGCCTTCAAAGAAAATCGTCACTGCTGAAATGTTGGAAAATTATCACTACATTGTACCTTTGCCTCATAAATTTTCTTTTTCTCGTAACAATATAATTGAGTGATTACTGTGCTGAAGGAAAATTATGCTTAGTTGTTGTTTCCCCAGTGTGCATCCGACAGTGACCACTGTCAAAAGTGGAGAGCTCAGCCCCCCTTGCCCCCCCCCCCCCCCCCGGCTGATAGATTTATGGACACCATCTCGTAAAGTTTTGATGATATTAAAAACCCTGTGATACCAAAAAGCATGAACAAGCATATACAAAAGTTGTTCAGTGCTAATAAAGATCTAAAAAATATGTTTTTATAGCGCACACATATCCATGCAAACATAAAAGCAGAGTGCACAATGTTCTTTATCTAATTATGCACAAATACAAACTTCCTTTCTTTTGTAGCTGCTAGATCACAAAGTAAACACATGATTGTATCATTAGCACAACACTATGTATATTGTTGTATATGCAGAGCACAAGCTCAACACTTGAAAATAAAGCCAGGAAAAACATCGAGCACCATTCAAAATGCACTGTAACCGAAGGCCACTGGCCCAGGCCCATTGACAGGCAGATTGTGATGCTTTCACACATTATAGGAATGTTAGCCTGGCTTTGTGCATATACGTGGCTGTGGAGGTCATACACTGACCACTAGACTGCAGTCAACAGGCTTTGATTGTCAATAGTTAACTCGAACTGTCTTCAGCCAAGTTCCACTACATAAATTTGCATGCACACTGCCGACCACCTGTTCACACTAACGGGACAACAGTGCGGCCACCGCCGCCCCACTGCCCCACCGTGGTGGTCTAGTAGCTAAGGCTACTGACCAGCAGGTCGTGGGATCGAACCCCGGCTGCGGCAGCTGCATTTTCGATGAAGGCAAAAATGTTGTAGACCTGTGTGCTCAGATTTGGGTGCACGTTAAAAAGCCCCAGGTGGTCGAATTTTCCAGAGCCTTTCACTGCGGCGTCTCTCATAAACATACGGTGGCTTTGGGACGTTAAACCTCACACATCAATCACCAGTGCTGCCGCCTATAGCCCATTTTCGCCGTGATTGGGAGGGGGGGGATTGGCCTAATAAGGAAATGAATCTACCAACTGTGAAAGTAATATGCCTGCAAGGGTCACTTTTCTCTGTATTGCTGAGAAAAGTGACACCCACAGCCTTTATGCAAAACAAGTGAAATGACAATGAAGGAAACAATGTCAAACAAAGTACAATCATCATCAGAGGTTACCTAGTACAATCTGTTTTTATGAGGTGTCCAACAGAGGTAGTACGGAAGAACCAAGAACATCCCTTAGCATTTATTTTACGCGTTGCCTTGTGCTGGGAAAACTAAGTAAATAGACTGTAGAAAAAATGAACAAGGCTGGCAAATGGTTTGTGCACATGTAGCCCTTGTTGCTGATGTTTGAAACTAATAACTGGTGCTGTACGTTATTTTGGCGTGTGGAAAGGATTGAGAAAAGAGAATGAAACATATGCAGTCTCATCATAGAAAATTACCAATGTTCACTAACCTTTCGTATAAAAGGTGGAATTCACAACCACTCATACAAAGTCACAGGCCAGTGCACACCATCATGTTGGAAACAAATTCAGTGCTGCAAATAATGCCAAACGTGGATTCTTAATCATGACTTATGACATGGAATCTAAGGTCTTTATGGGATATTTCAGAGTTGATAAAAATTGCAAAGTACAAAGAGAATGTGACGTCAGCATGATGATACAGAGTAGATATTAGGCTCATTAGGCTGTGGTTGAGCTGCATTGCAGCATGCGAAAATCAATGTGTGGTGACCGGGAAAACTTCCTTGTGGGTAGTCTACAGTGAAATGAAAGCGCTGCCATTTTCTAGAAGGAAATTTTATATTCCGACTTTGTACTCGAACAGTACATTAAGGGACACAGCCATAACCAAAAATTTTTTCGGGGAGCAGGAGGTAGGGGGAACCTTTAGGTATGTATAGTCATGCTTAATATAATTTGCAATATGGTAGCCTTGGTTGAAGGGGCCCAAAGTCTATGTAGTGACACTTAAAAATGTATTGGTTTAATAATTACCAGGAATTGAAACGGTATTAGCATCACGATAGTTTTTTATGACAGCACAGTCGGGCAGTGTTGGCGCCACTTTGACTACAGGCAACACGTTGCAACTCTCATTTGGCGCGACTGTACTTGTCTGTTTGTATATGTGCGTGTATATATACACAAGCAAAATTTATTAGTATGGGAGGGGGAATGAATTTTTTTCTTTCACTGGCTATGACTTTGTTAGAGGATGCAGAAGTGTTCACATTAGAAAATAGTTAAACCATTTGTGCCGTTTATACCAATGTGGGTCAATTTGATATTCTTTTGTTAGTTGAAACTTATTAATGCTTCGAATGACATGTTGCAGAACGGTCAAACTATATTACAAGAATATCGTTATATTGCTATAAAAAAAAAGGTGTTTCATTCACATTTCGATTCAATTTAGTTTGAAAGTTTACTAATTGTACAACTGTGTGCCTTTGAAGCCCTACTTTTTCTGCACCGAACAGACTGGAGCATCTGAATAGTACGTTTGTCTGAAGATCTGAAAAATGCCTCTTTTCAGGTTTTCACACAACCGAGACGTGGCACAACCCGCTGCCAGACGATGGCGATAGGGCAGATGAAGAAGACTTTGGAGACTTCTGCCATGTCCAAGTGGTCCCCCCACCGGCACCACCCACTCCCGAAAAGCGCGCAAACATGTTCGGTGATCTCCTGTACAATACCGGACTTTTTTCGTCACAATCTCATGACACCAACTCTCTAGGTTAGTGTTGCCTGCATTGATTGGTGGCCGAACAGCGCGAAGGGACAGACGCACATAAAAATGGATGATAAATGTGCTGACTCATTTGTTTGTTTATTTGTTTACTTATCCATTGTCCCTTAAAGGCTTTTCGACAAAGCTACCAACTCAATTCAACTATACGTATTTGTTTTCCTTTAAAACTGCTGTTGTTAACTTGGCTCTTAGGCAGAAGGAGGTTAAGTACACAAATGAAATCAACAAGCAAAGCAGCATTTGTACTTAAAACAGAAATAATGCACCGAACAAGAACGAAATGTACAGAACAAGAACGAAAAGATCTCTTGTGCCAACTGTAGAATGCCCTCTGCTCAATGGGTCATACAAACACAGAAAAAAAAAGTCATGCATAGGCATGGGATAAATATCTAATGTTTGGAAGAATGCATGAAAGCATACATTAAGGCAATCTGCAACATTGGTCAGCAAAGTATTCCAACTGGTTCTTGCTTGTGGATTAAAAAGAAAAGACTAGTACAAATATACTAAGATGCACTCGGGAAAATGCATTGCTAAGTAGGATTATGTTGCCTCTTAATAGGTTATATAGAGAATCCAATAGTAGCAGGCAGTTAAAGTATTGAAATGTCTAGAACAGATATTTTTTTTTTGCCCCTGTATGAAACGGTGATGCAAAGAGTGAAAAATACAAACTGAGATAAGGTAGATCCTAAAAGAATGGCAATTCAGAATTGCCGGTATTTTATTTCTTGCCGGTTAGCACACAAAAGACATCAGGGACAGTACGAATGACGTGTGCAAAGCCTATTGTCTGCGTTTTTTGATTTCGGTATGTGTGGAGACTAGAAAGGAGAAACTGTGTATTGAAATAATTTGTTCATTACTTTTAGTGACTTGAACATTAGTGAAAGAAGCGAGTTTTAACTGATAGAAAGAGGTATGTTTGACTCGGTTACCGAATTGTATCGAGTTCTACTGTCTTGAAGTTTTCAGCATCTGGGCTGGTAGGAACCAGAAAATCATTTTTTTTTTCATATTTGTTTTCACAATGAAAACTTCATAACCTCATTTTGCAAGAGAGCCCAGCAATATTTATATTGTAGTTAAATAAGATGAAGTAAAGCTAGAATGTGTTAAAAGCTGATCATTGAGAGCATGTTTGTTGGAATAAATGTGAAAAAAAAGCTTAATTGAGCACACTTAAGATTTTACAATTTTAGGTAGCACAAATTTAACCACTACATGTGAGGTCTCAAGTGGCAAAAGCTACATGTTACGTTACACCCCCTCCGTCGAAAAAATAAAATAACTACATGAATAAGTCAATGTAGAAGAAATTTCCACACATCTTTTCGCAACCTTATTGAAGGGCACAAATCAATGCCACTGCAGGTCTAAAGGCCATCAGAAAGACATGCAAAATATGGAAATGGGAAAAATCAATTGTGTTAATTATATAATTAGGTTGTTTAGTTATATTAATTGTTTGTGCTGATTCAATTATCAACTTGCCTCTGTGAATAAACTTCAGTTGAGAGTCAGTGCTGTTGTCTTATTTCTTTAGTTGTGTGTGCTTTTCTGTTGCTGTCAATGCTGTTCTAGCTTTCTTTTTTTCGTTTGCCCTAAATTGGACTCGTGCTTGCGTGAAACTTCCTTTAAGGTATCACTTTATTTGAGAAGTGGGGGGGGGGGGGGGGGGGGGTTAGTCAGGACATATTATGCAAATATAAACTTTGCTTGGGACGAGACACTAGAGTAAATGTCTGCTTCTATGCCAGTGTCTTGTCCTAAGCGCAGTTTGAGTTTGCATAAAAAGGTGTATTTGGCAGTGGAGTTTGGAGGCACAATACAGAGGGCAGTGTGAGATGGTCTAGCCTTACTGTAAAGGCGGGCAAAAACTATATATCTGGCTAGTGTAGAGCTTTGGCTAGGAACAGGTAAATGATAGTCAAGAAGGCTAAGAATACAAAAGAATAAAATGCCCGTCACAGGTGTGCCACGCAGTCTGCTATGAAAGCGATTAAATAATGATCCCTGAAATCACAAATGCACCCCAATGGGCTAAAATGATGGCACAGACCCAGCATATTTCCAGTGTGTGTGACGCTTGTCATTAAACACATTGACATGCCTGCTAGTATTAAAAAAATGTTCTACTAAAATGTGTAATTATATATATATATATATATATATATATATATATATATATATATATATATATATATATATACATTGCTTCTCTGTTAATAGTGAGTCAGCTTGTCACTTTCACTCTCTATTGTTGCCTACAGGCAGCAACCCTCAAAAAGTATGTTACTCTTAGCTCTGTGTCAGTCTTGAATATGGTGTTTTCAGTAAATGACTTTTGCCAGCACTGAACAACATGCAAAACAAGCATGGCACGTTAGATTAGATCAGAAATATAGGGCGAGGAAGAGGAGTCCTTGTATTTGGCAAACTTTCTTTTCAAAGTGTGCCGTAGCGAAGAGAAAGATGCCAGAATTCAAGGGACAGTGTTATCATGCAGGTGATTTAGAGATAATGCAGTGTACGCGTGTGTTTCACACAGGTGTACATTGCACACGCAGTGATTTCTTCAAAAGACCAGCAAACAATGTCAAGGTGCAGAAATTATTATAAAAAGAAATATGGTGCAGTTCTACTTCATGAACTTGCTGCCACAAGAATTTCGCGGATGCGTGCTGTATCAACGAAGTTACATGGGTTAGAACATCGGTTTCAGCTGGTTTAAAATTTTCGCGCAGCCTCGCCACCCTTCTTGCTCACTTTGAGGGTGAGGCGTAGCCGTCGTCGCTCTGCCCACTTCGGCAATGTGACACGACGTCAGCAATTGACGTCATCGGCGAACTCGGTCAGTCGCCATGCACTTCGCCTTGCTACAATGCCTCGTTGTTTACTGTTTATCCAGTTCCGATGCTTCTTCGCTGCCCACTTGTTCTATTTGCAGTCGACAACTAAGCAACGCTTTTTCCTCGTCTTGCTCATGCCGAGGGCAAAGCACGTTCGTGCAGGTGCTATGCTGCTGTAGTTGAGCGAGGAATGTACACGTGGCAACTGCGAAGCCAAAACTGTATCACTGCAATGCCAAGAAACGAGGGGCAGTTTCTTAGCTGTGGGTGGGAACAGGAACTGACATTGACTTCACTAGTGTTTGTTGAGACATGGTTTAGACCAATCAACAAGCTGCAAGCTGCGTCAAGTCGATTTTGCATCACTGGGCATGGAAGGAGGATTGGCCAGGCGTAGGATAAGAGCGCGGGAATTTTTTTTTCAAAATAGAGGCTCTACGCGGCGCACAGCGCTGTAATGTTCAGAAAACGTGACCGCTGTGGTCTACTCTACGAATCTCCGAGCTTGTTTGGGGGGTTTAAAAAAAAGGTTGAGCCTGTTGACTGGCTCTTTAACAGAACTCTTTGGAAAATTACTGTAAGAAGCTGTAGAGGACTTGCGATAAAACCTGTTCACAGGGTTCAGCTTGTTGCTGTGCCTTTGTGCAGCTGAAAAAATTTCTGCAAAATGTTGTCTATATCACTACGTATCTTTATATTTTGACAAAAACCTGTTTTTTTTGGGGGGTATTTCACGTTTCACACTAAAGGGGCTAAAGAAAAAGCACTGCTTTTATTTTTGAATAGGCTATTTCATTTAGCTGTCAATAGATAAGTTCATGTTCTTTTTTTCACTCAATAAGTACCTCCACTAATTGGGCTTTTATCCTGTGCTGTGTTTTCTCTGGAACTTGCCTCGTTTTGTTGTTTATTCTGGTGATGTCTTAAGAGGCACATCATGTTCATCTGCAGGTGACGGCCTTTCTGTAAACAGCCTTGAATTCGGTGCTCGTGATAGTTCATTGTCCAGCCGGCATGGATCAGTGCTCAGCCTGGACTTCCGGCTAGGGAACAGTGATGACGATGAATCTGCTTCGGCTAGGACAGGGTGCTCGGATGAAGCCCGTGCGGCCACCACGGCTGACAGCCAGGGAGAGGCATCCCCCTCTGCTACTTCCTCTGGTGAGACCTCTAAAGTCATTGTCATATGATCATGTACTTCCATCATATCCCCTTCAGGCTCGAATTACGATGCACTGTCGACAAAAATGTCAAATTGACGCGACATGATCTTAAGGCACTCAGTGTTACATTCCGAGAAAGAAAATGGAGGAATGTGTTGTTTTGTGTGAGTTTCAGTAGTAAATGTTTATTAGCACATAATTAACTATCTAATTATTCTGCAATCAGTCGACTCGAATTCTTGCTAAAAAATAATCAAATATTAGGCCCAAAATGCACAGTTTGTTTTTTGGTTGTATTCATTTTGAGCGTTGGGGTTGTTGATTTTGGTTCTTAGAACGCGGCAAATGTCAAACATGTTAGTGTCTCCAGCAAAGTGATTTCTCTGCAGCAGTGTGCAGCAAAATGAAGTGCTACGACTGCTAGTTGTCCACTCAGAAAGCACGCAGTAATGTGCACACTGCATTTCGAGCCATGTGAAAAAACATGCACTAAGTGATGCACCTCCAAAGTTTATGTGTAGTACGGTTGTACACATGGCTGCTGAAGAGGATATAGTCTGTTGTTTTGTTCGTTTAGGACTGAGGGGGGGGGGGGGAACTGACCTCATACATTGATTGATATCACATCCCAAAACCACTATATTATTATGATAGACGCTGTAATGGAGGGATCCGGGAATTTCGACCACCTGGGGTTCTTAAAAGGGTACCCGAATCTGAGCACACAGGTCTACATCATTTTCGCCTCCATCGAAAATGCAGCCGCCGCAGCCGGGATTCGATCCCGCGACCTGCGGGTCAGCAGCCGAGTACCTTAGCCACTAGACCACCGTGGCAAGGTAATTGACGATGCATGTGGTGGAAGTTTCTTAATCGATTGTGCATGGGAATTAGGCAGAAGCTGGAGTAAGTAATTCAGAGCATTTAAAGTAAGCTTCTTGTTTCAAGGAAAATGGGGGAAATCGCTAGTTATTCTCCTAATTCGTGATTTTGTAGTAGTTCTCCTCCTAAGTCGTGCTTTTTTTTCTCAGTTTCATTGCTGAGCAGTCGGAGCTTATCTATACCTTTTACAGTAGTCCATCAGAAGATTAAATATTGCCAGATAAGTCGTCATTCAAGCGATGCGTAATGGACTGGGGCGACTGCATTTTCGATGGAGGCGAAAACGCTCAGATTTGGGTGCACGCTAAAGAACCCCAAGTGGTCTAAATTCCCGGAGCCCTCCACTACAGCATCTCTCATAATCGTACAGTGGTTTTGGGACGTTAAACCCCACATATCAATCAATCAAGCGATGCACGACAAACAAAACACCAGATGGGTCGCATCAGCTAGAAGGGGGATCACATAAGCGACCACCAACTGCATAAACACAGGCCATGCTCTGTGTCCGAAGAACGGAGGTAGCTGAAAACTCCGTGTGGTGGCACCATCTCCTATCTGTAGCATGCCCATTGCTTAACCCTTCTAATCGAACACTTTACCAGGAGCGTCTAAATTACTCTGTTAATGATCTAAAGTACTTAAATTTGGAATTCTCACTTAAAATACGAACTGAATTTGTGCTTTGGCGAATAACTTGAACTGTTTAGAAAGCTGTTAATATTGCAGTTTGTTTAGGCTCAATCGACAAACCATAAACTTGCAACTACATAGTGCCGAAGGAGAAAGTACACCCGGCAGCAGAAGTCTCCAGGACATGGGCTACACGGCGATTGTGAATTTATGCTCTGTGAACACGTCACTTTTCTAATTAAGTAGATTGTTGCCTACATTACAGAAATTACTACATATTGGAACTTTTAATATTTGGAGCCAATGTTCCCTAGGTTAGGCAAAAATAAAGCCTTTCACAAATCTTGCATCTTGTTAACTTTTCGAGGCTGGATGTACCTGCTTTCAGAACTAGTGGGTGCTAGCAGATTTTGTTGAGACATTGCAATAGTGAACGTGTGTTTTTCTCCTCCTTCTGCAGACACCACATCAGACACACAACCTGAAGGTGCAGTTTCTGTCACGGAGCAACCGGCGCTACTTTTGGACAAGTATAGTGTGATTCGGGGCATGAATCAGGTAAGGCAGCTGTAGAAGTAGTGCAGACTCTTGTTAAAGGAAAAACTTGCATTTTTCGTCTCGCACATCTGCTTAAACAGAACAGGAAGAGATGTTCCTTTTAACAGGAGTCCTGTTTACTGAGAAATGAACATGGGTGTTCTGTTTACTGAGAGATGAACATGAGCGCAGAAGTCAATGGTGAACCTAAACATATTAGATACATCTGTTCCAGTTGAGCAGCAGTTTCATTTAGAAGATTTCTATTTATTAGGAGAGTACTGTACACTCAAACCTCGATATAACAAACTCAGACATAAAGAAATACCGGTTATAACGAAGTAAAACAAAAAATAGTCAGACTTTATATATATATATAGTGTTAGAAATATACCCTTATAATAAGTTTTGGGATAAAATGAACCTATTTGTAACGATCAACTTTGTTATTATGACATTTGAGTATACTTTGTGTCACCGAGGTTACCTATTGTAGTGAAATCTGGGGTATTAGCTGAAGCACTAGGAAGAGCCCTGAAGAATTCACATTTGACTCATTATCTTAAACATTTAGGGGGCATGTATTTTTGTTTACTTTTTTCATCAGAATTTTCAGTAGTTGCCTAAAGATTAGAATAGATTTTGGTTAAACTTATCATTATGAGTTATGCATGAACCAAGTTGGGTTCTAAAGATGTGTGTACCCTAAATAAGTGCAGAAAGGGGCTGAACAGCTTTGTTTGCTGAAAGAGTAACCAAATTTGAGTGTCATCTCCAAGTAGCGCTGGTGAATCTCCAAAGCAGCCGTAACATTGAACGTATACATTTTGATTACCTAAACTACAAAAATTTATTCGCATCTGTTGTGATTGGCATGCCACAAAGAACAACATCTGCTCAGACTCCTTTTCACATAACCAGGTGGTGGACGGCATGTCTTGCTAGCGTAGCATGTGCACAGTTGCTATTTATCGATTCCTCTGGTGCACATTTCAAAGGACCATCGGAGCGGTGTGCTGCCGTGTCAAAAGTGGTAGGCAGTGAACCAGAGTGGCGAGTAGTAAAGCGGAGCAGTTCCACAGCAACCTGCCATGGGGAGAACCCCGCCCTTGGAATAGCCTTGAAGATTGCTGGAAATGCCTGTTTGTTTCGCTGGTCGCAGGATATTCCAGTTGGAGAGGCAGCCTGCATCGACAGTTGGACACGCTGCGTGGAGAGTGTGTGCGAGCTCATAACGGAAGCAGAGTCTGTCTTCAACCGGGAGGCCAGCAGCCAGGTGTGCAGGGAGGCACTGGACACTGCAGAAGGCGCCAGCTACATACACAGTGAGCTGCTGCTACGTTGCGTTTCTCCACGTGGCAGTCCGTCTGGCATGGGCACAATGTTATGTTAATGAGAACTAGCTGGTACAATGGCACAATCAGTGACACACGGAGTCGCATTATCAAGCCCCATAATGGCTGCTTGGTGCTCTGTTTGGGAAAAGTGGTTTTGTTGTTTCTTGTCTGGAATGCGCTTTCACAGACTAAAGTTGCGTTTTGGAGCAGAAAGTGTTCTATAATCTTCTTCACTGCTAATTGCGGTCATTGTTGATGGTTTGGTACAGTAGTACGATTTGTAGTCTGGCCGCAGGTTTTATCTGGCCATCACTCTTTGTGCAGCAGTGACTGGATACCACTTCGACCTTTAGTGGAAGTATCCTCAAAACTCATGATAACAAAAAATAACGTAACTATATCCAAATTTTCTTTACAACCAATAATTCATTATAGGAGATTCGAGGGACATTCGAATTGTGACTTTCTCATGGGCTTGTGTACTTTCAAAGAACTGATTTGAGATAGCTTGATCAAATTGTGATTAGTGCTTCTGCTGTCAAACCTCTTAACTCAACGTCTCAACCCTCGAATCACTCTTTTATTGTAATGAAAATGAACATGTTTACGGTGTTCATTAATATATATGCACAGGTCGTGCTGAGGCTATGTTTGTCAATACATTGAGTAAACAATCTTTGTTACTGGAGGGTAACAGTATTCTGCAGAAGGCTAGCAAATCAATCAGGCATAATTATCAAGCTGATATAGTAAGCACCATGCAACGAATTTGAAGTTAATCTAAAGAAGATTTCTATAAAATTGACAGCTGTAATAATTTATCATGGAAACCAGCCGCATGATAACATATGCATTAGTTATCGTCACAGTACGGGCGTTTGAAACAGCCTAGTATCTTTCTGAGCAACAAGCTTTCCGCTAGCAATCTTCATAAGGAGCTTAAGGCATGATTCTCACGGCTATCAAATGCTTTTCCTGTCACCTTCACCACATCAGCGTCCATCATGCAACAGCGTTTCCTTGCTGTGGTTTCTTGAATATAACGGCACGGTGATAGTGTGTGCCAATGCCCTGAATGTGGTCTGCATTTCATCCTGGAAAGTGGTATGCATCCTTGAAAAAGCAGCTATGAGGTGCTGTACCGGGACAGCAACGCAATGAAGCCATTGCTAATGCGGCCTAGCACATCCCTTGACTGGATCTGTATGCCTTCTCGTGCCAACTTTCAGACTTGGCTGAGGTCTACAAGGTGTGTCAGCGCATCTCTCTGTCATCACGCCTGACGGGCCTGCAGTCTGAAAGCCTGGACAAGCTTTGCTGCGAGGTGCGGGAGACTTGGGACCGACTGGCCTCGTATCTCGAGAACTCCTGCCTCTTTGTAAGTGCCACCCACTTCACTGGCCATGATTCATTTGCATACAGTACTGACCGATACAAAGGAACGACGAGCTGGCCTCTTCAGAAGTGCTGGTCAGTCTGCTGGCTGGGAAAGATCTATCGTATTTACCCAATTCCAACATGCACCTTTTTTTCGGGAAAGATAGACCTTAAAATCACATGCGCGTTAAGTTCGGATACAGACATTTAAACTACCCCATAGCTGTATTTTTGTTTTTAGGTCATGCAAGTCAGGTGAATTGATCGAGGGCACGTTGAAATTTATTAAGTACAGTAATTTACCTGTTTGTGAAGTCTGCGTATAAAAACTCTTCAGTCTTCCAGTTATTTACTACATTTATAAATAATAGTACGTTACCAGACAGCAATGTGTAAGAAAGATTCAGTACCAAGAATAAGAGGCTGTTATTTTTCTTAGTTTTATTAGCTAAGATCATTCAGCAACTGCAGCAGCCGAGTATTTGAGGTATTATGACAACATGCCGGCGGATGAAAGGCTTCAGGTTCAAGGTTTGATTGTTCGTTGTCAAGGTTGACAACTGAAGAGCACAAAAGTTCAGACCACAAGCTAACGTTTTGAAAATGCCATTCAGTTAGAACGTTTTTGCTAGATGTATGGCATAGCGACATCAGTGTTCCTTAATATCAGTTGTGTGAAGTTCATCATGAACGTCAATTTCGATTTGTGTTCACTTGAATTTGAAAAATCACGGCACCTACTTTTAATTTGCACAACCTCAACTGTTGTGTACTACATGCAGACTGTGAAGGTACCTCCCGCCGAAAACTCCAAGTGGCTGCCAAGCGACGACGAATCGGCCAAGTCGTGTGGTGTGTGTCTTCTACACGTCGACAATCCTGATATTGCATCTTCCAAACTGTCGTACAGCGGCCGCGAGTACCATTCCCCCTGTGCCAACCTGTGGGTTAACTGTGTCAACTCTCTGCTCCCCGCAGTGACTCCGGTACAACTGCTTTAACGAGAAAGGCAGGGCACGCTTTGCCATGCATACTTGCGTCATCCCCTCTCTCGCTTCACCCCAACTTCTTCTTTTCCTAGACGCAAGAGTGAAGACTGTGTACATGCATGGTGCATTGTCAATCAGTGAGTCATCTAACGACTGCAACGCAACCGAGATTTCAAGGTGTCGCTTCTCTAAGAGGGATGGAAGCTGGTTGAATGTTGCCACGCTGTGACTGTCTGTTTTGAAATACTGAGTAGCATTGTTTTGAAGCTATAGATAAGATATGTGCTCTGGTGTTGTTGAGGCTGATTGTGGTGGGCTGTTGTGAAATGTTTCAAAGCCATTCCATGAATGAAAGCATTTCCTGCACAGCCCTGTTGCTGATGCTGTATAATTTCTGTAACACATATGATACACTGAAGTTCTGAAGATCGAGCAGTACCCCTTTTTTTGTTTATTTTGGAAACTATTGAGCAAGAAAAGTTCCAATTGCTGACACACTCTGGCGGTGTCATCATCGTTGTGAAAAGGCAGCGTAGCTTGACGGACAATCTAGAACCCGGGGTGCTTGTGCTGTGGCTTTGAAACGTTTCACAAAGTCTGTATGCAGTGTTAGAAATTAAGTGCAGTATTTACAATGCAGACTAATTGTTCTGAGAGTGTGCTCATAAGCATGACTGAAGCGTCGTGGACATAGTAAGAATGTGAGGTCACCGAGTGCTTACATCGAAACGGTGTAGATAACTTGCTAGCTTGCATCGTCTGCAACTTGTGCATGCTGTTGCGCATTTAGGCAAGTGCAAAAAAAACAAAAGCATCAGAATACTAAATGCAAAGGAAATTCGTTATCTTCGACGCAATGGTAACATTTCAGCTGAGCCAGGGCGAGATGTACTAGTTTATTTTGAGAACATATGAGTTCTGAGAGTGTCAGGGAACAAATTTTATTTTCAATATTACACCCTTGATTTTTGCTTTTGCATTTGGCTTGCATTTGGCCTCCTGCATTAGGGCAATGTAAAGTTCTGGCCAGCTTGGCTCACCATGCCAGAACGTTGTGAAAACCGGTGTTCGTGAAGGATTGAGGCCTATTGTTCTCTGACTGTGACTTAGCATTAAAGAAGATTGCAGCGTGTTGCCTTAGTGCATTTATTTTTACACTTAACACTTTTAGCATAGCTTATATAAAACAGTTAATAGCATATTTATTTACCCCCTTTGCTAACCTTGCCCATTTTGGAGGAAGCATTTGAAACTGTTGTTTTATATTATATATTTTGTTCTCTGTGTAATATGTTGACTACGTTGATATGACCGTTTATGTGCCTCATATGAGATGTTCAAGTCGTGTAAAACGACTGTACCTTTTGGTTCACGTGCACAAAACATTTAAGGGTGGATCCTTAGTAGGTGTTTATCAATTCTAGCAATGTGTGCATTACCGCTTTTAATTGTGCACTGTATAGACAGTTGTGTAGAGTCACGTGGCTGTGAGATGTGATCTGTTAATACTGTGTACATAAATAAACCTTTTTGAAGAGCATTTTGTTGATGTTCTCTGACATGGTTTGTATAGAAAGTTACAGAACTCTAAATATATCTGTTCACCTGACGCATTTATGGCTGGTGTAATTGAAGAATGCTTCTTGAGATGTAGGGGGCAAAGATTAAAATTCCATACTTACGTCACTGGCTTCCATTTCATAAAGGATGTGCACTATTGGGCTTGGTCACTGTGTTACGGCAGTAAAAGCTTTCTCGTGCTTTAGGTTTTATCATCTTCATTTATTCAAACACTCTTCTTGTACACCAAGGGCACCCAAAATAGAAGTCTTGGGGGAGCTACACTAATCAGTAAATTGGTGCTTTCTTTTTTTTCCACATCTAGGGCACTGAGCTGACTCCTAAGTTTCATTCTTGTTAAGTCTCTGATGTTGCTGTAGTGTCTTCAGGAGAATATCTTTCTCTTGGTCATGGCTTTAGTATGACAGCACTTTCACTATGCTGACAGTGAGTCAGTGAATAAACTAGTTGAAAATGAAAATTTATATTGAATTTCTTTTCAAGCAAAGTACGGGGATATGAGCAGAAGGAAATGACGAAAACTTCAGGAGTTATATTGCAACAAAAACTGCTTTCGGCTTAGGTGGACTCTGAAGCAAAAGAGTTGAACTGCAGTAATAATTAATTATCATGACGGTTGTCGGCTGGCGTGCGAAAGGAGCACTTGCCCCCGCTGAAGCTGTGCAAGCTCTCTTCACCCCTAGCCACGATGCAACCAAAGTTCGCACCCTCCAAGACAAAATCCTGCAGACATTGGTGGCATCTGCAATACCATGAAATGTGTGTGTACTAAAATGCTGTGGGAATTGATTAAGATTGCAATTGGTGTCTGCAAATAATAGCACTCTTGTTTAGCTACCACCTGCAAGTAAGTAGCACACGACTGAGTTGGACGCATTTGCAATGGCAAGTGAACGCAGTCGGAATGTATGCATCTGGCACGTGATAATGCTCACTGCTATGGTGTTGAAATGCAGGCTTTAATGTAACAGCTGAAAAGCAGTGCTGCCATTAAGCCTAAAATATTGTTAGGCATTGCAACAATGGTATACGGCAAAACATGAATTGTATGATGATGCAACGACCTCAACGGCGTGACAACTATACAAGCCCGAAGCAACGAAGGCAGCATATTGACGTAGGCACAATGATGGTTAATGGATGGGATGACATCATAATCGATGACATTTCTGGAATGAACTAAATGGTATGATGATGCGTGACAGCTGTGGAATGATTCTGACAGCATTACTTCAGTGTGCTGTAAAATCTCCAGCAAGCCCCCACCACACCCCACCCCTATGGTGAAAGATAATGCGACGAGATTTTGAGCTGGGGGGCCCTTGGTCATTCATGGGTCAAAGTTCAAGTTTGCAGCCAAAGTGCCCTAAGAATAAAGAATCCACACACACCCATGCTTCTAATGAAATGTTTTATTAAATACGCATGCATTCACTGTTTTCATTCGCCTTCGTTGAGCGAATGAAAAGAGTGAGAACTGTGGGAGGGGTGCAGAGGCCCTATATCTTAAGAGGAGACTCGGCTTTCGAATCGTGAAAAATAGCAAAAATAAAAATTGGATTTTTTGCAAATCATATTTTCAGTTTCGGGAACCTACCCTTACTTTCTGATTCAAATATACATACTGAGAGAAGCGCGCAGGTGTGCTTCCAAAAATTTGTTTTGTCCACCTAGGGAATGAAAGACGTTGTGGAAGTCGCGAAAAAACGGTGATCTTCAAAAAATATCTCTGGGATGGTGCGGCCGATGGAGCCGGCGTCTTGGGCTCGTTGGAAAGAGAATTTCTCCTTGTTAGAATTCCCCGCTTCAGCTGGCTCCTTCTTTCAGTGTCATGCTCCTCTAACATTAGAGGAACGGGCGCTAAAGCCCCTATACCTTCGGAAAAGTACAGCCTTCTTTTGATCTTCGCCGCTTCCTCCTCTTCCCGCCGGAGCAATCTCGTGGCGCGTCACAGGGAGTCTTCTTCTTTCTCTATGGCGCCACTGTCAAAAGCGAAAGAAAAAAAGCAACGCGCTGGAGAGGAGGCGGCGAGGGGGAGAGCAGATGGCGGTACTTTATTAACGGGCGCGGCACTGGCACGACGCTATATGAACAGCGGCCAGAAAGAGCAACCAAATCGAGAAGACCTTATGAGAGACGCCGTAATGGAGGGCTCCGTAAATTTGGACCATGTGGTGTTGTTTAACGTGCATTCACATCGCGTAGTCCACGGGCTTCTACCATTTCGGCTCCATCGAAATGCGCCTTCCGCCGCCGGGAGGGATGGAACCCGCGACGGACTCGCCGTCTGCGCGTCGCGAGGTCACGACTGTCGAAAATTGCGTTACTTTGCGACGTGTTCGCGGTTTGGCGATCACTTACAATATAATTCCGCTCTAGTTAGGAGCTGCGAGTGGATGCTGGATCAGATTATGGTCCGCCGCGCTCGCAGACCGCTCGACCGATGCCATGCTCGGTGCCGTCACTAGGCCTAACTCCGCTGATGGTGATATGAACCTTGAACTTTGCGGACAAGGACCCGCGACAACGTGCTTTTTCGCAAGTATATTGAACTAGAATATAAATTTATACTCCAGTTCACTATACCTCCGCTATGACGGACATATTCTGGACATTGGGCTTGCGTAGTTTAAAGGGTGCCAGGAAAAGCAAAAAAAAAAAAAAAGAAATGCTACGGGGAATTTTTTTTTTCGGGAAGGGGACGGTGTGCACTTCCTTGAAATGGTATTTTTTTTTTTCGCTCTGCATGCCATAGCAAACAAACAAATCAAAAACAGGAGGGGGGCCTGGCGTGCCACCTCGTGGCTATCCTGGCTACTACAGTGTACTGCTGTACTGGCTAAGACACTCAGAGAAGCGACCTTTTATACCTATATATGTTGCCAGTGGTAATCGTTTGTGGACCGTTTCGATATAACCTTTTCGCAAAAGGGCAGGGATGTGTGCGAGTTTTTCTTAGTAGCTAGCACGACGATGACGCACTTGTTCGTGGTCATAACGTTGTGGATATCGCCTATTATGGTGACGGTATGTGTGAGTTATCTGTTACCTCCGTGAGTTATCTGGTCTGCTGACAACTAAAGCGACTTGGAGGACGTTAAGCGTAGTTTCGTCGGTAACCACCTACTGCATCGCATAGCCCGATAAATTAGATGTGCGTAGAGTGAATATCGGTGTGACGCTGGGTCATTTATTTTGTTTCAACATTAAGAATAGAGAGAGATTTACTATTTAAACATATCCTGAGGAGGCTAAGAAAGGGCCATTCCGACCCTTAATTCAACCTGGAGGCTCCGCCCAGGATGGCGCTGGCAGCCGAAGGCTTGTAGCGATGTCCCGGGCCCTCTGATATAGAAATCAACGAAATTCGTGGCTAATCCAACCAAAACTGGCCTTTCACCAGTTTTAAAAAACGCGCTGTGGCCTATATGTGAGCACGTCGGCATGCCTTCATGCTTCATTGTGCCGCTCACAGCGAGTGGTGGCGCACTCATCCAATCTTTGGTAAAGTTGCTGTATATGCTGACTGTATATAATTACTGCATAAGGTGGCATAAACAGTTACTCTAATCTTTGCTAAATCTTTGCACGTGATAAGTTAGCAATAGCAGCGTCAGGTTTAAATTTATGAAGCAACACTTCGCCATGTTTTACAAAAAAACACTTTAAAGAGATCATTAAAAAGTTTGTTTTAACTTTTTTCACTTTCATGACTCCAAGGTTGCACAATGTTTGCGCGTTACATGCCGTAAAACAAAAATTATGTTAACTAAGAATAGTAGCGCCAAACATGCCCTGGTGTTGAAAAATTGAACCTAGTGCCACGACTGGCATGTTTTTGCGCGGGACAGGCCTAAAGGTCTTCAGTGGCGGCCTACCGCTGCTGCTGCCCACTCGCACATCGCTTCGCGCTCGTTATCCGTCAGAAGTTACGAACACTCCGAGCTGAAGAAACGCAAGTAAAGTCTGGTGGGTTCGCAAGCGTTGCTTGCACGACGAGGAGTGCGTGAAATGTGTGTGTGTGCCCTGCTTAAACGCCCCGTGTGTCGTACATAGCTTCCCAGAAGTCGTACCTATGTGTGCTGTCCGTTTTGCGTCGCGACAACTGGAATACACGCCGCCTCCACACCTCCCTGAAGGATTCACAGGTGGTCGCCGATGACAATTCGTCTTTTAAGGTAAGGGAACTCGTATCCCACTCGTTCTCCGGCGTTTTCAGCGCTTCGTCGCCGGTTTCATTTCTTTTTTCTCCTTTCGTATTTGGCGGCACGTGTTGATGTGCGTCGCAAGGTGTGCGGCTCCGCGAAGATAACGTTCAAGGCGAGCTCTGATACGCGACAATTGTGTCCAGGTGCTCGCAAACAATGCTCTCGTTTGCGCTCCTTTCGCCAGCGCCGCGCTGAGCGGCGGCCTTGTGCCTCGAAGACGCGTCAACGCGCCTATAACTTAATTCTTTTCAAAAAGAAATGTTTTATCTGCAGAGTTTGATGAATGAAAAGCACGGGTTGCGCTCCCTCGATGCACGAACGGGCTTTCATCGAAGTCGAAAGAACATTGTTCGAACCAGAATCACCGCGCAGCAGCTCAGAACCGCTTACGCCCCTGGCCTAGCTAGCTAGCTACCTGTTGATTCACTCGTGGTCGTAAATTGAAAAGAAAGAAATAACAAAAACTGTCGACTCCCAGGAGACGAATGGGCGGCCGCCAAACTTGGAGCGTGGCCTTCGCATCACGACGTTGGCGGATTGTCGCGCGACGGAAATCGAAAATTAATCTAGCTCGTCGCTCGTTTCGTAGCTTTATGTAAGTGCTTCATTTTGACACTCGCCGAACTTGATTCGTCCGTTTACACTCGTAGCATCTGTCGCACGAGTGGGAGAACAGAATACGTCGATAATAATGAATTAAACTTGGAACGAGGTTACCATGATGCTGGCCAGAAGTTAATGCGTGTGCATAGATCGATGAGTGAATTATTTGGCTCTAGGGGGGGGGGGGGGGGCGGTGTACAATTATACTAGAGAGACTGTGAGATTAATGAATATACACATGATTTTCCCTCTACATACTTTATAACCTTTGCGGGGAGGTAATGGGTACTACATATCGCAATTAATCTAGAATGTGAGGCCAATGGAGAGGAACTGGCTGAAACACGGGTGGGTTATTGTCCGAGCTACACTGCCGTTGAAACGCTGACAAACAATGATTCCCTGCCGTAATTTTCATTCAATAGGATATATGGGAAGCCATTGGTACAGGAACACGAACAACCAGCCGACGCCTTTTCTCATGTTGTATGGCTTCCACGTGCGACATATTAAAACACTGCGGCTCTTTAGTTCTTGCGTAAACGGGCCTGGTCCTGCCACCTCCTGGCTATCCTGGCTACTACAGTGTACCACTGTACTGGCCAAGCCACTGAGAGAAGCGACCTTTTATAGCTATAGTGGACTATAATATAGTACACTATACTATAGCTATATATGTTGCCAGCGGTAATCGTTTGTGGACCGTTTCGTTTTCACCTTTTCGCAAAAGGACATGGATGTGTGCGAGTCTTTAGTGTCGTCTTTGCAAGCTGCTTTCTTTCGTTGGCAGGTGTACTCAAGTTTATTGCGCTGTTAGTCTGTTAATTAAAGGGGCATTATTCGTTATGCCAAACACATTACAGACCTCGTTCCCCGTGATCACGTACGAAAGGCGCAGTCTGGCCCATATTTTTACCAACCTGCCCTGTCAATGTTTAGATCGTAGTGTTATGCCGCGCCCGTTTTCTCGTGATAATAGTGTCTGAAACTCCTGATTACGAAATTTGATAGCTATATCTGCTTCCAATTTTTACTCCCGGAAAGGCAGGGACAAAAGACAGGTCATGGTGAGTGGCACATAACCGCCTCAACTTAGTTTTCAAAATGTAGAATTAAGTTCCATCATTTGTGGAGCGTGTTGTGCATTGGATTAGAATTGACCAACGAGTTAGGGAGGGGGGGGGGGGGGGAGGCTGCGATGAGAGAGATTGTGGTTATAAAAAAGAAAAGTGAGCCCCGCAACTGTCTGCACCAGAGTGCGACACCTCAACAGTAGCCCGGAACATACAGGACAGCGCTGTGTCCTGTATTTTGGCATATGGCTTCGTCCCGTAGTCTGTGCTGCTGCTCCTATCAAGGAGTGTTATTTCGCTGTCGTGGAGGGTGATAGATGCCCGGCTAACGAACTTGTCGTTGTTTTGTTTGTTTATGTTTAAGGCAACCGTTATTTCTCTGTATATTCTTGTGTTTGTACGCATTATAACAATGTCAGACAGCTGACATCGAGTAGTCGTGTTGGCGTGCGCTGCGGTTATAGGCCCATGTTTGTTATTGTAATGAAGTGATTGCGAGAAATCCAGATCAAATGACGAGACAAGTAGCTGAGGTGTTTGACATTAAACAGAAACGAGGGTTGCGTGAGCTGCGCATCGTGTTCCCTCTAATAGATGGCGTTCTTGTCACGGCAGCGGTGGCGCTGTTGCCGTAAAGCCGTTAAACTCCCTGTAAATATAGGGACCTTAGAAGTCCTATGTGGTGCGACGGTGATCTTGACATCCTTTCCCTCTGGCATAGAAAAGCGAAGGCCTTGATTGAAAGGAAGACTACGTAGAAGGAAGACTCTTTTCTTTCATGTTTATTGCTTATTTCAGACATTTATACACAGGAAACATGTCCACGAGATAAGGCAAAAAGAGGCATGTCTCCTGACGAGGTCTTTACCCCGGACTTGCATGTCCGACAGCAGGAACAAAAGCAGTGGAAACATGTCAAATTATAAAAAAAAATTAACTGCTCACTACGCAGTATGCAAATGAAAATATAAGAAACACTTTTGACGTTGAATATAAGGTAAAAGTTTTTACAAACTGGGATAAAGTAAATGTATTTGCACATGGAGCGCATACAATAAAAACAAAAGGTAAGCATCAGCATTTTTATGATAGATAACTGAAAACTCGTACATTTGTAGGAGACATGAGAAGTAGTTTTACTTGTATTTTAGCCCTGTAGTCTTTCTTTTCTTCCTAGCCTCTTTTATGCCTAACCGACTAGCCCTTTCACAATCCTTTCCCTCTTTCCTAAACATTGGTATTTATGCTGCTACCGTGGGTTACGTAAACCTCAGTTGTAAGCACAACGCTTTATCATCGTTTCCGTCCTCGTGTTCCCAGCGCTGAAACGTAAGATACGCAGTACCAACTAGGCCACCAGTTGGTATTGTTGATTGACTTAGTTATTCTATAAATGTGACCCTTAGACATATAAGCCGGGCTGGTTCACTTGATGTCTTTTTTTTCTTGTTTTTAGCTGTCATCTCGGTTCCCGCTTCACATCCAGTTGTCACGCACAGATGAATCAACTGCGATAACGTGTGCTTATTTTTGCTTGTTGTTTTTCGTTTCCTCGTATCGCGTTAATAAATTTCTCTTGGCATTCAACGCCATGGCCCTCGTCGTTGCCCTGTCATCGAGTGCATTTTTTGTGCTGTTCACGTAGCTCTCGTGGCAGTCGGTGGCGAGTTCGAAACAATAATCTGCTTCAAATACCACAAAAATCTCTCTCTTTTATTTCTGTAGTGCACCTCTATAACGTGGCAAGCTATACGCGAGACGATCACAGATCTTGTGTGAGTACAGCCAGGGGCGCTGTTTCGACCTATAGCGTAACCGATAACTTCACGCCGACGCGAAGACCTTGTATAGGTTCTGCCATAGCTCGCCGTTTCCGCTTTCAGCCTAGAAGCCACCTGCTCTGCGTGCACTGTCCGGAAGCCGTAAATCGCGCAGTTCTCCTCGGTGCATGCCCTCCGATGCATGGCCACGCGGAAATCCCTGTCATAATTACACGGTCGCCTGAACACCCAGGAGGAAGACGATGCAGGGCTGTGTTGTGCGGAGTACTTGCCGAGGCCCTGGACGAAAAATAATGCAATTAAAAAAAATATATGGGTCGCACGGCCGACTGCTAAGAGGTGTTATGCACGCGGCGCGGAACCATAATTAATTCGCCTCGCTTGTAGATCCGCTAAAGATGCTGTCATTCTCGGTTTCGCTCCGATGTTGTCTGTATGGTTGATGATCGGTGCTCTTTGCATGTGATACAGATCGCGCGCGATGTGAAGGTTATCGCTCGAGCGTTGGCCTGCCTGACGTATGTCAGGACAGCAAATCGAGATTGTGCATTCTTCTCTCCCTCACTGGCCGTTCCCTGCTTTAACAATCGCCCCTGCGACAAACTCGACACCGTTCCTTTTTGTTTTGAGCCCTCCATCTGTTGCGGTCAAGTGCCTTCTTCGTGGGCCCTTGCCTCCGAGGTCGTTACAAAATTGCTGGAAAGGATGTGTTAAATCAGACGGGATAGTGATACAAGCTTTGAGGAACAGCTAAAAGTGTGGGCGAAGCTTGCGTGATTCCACCCTCTCCTCGAAAAGAGGCGGCGCGCTGTTGTAGTTCTTGGTCGACGATAACCTTCGAATCCAACCCGAGCTCTACGTTTCAGAGCGCATTCTTTACACGGAAGGCGCCCATCATCCGCCTGTTGGTTGTACACGTCCTGAATGAAGCAGCCAATCGTTTTCTGCGATACGCACAGAAGGTTCTCATGTATATGCAAACATGTCCATTCTTCTTTATGTGCCATCCAATGTGTGTGTGTGTGTGTGTGTGTGTGTGTGCGGGGTGCCTTCTTCGTCGTCTTTGTTCTGGGTTTTTGCTGGTTTTTGCTACCCGTTTGTTTATTTAACAGGGACAATTAAACGCTTGCGCCGCCTTGCACTGTTTCGATGTGAAAGCGTGCGCATTGTTTTGCCTTTCCTTCTTGTGTCCTTCGTAGGCGACTGCCGTGGGCTGCAGCCTTGCAGTAGCCAGCGTCCTTTTTATAAACGTATTTCGCGTATATAGTAGGCAACGCTACCAACGTGTGCAGCAGCGCCCGTCGGTGACGTCGTCCCGTGCGAAGGCGGTTCGTATGTGCCGCCAACACGCGAGGACCCGCTTGGCGCTGCACCGGGCGCGCCCACATCGGCGGCAGTCGTAAAAACAGCCTTTTTAAGAAGGCGGCGCCGGTTCCCGTGTGTTGAACCTTGACACTCTGCTTCGAGTGCTTTCCACGCAGTGGAGAGAAGTTTTGTGAGAGAGGGAAAGAGA